CCTGAAAATAATGTGACATTGTGTCAATTATCCTTCAATTAAAAAAGAAAACAGTAAAAAAAAAAAGTGGTCAGACATGGTTCCCACACTCAAAGATTGCAACCTAGTCAGAGAATGATAGATCACTCCTTAAACAACCATAATAAAGCATCATAAGTTTTTATATTAGGCACATGAGATAGCAACTCCATCCCCTCACAGTTACTAAAGTTCATTAGATTTTTACTGATTTTCTATAATGTGTAAAGCATGAGAGATACGAAGATTACTGAGATGTAGTCCCTGTTCTTTAGGGAGGGAAGGAGACCGGTATGTTTCATCAAATCAGTTTCCTGTGGTGCCTGGGCACACAGATAGTAGACATTTCCCAGCTTCTCTTATGTGTTAGCGAGGCGTGGCCAAGGGGATGTGAGCATAATAATGCATGCTACTCTTATTTCTTACCTATAAGAAACCACCATGCAATATGCTACATACCCTCTCTTTTCTTGTCCAATGCCTGGAACCTAAGAACTTTTAAAGTCTTAGGGGATGACAAAGCCATGGGTTCCTCAATTACTGAGTAGAATGCCATCAGCTGAACACTTGATTGGACTTTACATGAATAGAAAGAAGCTTCTACTATGTTAAGTTACTGAGATTTTGGATTTTGTATGTTATAACAGTATTATCTTAAGGTAATTTAATTATGATATGAGAAGTGCAGGCACAGAGCTGAACAGAAAGAGGAGGTATTGCCCAGTGTAGCTGGGGTCAAGTGATATTTGAGTCAAGTCTTGAAAGATGACAGCCTTATAAAAAATAAAGATCATTACAGGCAAAGAAACCACATGTTTAAGGATGAGGAGTGGGGCACCTCGGTGGCTCAGTGAGTTAAGCGTCTGTCTTTGGCTCAGGTTATCTCAGGGTCCTGGGATGAGCGCCACATCTGGCTCCCTGCTCAGCGGGGAGCTTGTTTCTCCCTCTCCCTCTGTCTGCCACTCCCCCTGCTTGTGCTTTCTCTCTCTCCGTCAAATAAATAAACAAAATATTTAAAAAAAAAGGATGATTAGTGAAAAGGAAAGTGCATGAAGGGAATTCTATGCATATTTATATTAATTAGAGTATAATGAGCATAATGGTGCAAAATGTGCAGCGATCAGAGGAAAATGGAGATGAAAACCCTGAATGTAAATCCTTGTGTCACTGCCTCCTAGTTGGGCCATTTTGGGCAAGTTACTTAACCAGTCTGGATAGTTTTTCCCAACTATAAAATGGCGATAATGCCTATGTTGCAGAAAATTGTAATATAGTATTAAGTACATCATAGAGTCCCAATAAAGTACTCCCCCCATGCTTTATCTTCCTTTTATAATATTTTCCTTAAGGAAAAAAAAGCATACATATACTGTACTGAAAAGCAAAGAAAAAGGACACTGCCAAATTCAAGCCTTTTAGTCCCTCATATAAACTGCAGAAAAATAAATAATAGATTTCTAAAATAGGTAAAGAGCTTTTATTATATTGACAAGAGATATTTGATGACTTTATAAGGCTGTTAACTCTTTAAACCTTATCATAATTATACTCTTCTCAACCTGTATGACACATGACTACAATACTGAGGACACTTCCTCATTACATAAGTGCACATATACGGAGCTCCATTTTTCCACATACAATGTTCCTAGGCTTTGTGTGGACAAAGATATAAATCCTTTCTCCCAGAGGAAAGATCTGTTCTGTCATTGGTGTTTGTGTGCTGACCAAGAGTTGCTGACCTGCCAATTATCAACAGGACTAGTAAATAGTTGGTCATGAACCACTCAACAATCCTTTGTCACAGAACATATTCTATAGATGTTTTAAAATGAAGAAGTATTCTACGTTACATTTGTAACATAAAGAGAATTCAGAGATAATCTGAATTATCTCTGAATCTCTGAATTATCTAATTATCTCTGAATTATCTCATTACCAGTCAATGGGTAACAAACTCAAATATCTTCAGAAGCCAAACTCAGCTGTAAGGGGTCTATGGCAACTGCAGAGGGAGGAGCCGAACTGAAGGCATTCACATCACTGCAAGCCCCTGAGTCTAATCTCATGGTTTCAGTTCCCATCTAAAGAAATAGAAGAGATTTGGTTTAGGTGACTCTTAGAAGCCACATGGTAAACATATTAATCATTGCATAAAATTGAAATCACGTCAGGTATTTTAACAGGAAGAGAGTTTTATACAGGGAATTAAGTGAATTGTTTAAAGGCTGAGAGATTATTGAAAGGGCTAGAAGTGCAGGTTCTAGGCTGGGCCTCCAGGAATGACATCTACAGCACTAATAAATGAACCACAGAGGAATGTACTACTTTCGTTACAATCTGACGGCCCTGCAAGGACTATGTAGTTCGAGAACACCATTGTAGCTGTGACCCCGGAGAAGTTGGGATCTGGAAGCTGCCTGGAACAAGGAACACTATGAAGAAGAATATGTTCACTACCTTCCTCATTTGCTTCTTGACAGCCACAGAGGTGGTGATACAACATGACAATGCTGAGTCTGGCCGTCACCACTGCTGTTAAGGCCCTTCCCACACCCACAGTTCTGAAGACTAGGACTGGCATGTCCTGGACCTTCCCTGCCAACAGAAAACAGTCAAAAATAGCAGGGAGATGGCCTTTGCCTTCAAAATTTCAGACAAGTTCATCATCTACTTGCCAGATCCTAATTTTACATCTAGAACTCTAGCTGGAATGGAGTCTAAGAAGTGTTTTTAGCTTTCCAGTTTGTCCTGTACATACTAGAAGTAGGTAGGAATGGATGTGAGTGCCAACCTTCTATATCCGGCACAGCAACTTCTGGAGTAGAGTTCTATCACTGACTTTTTCCCGCTTCTACAGCAACCCTGAAAAACAAAAAAAGCAAAAATCTAGTCAGTAGGATTATAATGCTAAAGATCTTAATATCCAATAAAATAGGTGAATCTGGCATTTTGCTCACATCACTAGTATAGCATGAATCACACTAAATACTTAAGTATATTCTGATTCATTGGGTTTTTTTTTTTTTTTGAGGGTGTTGGATGACAGAAACTGTATTTAATTCATATTTGGATTTCCTGTCTCCATGCCAGCTTGGCCCAGAGAAGACACACAGATATCTGCTAAAGTGAAACGCTTCATTCTTAGCTTAGAGAGAAACAGTAAACCAGAATTTCATGAGAGCAGTTGGTGGCAGCAATAATGTCACGTGGGGGCCTCCTTACAGAGTGGAAGCCTGGGGTGTGTGTCTTTCAGTGAGCACAGAGGTTGACCTGGCTAAGTGAGGTACCCGCCTTGTCTCTGTCCACTGCTGGTGCCCATTCCTGGACGGGAGGCTAAAGGAAACGGTGGCTTTCTGATATTAATCTTTTAGGGCAAGAAATCCCCAGGGTCTAGCGTGAGATAATAAGGATGAGACAACAAGCTGATGGCTGGGTCAGCAGGATCTGAGGTTCTCAGCACCTCGGTGGTGCTAACGTGGCCCACAGTAGTGAGAGGAGAACGAAAACACCGGCAAACAAGAAACACACGCTCTGGGCCCTTAGTGTCCCCTGGGGGCCACTCACCTCGCGGTCTCCAGCGCAGGAGGGCTGCGCAACAGGGTAAACGGTCTGCAGGGGAGCCTCGTTCCGCCCAGCGCGCAGCGCCTCCCGGCAGCGCATCACCCCAGGCGGAGCCCCGGGCTGCGAAACCGGCAGAGGTCGGAGCGCTCGGCGCCGCGGGTTTCCGAGGCTCCGCCCCCCCCCCCCCCCGCGCGCTCCCCGCGCCGCGGGCCCCGGAGCCAGCCCGGGAGGGAGGGTCCCGGTCCCCGCGGCCGCCCCGCGCGCGCTCCCGGCGCCGCCGTCCCCGAGACCTCGGCGCGGGCCCGTGGGGTTTCGGCCGCGCGCCCTGGCCGGGAGGCGGCGCCCCTGCCGCCCGGAGAGCGCGTGGCCCAGCGAGCGCAGACCCCGGGGACCAGGCGACCTCGAGACCCCGGCGGGGACGCGCAGCGCCGGCTCCTCTGCAGCCAGGAGTGCAGGCCCCACAGCCGGTTACCAGCTTTAACGCTCCCCAAACCTACGTCCACGCTGTGGGTTTTTTTTTTTTTATTCTTATAAATTAATTTTTATTGGTGTTCAATTTACCAACATACAGAATAACACCCAGTGCTCATCCCGTCAAGTGTCCCCCTCCGTGCCCGTCACCCATTCACCCCCACCCCCCGCCCTCCTCCCCTTCCAACACCCCTAGTTCGTTTCCCAGAGTTAGGAGTCTTCATGTTCTGTCTCCCTTCCTGATATCTCCCACACGCTGTGGGTTTCAGCGCCACCTATCAGTGCGCTTTTAGAAGCGTCTTCTCGGATACGGTGGGAAGACAGGGTTCTGCGGTCTGGGTGACCCCTGAGGGGAGGGAAGACTTGCCCTCCTCGACTCTTTGTTGCTTCTTTAACGCGATGCCTTCTTACCGCATCGTTTTAGATTTTTACCTTTCCGTCAACAGTTACTTTCTTCCTTAAAACTCCCTTCCATGTCTGGGTCTTCCTTTCCTGTGTTACCGCCCCCCCCTCCCCCCCAAAGTGAGTGTGTGTGTGCGCACATGCCCCTCGCCGGGTAATTTTCATTTCCTTCAGAAATAAAGATTCTTACCTGTTTTTCACTCCTCAGGCCAGTTTTAATCACTTTTCAAGCACGAGGGACAACGTCAAGGAAATGTCTCCACCAGGTAAAGACCATCCATTCCCTTCTCTCAGGTCTTACTTTGTGGGTAGGATGGCTTAACCTACATCCCATCCAATAGTCTTCAGAGCATCTAAAGTGATTACTGTGTTCAGAAGAACTGAACTCTTCTTCTCCTAAAGCTTGCAGAAATTTCTAGTGGTATCCAGCTTCCTCTTACCACAGGAATGAAATAGATTTTTCCTTTTCTTGCAGTCATATGATCTTCATGGACTCATCACCGGATTTGATTAACATGACTTTGGAGAACATTGAACTTTTTGGTTAGATTTTACCTCTGCCTTTATTGTTTATGATGTTTTATTGTTCATGATTAGGTGAGAGAACTCTGAGGAAGCGTTTGCTAATGTTAGAATTCATTTTGCAGAATTCATCGTGTGCTTATTTAGAATTTATTCGTCATAGCTATACATTCACATGTATGTCCCTCACAGTATAAAGTACTTCATTACATAATTATAAGCTTCAGTGTCCCATCAATCACTTCACTTGAGGAGAAGTACAGCATTTTGGTTACGATACACCAAAAGAAACCCAAGTCATTTTGTGCAACTCCCTAATTTCGCGAACCAGAAAACTAAAATCCAAAGTAAATTGGATGACTTGGTCTAGATAACAAACCAAGCTATCTGTGATGCAGTTGTGGAATACTTGGTCCAGAACTGGTCCGAAGCAAATCTTCTAATCAATGAACTCTTTGGGAGTGCTAGTCAAAATATTTTTTGCTGTCAATTTTAACTTTTTCATCAACCGCATAATATTCTTCCTCACACATAAAATGTTATCCTTTCATTGTCCATTTCAAAATTTTCCTTGTTAATATGGATTAATATTAATTATTAAGGTTCTAAGAGGAAAGACTACATGCTCATTTACTGAGTATATGTGCATCATTCCATTTGGTCTTTTGAAGTAACAACAAATAAAAAACATAGAACCTTAAAATTAAAGGAACAAGAAAAAACTTCTTATTCTCTTACAGAATTATCATCCATGAATCTGCTTAAGCTTCTTCTTGAAAAAAAATTTTAAACCATTTTTTATTGAATTACAATTAACATACAATGCTATATTAAATCCAGGTGTACAGCATATTGATTCAGTAATTCTATACATTATTCAGTTCTCACCATGGTAAGTGTAGTCACCGTACAATGTAATTACAATATTATTAACTGTATTCCCTATGCTGTACTTTCTATCTCTGTGACCTATTTATTTTATAACTGGAAGTTTGTATTCCTTAATTCTCTTTATCTATTTCAACCATCCCTTGCAAATTTTATTTTCTTTAATTTTGTTTCCTGTTATATGATTCACTTATATTTATTGATCCAGAGATTGCTTCTAAATTTCATGTCCTCTTACTGTTAGCCTGGAATTTGGTGAAAAAAATCTACACTTAATCTAAAAAATATCACTTAAACTAACAATACTGCTAGTTCATTGTAAGGTTTTAGGCACATGCCAAATGTCATTGCTTATTTTAAGAAAGATTTTTTTAGTTCAACTAAGAAAATAGTACTTATCATGAGTAATAACATTGGTTAAGTATCAACACTTGCTGATTATTTTTCTTTTATATAACAGATCAACAGTATAGTTCCGAATCTAAATTCCTTTTAATATAAGTTACTGAAGCTAAATTCCTTCCTACCTTGTGTTCATTTATAATGGTGTAAAATTTTAAAATTAGAATCTATGTAAAGACCAATGCAGAATCATACAAAATGGTTGAATATTAGGAAGAAGTAAAATACAAATTAATACCTTTTTCTTAAAAACTTGCAATTTTTCATATTCACACTTTAATTTTATATGCTTGCAAACTGTGGTTTATTTTAAAACTTTTCATTTGCAGTGAGTTCATTATCTTTTATGTCATCTCCCTATAATGATTTCAGAAGAGGTTAGAAAGAGATTAATATATTTAAAGAATCTGACTTTTGTGAACAATGGCATCATTAAAAAGGGCTAACTGTCATAAATAAGCCATGAATGGGAAAGACATGATGGCTGAATTTTCTTCATAACCAGTCTCACTGTGGGCAGGAAGGGCCTGTTCTTCCCTTAAACAGATTCTAAAATCACAGGGTCCAGCCTCCATCAATGATGACAGGATTACCTGTTATGTAGGCAGACTGCAATGATAAACACAAGGAGACAGAACAATTAACCAGGTTTAACACAGATTGTGTTTCTTCAATTTTCCCATGACTGAGATAGCTAAACAATGTATTCATGGTAATAGGAACACTCACCTAACACAGATTTTTAGGAAAATCTGATTTAAATTTTGGATGATTTGAAACTGCTGCATGTTCTTGTGATCTAGTTAATTAGCCTCTGGCTAGTGTTTTAGCACATGTCACATTCTAAGCAGGTGTTTGGTTTCAGGATCAGAAAATTAAGTTTAGTGATATGAAGCCATTCCCCAAATTAGGATAAAGTATAAGCTAAAATAGTACATTTTCATTTTGAAATTCAGAACTACTCTAAAGTACCTGAGCTTTATGCCATTAATAAATTTTTGAACATCATCAAGTATGTAAGTCATAAAGTGACTTACCAAACAATTTTTTTAATATAAGATATTGTATAGTTGATCAAAATGCATAGGTATTTCCAGGAGCTGAGCACACTAAATGTGTTTTAAAAACTTAAATGAATAATAACAATATATATATTAAAGTATGAAAAATATTCTATATTACTTTCAGATATCCAAATCTGTACAAAACTAGGGGAATTTTAAAAATTACTTTTTTTCCATAGAATTTTCCATTTTCCAAAGAAATAATGTTGAAGTAATCCTTGTGGGAGGGGTTTAAAAATCTTTTAAGCATGGATGTTAAATATGTGTTCTTTTAAATTTATCTAAAGCCTAAGACAATAAGAAAAGCTGGGAGGCAAGACACCATAGTATGAGTACAGAAATTTTTGAACTTCAATCTATGAAAACTGATCAAATACTGTAAACTAGGAGGTTACTAGTCATTTTACCAAGAAATGAGCCAACTTCCTGAAGTTTTTATTTTTAAAGCAAGCTTTCTGTTATACATATGGACTCCTCTATAAAAGTCCAAAGGTCTTTTTATTGCACATTTCAAGCCAGAACATTTCCAAATATTTGGTACCCTAAGCTCTGGCTAAACGAGGGCAATTTAGCTTATCAGCAGTACCCTCAAATCAGATAAGCTCTGTAAATACAGATTCTGAGAAGCCACAAAGGCCAATGAACTTGTTCCATTAATTTGTTTAGCAGTGTCCCTAGCTGCTAAAAACTGTTGTTAACAGTCCAGAGAAGTGGGAACTTCTATCACTAAAACATTTCAACCAGTGTATTTGTCACATTCACCAACCACCTGATGTACACCAAGTTACTATAAAGAGGTGCTAACAGATTAACAACACACCTCCTCACTACTGCCTGTCTCTCTCTCTCTCTCTCTTCCTTTCTTATACACTGCAGTTCCTTGGTCATGGAATATTCAAACACATAAAACAGAGGGGGATGTTCTTGTGCTCTGTACCTTTATAAATATAGTTTCTGCCTTCGTAGTTTAATTCCATTTAGGAATATATACAATAGCTATCAAGGAAGAAATTAATGACTAAATAGATGCAAAGTGGAAACAGAATTAGGAATATCCATATGTGATGACCAACAAGAATTCATAGAAAAAAAGCAGGATTTTCCTTAACTGGTCACAAGTAAAATTAAAAATACCAGATGCCAACCCTGTGTCTATTAGAAACAATGACATCTGCTTAACTCTCTCATTTCACCTGAAGCTCTCGTAGTTTTGGAGGTTCATTGCTTGACTTACATTTAATCAGGCTTTCACCAATTATAATTTTTGAAAGCAACTGCCTCTCATAAAATTAAGTAATTTAATATTTTCAGTCCTCCATGTCATTTGCTACAAGCTTTAGTGATATGTAGAGCTGAATGCAGAAGAGTTGGTGGGTCAGATCAAGTGGCCTTTCTTTGAGCAAATTAAATCACAGCTTATCCCTATCTTATAAATGCAACCTCTTAGCATATATATGTTGTAACTCTCAACTCTCTTAACATGACATTATCTTGATAAGCAAATCATGGCCAAATGAGGATAATGAACTCCTTGGGAAGAAGAGTGCTTACTTCATCGGAAGCCAAATACACACAGAGCAGGGCTATTTCTTCTGCGGTTGCAAATCTTCCAGTTTTCTGTCGCTTCAGGAAGTAGTTCAGTGCCTGAGACCAGAAAGCCATACCATGATATCAGTGATGTGAGGTGAAGTGTGAACTCACCTGCAGATCCTACAGGAGGTCAAAGGCAAGAGGATTCTACAGAGGTACCATTGGCATGCTGCTTTATTATGTATGATACGTGATATATGAAAATATCATTAATCTCATTAATTATGGACCAAGTAAGATTATGGTGACTTCCAAGCTACTCAAACTATATGTTATGCTAAAATCTACAGACAATGTATCAGATCAGTTAAAGAGGAGAGCTTTTTTTTTTTAAATTTTTGAAACTGTGGTAAAATATACATGTTATTCATCATCTTAACCATTTTTAAGTATGTTTCAGTAGTGTTAAGTACATTTACATTATTGTGCAACAAACTAGAACTCTTTTCATCTTGCAAAATTGAAACTCTATACAGGTTAACCAATAACTCCTTGTTCTTTCCTCTCCCCAACTCCTGGCAGCCACCCTATCTGTCTCCATGAATTTGTCTACTCTAGGAAGAGGACATTTTTCAACCAGAAGCTTTAAACACATTTAAAATAGTAGTTATACCTCTTCGGGATTTGGTCTGGCTTGTATTCTTTCTCGCAGGGATGGGGTATCAATCGTTGCTAAATCAAAGGAAGACATTTGGCTTGGTTAATTATTCAAACTGAAAAAGAAATTGACAAACTTTAAACTTCCTTTCTATATGATACAACAATCAGTGAAATCCTTCTCCATGACTTCGAATGATCATTTCACCTCCAGTTTCTATGATTTTTAAAAACACAGATCATAATTCTTTGTGACCCGAGGCAAGGACTCTGGGTGAATCACTCAGCATTCCCAAGATGTATTTTGATCACAGTATAATGGTATGACACTTTTTCAATTTTAAGCACATTTGCATGCATTATCTCAGTTAATCCACAAAACAACCCTGAGATGTAGATACAACCATATAAGTACTTTACTTGTACAAGAACCCAGGATGCCTTAAAAGAAAAAAAAAAAAAATCCCTGAGTATCTTCAGGGACAATGCCATGCCTGTCATTGGTCCTCAGTAATTTAGATGGTTCTACATTTTCCTCATTATCTTGCCTATTTTCACTGGTTTTGAATTCCTATTTTTAACCACTGTTTCATGTCTCTCACAAAAAATGTAATTTGAAATTATTTCACTTTAAAAAAAAAGTAGGAATGATGCTAAAATTTTTTAAATTCCACTCAGTTCGAGCTCCTACAGAGCAAGTAGGACTCCACACTTCTTGTTAATTTATGTAATTTGTAAATTCTCTTTAGAAGCCCTTTTTTGGGGGGCAGGGGTTGCTGACAGTACTCTGGGCGACCATATGATACTTGTAGGTTCATAACAAATGATTTTATAGTCATACCCTCTAGTCCTGAGAGTGCCTGAGGTCAGTGTTTACCAGAAACTGTTTTTTAATTTTAGCATCATTTGTCATTTCTCTGGAGAGGTTGGGATTCTTCAAAGTCAGAAAGTTTCGGCTCTTTCGTGTTTAACACCCTTTTCTTTAGCTTACCTGTATCCTCTCACATTTCACCATAAGTGGGCAGCCCTGTCCACACTCAGTGGAAGCTGCCTTTACTAGATCACTCAGTTCATTAGGAACACTTTCTACCTTCCACATGACTGCAGGCAATGGTGTTGATAAACTTAACACATAACAAAGTTCTCTTGTACCCAGCTTCCAATAATATTTTCCTCACTTCTCTCATCCATACCCTCCTTATAATCCAAGATCCTACCAACAGTATGCTCAAGAAATCTTAAGCTTTCACTTAATATCCTCAAAATTCAGTTTTAAAATACAACTTTGATACCTTCCTGTATCACTCAGGAGAGCAAGCATCATCTCTTTCATATGGCTGGTATTCATGGCTAGTAAATGAAACTACAGAGCAAGCCTATGCCTTCTGCTTAATTCCATTGTCCCTACTCTACTCTGTCCTCTGTGGCACAGACTGACACAGCATGCCATAGTCTATACAAGCCTGGTTTTGAAGAGTTATGACTATACTGCCATCAGCGCAATTCCAGGTACACTCATTCTCTGTCAGGTTCTTTTGCGACTGGCTCTTGAGTCACAGCTAGTTCCTTGTTCCAGACAGTTTGATAATATATTTTCCAATCTTCTAAAAAGCCCAGCTGCTAAAACAACCACATTTTCCAGATCATCTTACCATTTATTCCATTGGGTAAATGGCACCAAAAATAGTTACAGTCAAGTGTCACCAGTGGGCATGCTAAAACCCAGTGAAACCGTCTCTCTTATATGCTTTTTCTTAGTGTTACCTATGTTTGCCTTTCTAGTCCAAGAAAAATTAAACAGAACACCTCAATCATGGAAATTCTGCAGCTTGCAGGGTATTTTGTATTTCTCCTTTAAATTAGTAAGTCAATGGTTTCTAACCTGAGGGGAGACCATGGTGGAATATATAAAGTCTCATGTGGAACTTTACAAACTACACACAGTTTTTCCCATCAACTCTTTCCCCAAGTTCTAGCATACACTTCAGGTTTAGAAAAGTTCCGTAGGTAAGTGTGAAGTACCTCCTCTCCCCAACCCCCCAATACCAGTTGTGACCACCGAGAGCGACCTTGATTCTGGAAATGTGATATTTAATTCCTTTTCAGTGAAGGAAGTTAGTGATTCTTCTTAGGCACCTTGTGTTCATTTTGGGTTAGTGGAACTAGGTGAAAGGGCATATCTATTTAATAGGCATATCCATAGTTATTGAGAAAATGAGAAATTATTCTTATGAAATAAATTATAGAATGCTTTTATTTGGACAGATTGAATGTCCTTTCTACTAAGTTCTGCTTTTCTTCTTTCCTTTATATGAGAAGTTGGCATACATTTTGGTAAAGAGCCAGATAGGAAATACTTTTAGCTTTGAGAAGCATTTGGTCTGTTAGAACTGCTCAACTCTGCTTGTAGCAGGAGCACAGTCATAGTCAATAGATAATGCAAGTCGGGTGTGGATGTGTTATAATAGGACAGTATTTACTAAACAGGTGATGGGCTGGATTTCTCCTGCAGGCCATAGTTTGCATAAAGGAAGGTGCTGATCCCTCCTTTTAATTTATGGGTCATCCCAGGTGATTTACAAAACTCAGTAGCTCTCTGTTTTGGGAGTCTCTTACTTTCTTCCTGTGGTTCTGTGAGCGTGGCCTACTTTTCCTCTTTCCCCTGACAAGGCCATCTCTGGTCTGCTTCCAAAACACCAAGTTCTGGCCAGTAACGTGGCTTGGCCACGAGATTTGGAATTGTGCCACACGCCTAAATACCATTTAAACCCTTTGCATCTGTGATTCATTCCTAATGACTTAGAATCTCGTTCCCAAGCTACTGTTGGACTATTATCTTAATAAGCCTAGACCCTTTTTCGTTTGAGCTTTTTCCCAGTGACAGGATACAATATAACATGTGGTTAACAAGATTCTGTAGGTAGGTGTCACAGTGGCAACCAGAGTGTCAGAAGGGACAAGTGCACAGCCTTGTAGAGCCCACCTCACCTGGACACACGCAGTTGCACCTGATCCCCTGCTGGATGAAGTCTGTGGCCAAGGACTTTGTGAGGCCAATCACAGCTGCCTTGGTTGTACTGTACACACATCTGTTCTCAACTCCTGAGGGTGAAGGGAAGGTTCAACAGTTGAAGGAATAAAACAACAGTCTCCTTTAGAAAGGGAACACAAGGGGATCCCTGGGTAGCTCAGCAGTTCAGTGCCTGCCTTTTGCCCAGGGCATGATTCTGGAGGCCCAGGATCGAGTCTCGTATCGGGCTCCCAGCATGGAGCCTGCTTCTCCCTCTGCCTGTGTCTCTGCCTCTCTCTCTCTATGTCTATCATGAATAAATAAATAAAATCTTTAAAAAAAAAAAAAGGGAACACAAATAGCTGTCCCCAGTAACCACTGTCATACCACCTCCTATCCTACCCTTTAAAAAATTTGGTATCCGGTTTTCTCCCTGAAGAGGGCTAGTGTCTGAATGTGGGAAAATAATATGATTCCTGACACCTAAGTCAGGGCTTAGGTGTTGAGAATCTGCATTTAATGATGGCAGTGGTCTTAGGTTTTCATCATCGGTTGGTAGAAACCTTGGGCAGATTCCAAATGAAAATCAAGGGAAAGAACAAAACAAAAACCAAACCAAACTTACCAAACCAAGTAAGTCAAGAGGACTGCACATTTTTTTGCCTTCCTGTCTTGGGCAGGCTCCTGTGTGTTCTTGTAGAGAGAAGGGATGCTATTTCTGCAGTAGCTCTTTCATTTTAAACTTACAAATCCATCTGCCAGACTGTGATGGTATTTCCATTTGGCACTGCAATCTGGGTTCTCTGGCTGGACTTCTTGTTTAGGGCCTAGATTGGTTGTCTTTGTGAAGCACTTCCCAAATTGTTATGCTCCTCTGAATCAAGACAGCACTTTGCAAAAGCCTGTGTTGTAATACTGTCACAATGTAGGAGACATGCATTTGCCTGACTCTCCCCTTTTCAGACTGAATTCTTTTGGGGCAGGGGCACATACTGCTCAGTACATCTCTTTTGGTTAATTAAATGGATAAATATTTCCTTCTTTCAGCTTGATTTTTATTCCCATATCCTTTAGAAGGAATAAAAGGAAGGGAAAATGAAACTTATTTTTTATGACTGGTTTACAGTGAAGGCAAAAAGGACTGGTGGTAAGGAACCTGTTACTAATTTTTTAAAAGATGGTTTTGACATTATTTGTGGGTTTTATAACCTCTGCTATGCTTGTTGCAAAAACCCATAGCTGGTGAAGGTACGGGAATATGTGCATCTTGATTCCCAGAGGAAGACAGACCTACCTTTGATGCTAGAAGCCACAGATGACATGTTGATTATGTTGCCAGATTTCTGTGCAAGCATCTGCCAAAACAAAACAAATACAAAACAAAAATGCCACTCTGCAAGATAAAAATACTACCTCTTTAAAAGGGTTGCATTTGCTTATTATGGTTTGCAGAAGCATCTTATTAACTATTAACATTAAGCCTGTTAGGCAGTTTTAATGTCTCACCCAGTCATCGCTGGGAGTGGATGGCATGCTTACACACTTATTGGCTGGAATATTTCTCAGGAGGATTACTGCCTTCCTCTGGCACAAGAGCATCAGCAAGACTAAGAAGGTACTCTGAGCTAAATGAAAGTTAATGAACATTAATTGTTACTTTGTATTCCTGATGCTGGAAAACTCTTTACTTTATTCAATGCGTATCTGTTGAAGGCCTACTATAATCAGATGCGGCACTAGGTCCAGGAGTTTGGAAGATAAATGCCACACTCCCTGCCTAGCGAGAGCTGCCAGTGGACTGGAGGGGTTGACGTGACCAGGATCCAGTGGCATCAGAGACCTCCACAGAGGAGGATTGGGTGGCAGGAAGGGTCAAATCCAGGTTTCGGGACACTCAGAGGAGGGCTCCTATGGAGGAGAGAGGTTGGATGGTTTTTGAAAGCTAGAGTGTTAGGCTGAAAAGTGAAAAAAGAAAGGTGTTTTAAGGAGCAAGTACCACATGTATAAAGGCTACATCACGGATCTGGGAGGAAAGGATAGGTCTGCTTAGAATGCCAAGGCATGGGAGGAATGAGGCTGCAGAGGACAATGGGGGCTGAATTTAGGAATCTGGGCATTACCCTGAAGGCCGTGTGGTGACGATGAGTTGTTTAATGCAGAGAAGTGCCATGTTTATATTTGGGGAATACTATGATTACTGTGGTGCCACGTAGAGGAGACCCACTGGAAGCTGACAGAGTGATGTCAGATAGGACTGATGCAGAAATGTCCGTGGGCAACAAGGGTGGAATTGATTGATATGGTTAAATGCAGGATGTGGTAAATGGTTATTCACAGGGAGGCCTGCTTCCCTCAACAAGGAAGTGTTTCCTAAGAACCCCTCCCTCAGAATTCCCCCACTCAAAGTGTGAATGGCTGAAGAGGAGGGTCTGTGGCTATTTTGTCCTCCTAGAGATGGTACCCAGTAGGTGGTCCATATACTGTGATGAATCAAAATCTCTTGAGGTGCTAGGTTTTTTGTTTATATTTATTATTTTTTAAAGATTTTATTTGTTCATGAGAGACACACAGAGAGAGGCAGAGAGAGGCAGAGACACAGGCAGATGGAGAAGCAGGTTCCCCACAGGGAGCCTGATGAGGGACTTGATCCCAGGACTCCAGGATCACACCCTGAGCCGAAGGCAGATGCTCAACTGCTGAGCCACCCAGGCATCCCAAGGTGTTAGGGTTTTCTTTCAAAAAAGATTAATCTATTTAGAGTGCAAGTGGGGGAAGGGGCTGAGGGAAATGGAGTGAGAGAGAATCTTAAGCAGACTCCAGACTGAGAATAGAGCCACACACGAGACTCGATGTCACAACCCTGAGATCATGACCTGAGCCAAAATCAAGAGTCGGATGCTCAACTGACTACCACAGAGGCACCCTGAGATACTAGATTAAGGTGCAGATTGCTGGGCCGTGTCCCAGACCTACAGGAATAATATAATGGATGAAAAAGCTGCTATGAATTCACAATGTTTTCAGATGAACTTATACTTAAGTATAACATGTATGTGTGTTTTCAAGGGTATACAGGTATGTCCAGGGGCCTGGGGACTCATGAATGCTTTGGGGGAAGAAGCAAGAGGTGGAGAGAATTCCTGTCCGATGTACATTACCTTCTCATTGAAATCAGAAGCTCACAGGACGACCACAAAGAACAAGGAGAGGATGGTGGACATGAGGAGGAGTGAAGAGTTAAAACAAGGTTTGAAAGGAAATGGAAGACCACCACCAGAGAATGGAGGAAGGAAAAGCAGGATATGCTGTGCCATGAAAGTCAAGTAAAAGAATTATTAAAAAAGTGTCCTAACAGTAAGTGTAGAGAGAGAAGTCACTTCTGCTGGGGTGAGTTGCTCTAGCAGCTTTCAGACAGAGAGGTGAAGGAATGGAGGTGAGTGACTGGTCCAGGGATGAAGCTACCAAGATGACAGGTCTCCCTACAGTATTCTTCTGCCTTTGTTTTGATACTTAGTTACTATTTGTACCCAAAAGCATAGGGTCTACAACAACCTAAAGCATCGTGCTGGGTGGATTAAGGGGTACAGGGTAGGCTGAGGTTACCCAACCAAGTCAAGGTGAGTCAACCAAGGCTGAGGTGACCCAACCAATACTTTCACCCCTGCAGTAGGGGTGAAAATATTTAACCCAACCTGTTTGTCTTCGTGATAAAGAGGATCATAATGAAATGAGGTCCTCATGAAAAAGACCAGGGATATGAGTCAAGTATAATGGTGTTGAAAATGAAGCCTTCACATTATTCTTTCTTATCCAACTTGCAAATAACCTGGTTTTACTTATTTTTAATTTTTTTCCAGTTTTATTGAGCTATCATTGTCCCTACATAACCCATTTTTAATACCTAGAGATTACATATACCCCAACTGAATATATAAAGATTAGCTATTAAGTTAGTTCAGTCTATAATCTTTTGAAATGCAGTAATTCTTCAAGCAAAACTTTAGAATATAGTCACCTGGGGTGGCAGCACCTGGGTAGCTCAGTCAGTTGGGTGTCTGCCTTTGGTTTAGGTCATGATCCCAGGGTGCTGGAATTGAGTCCCAAGTCAGGCTCCCTGCTCAATGGGGAGTCTGCTTCTCCCTCTCCCGCTGCTTCTTCCTTCACTTGTGTTCTCTCATGCTCTCACTCTATCTCAAATAAATAAATAAAAATCTTTAAAGAAAAAGAATATAGTCACCTAGGAGATGCTAGTGCTGCCCCCAAGCACTTGTGCCATCCATTCAACCAGGTCTTTCTGCTGGTTCTAGAGCCCTGTGCCAGCCTCCTTCCATGCAGCCTTCTCAATGCTGGCTCAGTACCCCCTGGTACAGGTGCATGCTCTTCCTGGCTTCCCAGGCTAACAGTCCTCTGTTGTAGTCAGGCAGATATGACTTGGCAAGTGTAAAGTGAAGTGTCTAGTACACAGTATTCCTCTATAGGATCAACCTCCCAGAAGCTCAGGCAGGGGCTAGAAAGAGCTCTGAAAATTCCCTCTAGCTGTAGATCTAGTTAGTCCTACCCTGATCCGGCTCTTTTGTCAGCTCCTAAACCTGGCAGACCTTGGTTTCTTGGGTCTTTGGTGAGTCCATGTCTGACCTCTACCTGGATTGGCAACCTAGATTCATTTATTCATTCAACAAATACTTGCTAAAGCAATTCTATGTGCTAGAGTGTCTTCTAAGATACAGCAAAGGGGGAAAAAATCTCCACATATTTGAGACTTCCTTGACTTTGGATTTTGCATTGATCTCTATTTACAGTATTTTCAACTTGTTCTTTGCCTTTTGACTCATATTCCAGTTTTGGAATGGTTTTCTGTATGTCTACCCATGAACAAAAATTTCCTACAAGTGTTTCTATGTTTTGGCCACCTGACTTTTCAGATCTGTCTGGACTCCAAATCCCGGCTTCCCCTAGAAAGTTCTAACCTGGTATATGTGCATCATAGTTAATGAACCCAGAAGATCTCAGACAATTAGGGATTGTGTAATCTCTCACCCTAATTTTATTTTTTATTTATTTTTAAAAATTTTATTTATTTGGGATGCCTGGGCAGCTCAGCAGTTGAGCGTCTGCCTTTGGCTCAGGGCATGATCCCAGAATCCTGGGATCAAGTCCTACATCGGGCTCCCTGCTTCTCCCTCTGCTTCTCTCTCTGTATCTCTCATGAATAAATAAATAAAATAAAAATAAATAAATATTTTATTTATTTGAGAGAGAGAGAGAGAGTGTGGAAGACCACAAATAGTGAGGAGGGGCAGAGGGAGAGGGAGAAGCATACTCCCTGCTGAGCAGGGAACCCAATGTGGGGCTTGATCCCAGGACCCTGAGATCATGACCCGAGCTGAAGGCAGACACTTAACTGACTGAGCCACCCAGGTGCCCCCTCACCTCCATTTTAAATAGAACAGAGTACAAGTGCCATCTCCCATGGCACATGGTGAAGTAGGGGCAGAGTTCAGGCTGTGATGCCAGAGTCCAAAATCTGGGGTCGGGTTGGTTACTGTTAAAGTAACCAGGTACTGGTTAATAATATTGACTCTATCTAATTGCCTATCCCAGACATTAATATCTCCTGGGATTTTTTACAAATCAGTGTTACTGGTTCATATGGTTTATTGTTAAGTGCTTTAAATCATAGGTAAACTCACTAATTTGCAAGTTCATGTTTGATACTTCAAAAGTTAACACTTGGGATGCCTGGGTGGCTCAGCGGTTGAATGTCTGCCTTCGGCCCAGGTCCCGGGATTGAGTCCTTCATTGGACTCCCTGCGAGAAGCCTGCTTCTCCCTCTGCCTATGTCTCTGCCTCTCTCTCTCTCTCTTTCTCGCTCTGTCTCATGCATAAATAAATAAGATCTTTAAAAAAAATTAACATTTACTGACATGTTTATTTTTAAAGGAAGAGTAACTTTTTTTTTTTAAGATTTTATCTATTTATTCATGAGAGATACACACACAGAGCAAGAGAGAGAGGCAGAGACACAGGCAGAGGGAGAAGCAGGCTCCATGCATGGAGCCTGATGTGGGACCCAATCCTGGGACTCCAGGATCACGCCCTGGGCTGAAGGCGGCACTAAACCGCTGAGCCACCCAGGCATCCCAAATTCCTTTGTTTCTAAGTCAGTTTTTCATAATTTTCCTTTTAATGTTCACCTGGATCTTTTAGGTTGAATGTTCAGAGCAAAGCATCAGCCGTGCCTTGCCATTAAAAAGCTTTTCTCCATGCTGGATTGGCAGCATTCAGTATGTCCGTCATCTAATCCATCTGGGATGGAAGAGAAGAATAGCTTCTCTGCATATCACTAAGGCTTCAGTTTACAACCTTGGACTGAGTTGGTTCTGTACTCAGTCAACCCCTTTCAGTGTCTGAGCTTGTGCTGTCTGCTTACTATTGGCTTATGAATTCATCTGAACTCAATATTTTTCATATTTATGCTCCCCTCCCACAGAACACCTACTGTTTGTTTTATATCAAAAGGCATTTAATGCTTGTTTGTAAAATAAAACGAAAAACACTGACGACTTGTGTGAAAGCTGTGGAATTCAAGGGTTAATATATCAAGAGGAATGCTCTCTCTTTAACACATGCTGTGACTCACCTCTCTGGTACCTCTGTGGCTCAGCTAAAAACAAGAAGAATGATCAGGGAACAGAAAAGCCATGGGGTACATCCATCTTGAGAGCCTGTGCCTAGACACTGAAATTCAAGAAGGGGCCCAACTCCAGGTTTCAAATCCTGTTTTTTATTTTTTTTGTTTTTTAAGATTTTATTTATTTATTTATAAGGCAGACACTCAACCACAGAGCTACCCAGGCGTCCTTCAAATCCTGTTATAACCACCTGCTAATTATGTGACCTTGGGCAAGTTACCTCACCTCTCAGTTTTATTACCCTCTGTACTGTGGATGTGATAAAGTAGTATGTACCTCATTACCTTCTTCTGGTCCTGCATGCCTCCTTGCTGTCCCTCTCCCTGGGTCCCTCTTCCTTAAATACCTGCATAGCTAGCTCTCTCATTTCACTTGGGCCTCTATGAAAATTTCAGCATGTCAGTGAGGCCCTCCTGGGCTTTACTGATATCCTAGCTGCTTTTTATTCATAGTACTTCTAATCACTTCCCAAGTTATATTTCCGATTCCTTGTTATCCTGTCTCACTCCTCAAAAATGGGATATCTCTTATAGAAGGGACTTTGTTTAGTTTTCTGATGTGTCTTCTGCACCTAGAGTGGAGATTTGCCAATAGAAAGTGCTTAATATTTCTTGAATATTTCTAAACTGAAAGGTTAAATCAATTAATTTATATTAAGTGCCTTGATATAAACATTCAGTACAGGTTAGTCATTATGTTAGCTACTGTCACTCTTCAGCACATGTGAGGACCCTTTCTGGATGCCCCGTGTGGAGATCTACTTATCCAGTAGTGCTTATCCTAGTGGTGGTAGTCCTTACCTTAGGAAGAAACGCCTTGATCATCAAGTACATGCTGCGGATATTGAGATTCATTGAGAAATCCCAGTCTTTCTCCTCGCAGTCCAGGATAGTTCCATGATGGACAAAACTGGAAGAGGAATTAAATAGCGGGGAAAAAATGATCATTTAAGAAGATCTGTATTCCATTTCCTTATTTTTTTATTGTAATATATTAACTTAGATCATTGACTCTTGTGAAGATTTTAACAATTCTGATATCACCTAGTACACTAGGTTAATGAGTATCCAACAACTTAAGCTAAATAAATTTATTTGAAAACAATATCCTTCTTTTAAAAGAGAAAGGCAAAAGTCTGGGGCCACCAAATGTAAGAAGCTTGATAGCGACTGCACAGGAAATATCAAAAACATGAGACTAGGACGCCTGCCCTGACTACTTTTTCAAGAGCACCTTTTTCCCTCAGGTGGCACAGATTTAGTGTTTTCAAAGGGAAAATCAAATTGCAAGGGAAACCATTGTCTCAACATCTCAGGATGGCCAAGTAATATGGTTATCATACAGTTCTAACATATTGAGTAAACAAAGCAGAACAAAACAAACTCTTAAAGCAGCCTTCACTCACTGCCTTTTAAGTCACACTCATAAATAACTTGCTCATCCTTTGCGTGATAGCAAGAACCACGTGCTCTATTTCTATATCCCTTACACTGCCTAAAATTTAACATGTAGATGTTCAAAAACTAATTTTCCTGACTTATTTTTGTCATGGCTCTGAGTATATTCTCATATAAGGGATGGACAATTTATAAAATAGATTGTCAAAAATTGTTGCTTTAATTTAATTTTCATGTAATGTAACATGACAAACTATAGATGGATTTTTTTTTTTTTTTTTTTTGCACTGAAACATGATTAAGGAGAACAAAAACATATTAGAAAGCTCTGGAGGTTTTCTACCAATGCAGTAGTACAAATATCTCACTACATAAGAAAGGTGGAATGTCACTTGGGTCCTGTATAAACCTCAGTTGTATTCGTCTCTACTGTCACACCTAAGCAGAGAAAATACTGGCACTACCTGTCCTATGTGCAGCTGCTCCACTTTCAGTCTCCTCTCATTCACACATAGTTCCGCATGTTTGCTACTACCTAGTAAGTTCAATTAAGCCATTCTCTTTGTGCTCTAAACAGAAGTGCAACACAGAAACTTCTTTTGATGGATGGGACTCATTGTCCCACTAAGAAACCCTGAGCTTGGGAGGTTGTGCCAAAAAAATTGGGAACACCTCCATTTCAAGAAGCTGAGTACTTGGTTTCTGGTATATATACTTTGTTTTAGAGACATCTACTGGAAAATAGTTTCTCATTTATAAGTCTTACTGGAGCACTCACCACGAGTCCATTGGTGTCAGTTGTTGCTAGCCTTAAGAAATCAACAGGTTCAGATTAATACCAGTTCTCTTCGGTAGATCATAACTTCCCTTAGGCCTCAAGCCCATGTCCACTTCTTTTTTTTAAAGCTTTTATTTATTTATTTGACAGAGAGCACACACATGCAGGGGGAGTGGCAGGCAGAGGGAGTGGGAGAAGGAGGCTCCCGGGGGGCACAGAACCCAATGCGTTTATCTAGGACTCCGGGATCATGACCCGAGCCAAAGGCAGGTGCTTAACCAACGGAACCACCCAGGCATCCCTCTATGTCCACTTCTATGGCTTTCTTACTTGCTGAATCTTGGAATAAAAATTCTGTTAAAATCTAGCTGTGTTTCCTAAGAAATATATTATGGTTCATGATGAATAATTTTGCCATTTTATCAAAAATCATTAAATAAAAGTCATGAAAAACTTTCTGTAAGAACAGTGAAATTAAAACATATGAATTACCCAGCAACATTAAAGAGAACATCAAGTCTCTCAATTTCATTGGCAAACTGATCAATTTGTTTCTTCTTTGTGACATCAAGGGTCCGAGTTTGAATACCTGAAAAATAAAACAAAGGAATCTATCTGTACTCATAAAAATGTTTAGCCTTGAAGATTTAGCTGTTTTAAAGTGTGAGGATTGCAGTCTTTGTCCAGTTAGACTTTTTTTTTTTTTGTCCAGTTAGACTTTAGAGAGTCTTAGGAATATTTATTTATTTATTTATTTATTTATTTATTTATTTATTTATTTATTTATTTATGATAGAGAGAGGCAGAGACACAGGAGGAGGGAGAAGCAGGCTCCATGCCGGGAGCCCGACGTGGGACTTGATTCCGGGACTCCAGGATCGTGCCCTGGGCCAAAGGCAGGCGCTAAACCGCTAAGCCACCCAGAGATCGAGTCTTTTTTTTTTTTTTTTTAAAGATTTTATTTATTTATTCATGAGAGACACAGAGAGAGGCAGAGACATAGGCAGAGTGAGAAGCAGGCTCCCTGTGGGGAGCCCAGTGAGGGACTTGATCCTAGGATCCTGGGATCATGCCTTGAGCTGAAGGCAGATGCTCAACCACTGAGCCACTCAGGGATCCCTGAGGGTCTTAGGAATCTTAAGAATCTTATTAGTAAAAATCTGAAAGTCCTCCTCGTCTTGACCTCTATATTAGATGCCTCTCAGTAAGCCAGCAGGAATAAAGCAACTGGGTCCCTCTAGCCCTTTCTTTCCCTAAAGGTTGAATTATTGCTACAGTGATGCTGAATTCTGCCTGTGAGGGAAGGGCAGGGGAAGTGGAATAAGAAATTATTTCTATTTGTGCCCTTTACCTTTATGCCAATTCTTTTGTTTACTAGAAATAACTTTGTTGGTCATGGGTACCATCATTTATTTCTGGAATAAATTGCAAGAAGAAATGAGAGGCCAGAAGAAGGGATGAAAACACTAACCAGGAGTGATCTGGTGTGGGATCTGAGAGAGACACACTATACTAGCTACTAAAAAACCCCAAAACCAAAAAAAACAAAAAAACAAAAAAACAAAAAAAACCAACCCAACAAGTCTGCTTTAATGAAAGAAGCAGTTATTATTTTTTATGATTTAAAAATATATAGTTTATTTTATTCCCTTTTGGATATAGAAAAGGTAGATTATAAATAAAGAAAGGGAAGACTAAATTTGAGTTTCAGAAGAACTTCCTTTGCTTTGTGCTTTTCCAGGGCAGCAGCTACCCCTTAGACTTGTTGAAATGATAACTCAGCATAGTCTAGCTCAGTTAACTAATTCAATGAACTAAACTGTGTTTGCTCATATAACCTGTTCTATTTTGCTGAAACAGTTAAATTTCAAGTGACTTCTATGTCCTGATTTCTTTCTGAGTAATGCTGATTGAAGCCGTCTGATGTTGGAATTAGGTTTGGTGTGGTACACTAAGGGGCAGCCAAACAAGTTAGTCTTTGCAGCTGCTGCTTTTTTTTTTTTTTTTTTTTTTTTTTTTAGATTTTATTTATTCATGAGAGACACAGAGAGAGGCAGAGACATAGGCAGAGAGAGAAGCCAGCCCCCTGCAGGAAGCCTGATATGGATCTCGATCTCAGGACCCTGGGATCTAAGCCAAAGGCAGATGCTCAACCACTGAGCTACCCCAGGCGACCCATCTCTTACAGCTTCTGATCATATGTCATTTTAAGGCTAAGCTGTTTCCATTATGGTAGCTACTAGCCACATGTGGCTACTGAGCATTTGAAATGCAGCTAGTGTGAATTGAAATGTTCTGTAAGTGTAAAATACATGTGCATTTCAAAGATTCAGAATAGGAACCCTATAGTGGTTTAGCGTCTGCCTTTGGCTCAGGTCATGATCCCAGGGCCTGGGATCAAGTTCTGCGACACCTTGCTGAGTCTGAATTCCAAGTTCACACTGCTGAGTTGCTTACCGGGGTACTTTTCCAGTTCCTGAAGTTTGGACTCATTGATATCGGTGGCAATGACTTTGGCACCTTCTCTTGCAAAAGCCTGGGAGACACAATGCACAAGTAAATCCTTTGTCTATTTGATTTGATTCTGTTCTCATGAATGGAAAGTCCCTTATCTTATTTTCATTGCTTTCCCTATAAAATAGGTAGAATTTCAAGCTCTCTTTCATTTCACCCATCCCATTATTATTTTCATTACTTAGAACGTGACATACATTGTGCTTGTCATCTGACTTTGTCCCTTTAAGCATTATCAAATAGTGTTTTTAAAAACGAGGCCTCTGTTATTGACACTTCTCAAAATACTATTCTGTGATGTCATGGCCTGTATTTATTTCATTTCTGAGGAAGTTCTTACTGTTTTCTATTTCTTATTATATTCCAAATAATAAGAGAAAATGGGTTATTTCAACACTTTTTTTTCTCCTGAGTATATTAGTTTCATAAATGTCAGACCATACCCTACTATTACACTTTAAATGCATTAATTAGGTCAGGTGGGGGTAATAATGTGCAAGAAGTTGATATAAATTAGGAAGGTAAAGGTAACCTGACAGTCTTGTAATTCGAGTCTTATACCTGAATTGATGTAATTTCAGAAAGCTCTGCCTTCCTGTAGGGCCACTGTAGTAAATGTATCATAGTGCAGAGAAACAGACAGAGAAGTCTCTCAGAGTCAAAGATTATCAGTAATGTCGCATAATAAACATGTGAGGTGTTCATTCCTTCATCTACCTGGGGTCAGGAAAAGGGACTTTTCTTTTGTAACGTAAGACAAGAGAAGCACAAAATTTAAAAAAATAAAAGGTAGAGCAGAATCAAGTAATCATAGGATCTGTCCACATAATTCAATACCTCAAAAGGTAGTAAGTAAACAAGAGATAATAACTTACTAAGGCAGCTGCCCGGCCAATCCCCTGAGCAGCAGCTGTCAGGACGATGACCTTCCCATCAAGTCGACCCATAATGGAACCTGTGGTTAAAGCTAGAGACGTATATTTAATGGCTTACACTGTAGCACATGGTCCGGTGCAGTGACATCTAGAATGAACATTTCAATGTACTCTTTAAGAACTTAATGACAGTTTCTGTACAAATAGTCCCATCATCTGAATTCTCCAAGAATGCTGACACTAGATACCTACCTTAGTGTATCAGAAATATCTAGCATAACCCACTTAAGTGGTAACAGACATTGGACTTTAATCCACCATTCGGTTTCCTGAGTACTTAGAGAAGAGAGCCTTTGATACTGATATAGCAAGGCTGGAGTCCTTCCCTTCACTACCACCACCATTGTCCCCACTGTCCCTATACAAACTACTATGGCATTCTCGATTTCTCTGCTGTAAACTTTTGTTGGGGGTTTGTACTATCAATTGTCTATGGCTTTTCCTTGTCACTGGAAAGATTTCATGGTTGGCCTCAGAGAGTCATTGAACAAAAGAGCTGGAAAAATCAAATCATATCCAATACTCCCATTTTATAGATGAGAAAACTGATCTGATTTACGCAAGGTCACAGAGCCAGTTAATGACAGAGACAGAACTATGCTCAGGCCTCCTGACTCCTTCACTATGTGAAATTCCACCCCACAATACTGCTGATCCTTTCTTAAAGTTTAAGCATGCAGGGGTGCTTGGGTGGCTACGTCAGTTAAGTGTCTGCCTTCAGCTCAAGTCATGATCCCAGGGTCCTGGGATCTAGCTCTGCATTGGGGCTCTCTGCTTAGTGGGGAGCCTGCTTCTCCACTCTGCTGCTCCCCTTGCTTGTGCTCTTTCTCTCTCTGTCTTTCAAATAAATAAGAATCTTCAAAAAGAAAAGTTTAAGTATGCAGTAGTAACACTTTAACAGATACTATCTGTAATTTTCAGATTGGAGGACTGAGGAATTCTGACCTAGGGAAAATAAGATATGCATAAGATACTTGACTGGTTCTTGAGCAGTAGTTTGCAGGATGAGGGGAATGGCTAATGATGAGGTTGGGGGTAGTTAAATGTCAAATGATGGTTAACTGAGGCTGTCTTCAAGGAACTGAGTACATTTGCTCACCTTGCTGTCCTTAATGGGTGTCTTTGATTTCACACCAAGGTACACAATGTCTGCTTTGTCCCAAGGCATCACATCCCCATTCCAGGCAAAAAAAAAAAAAAAAAAAAAAAAAAAGGTAGTGGGGGGCTGGTGGTGGGAAATAAAAGCCAAAAGCCTTTCAGAGTGTCCTCTCTTTCTATTCAAGAAGGAAGCCCTCCTTAGAAATTCCAACATTCATTTCACAGGCCAGCTCTAGCTGCAGAGGTTAGGAATTTGAGAGTTTTGTTTTCTAGCCTCTGTAAAGAGAAAAGCTAGGGGAGGAGGGTAGTGAGCCAACTTAAAAGGTACATGTACAGACAACCTACACAATCACCCTACTCAATTATCTGCCTGATAGAAAACAGGTAGCAAGTCTGGCCTAGAAGGCTCACATGATCTAGTCCTTTCTTTTTGAACCAATCTTTGTTCTCACTAGCCAACCTTGGTTTTTTGCTGTAACCAAGCCTCCACGCTTTATCTAAGCTCGGAATGCCGAGGGGCCAGTTACTCCTGTGGGCAACGAACACTAAAGGATTGATGGAAACAGTGTGACACAATCAGACACGTATTTTAGCTCACTGTGGAGCAGGCCGCAGGAGGATGTCTTTGGGAGGGTGTGCAGTGGTCTGAAGGGCCTCTGGTGAAACAGCAGAGAGGGAGGGGATGGAGAAGGGGGCTGGACCAGAGCAGCGTTTAAGACAGGAGACAGGGCCTGGTCAGCAGTGCACTTCCTTCGGAGGTCGTAAGTGGTCTCTCGCGGCTGTGAATGCAAGCCTAGGCCTCCGGGTTGCAGGTGCAAGAGAAGACCTCGTGGGTGGGCTCTGCACGCCCCTCTCCCGGCCCTGGGAGGCCAACGCGGGTGTGCGGTGGGCCCTCGCCCCTGCCCCGCGGTGGGTGGGCCTCCCCCCGACTCCTCCCCCAGCCCTCTCCCCCCCCCCACCCCATCCCTCCCTCGGGGTCTGACGGCCAGTTCACTCTCCTTGACCCTCACAGGGGCTTCTCCCCTGGTAACACTCATGCACCTTTAACTCTGTCTTGGAGTTTTGCTTCTCAGAGGGTCAGGCTAGCACCTGGCTCCCGGAGCCTGTTTACAGCTTCACTGAAGTTCTCGACGATGAAGTCTGCATTTGTTATGCGCCCAGGAGGCTGAGCTTTTCCAGTGCCTGACCTACTCTGAGGCCATGGATTTTCACTGTGGCTTTTTATTTTTTTTCTTTCTTGCACGAGTCGAGTCATACATTTTCACTTTAAGCACGTAAAGAGTTGAGAAATATATGCTTTAGAAAGTAAGAGACTCCAATCATCACCCCCCCCCCCGCCCCTCCCCAGTGTTGGGCATGGTGCATTAAAAAGATGTTATTTTACACCACTGTCCCTGCTGGCTTTGGGTGCATGGCACTGAAAGCATGTACCGGTACCAAAGATGTCCCTAGGAATCTTTGAAACCCAGAGAAGCACTTACTGAACAACTATTGAAGCACAGCTGCTTTGCTCGCTCTGAAATCTTAGCTGGTCTTGCCTTTCTGGGACCAGATTTTGGTCCCAAAGACTTACTGTTGGAAAAAACTATACTATCAAACTAAAATGGATTTCATTTGGGAAAATGTAGTACAAACATGACCTGAAATGGTAAAATGAGGCAACTCTCCATAAATCCAACATGAAAACCACATTGAAAAACTTATATACCAGGGTTTTAGACTTGTTAAAAACGCACCCTTATACTGATCTAACGGCTGAAATTAATCTTGAAATGGGTAACTTGCAGAACACAAAATCTAAACCTCCTCCTCTCCCAGTCTGAAGTGTCATTTAAAAAAATAAAAGGAAATCTTACTTTAGAGCAGCAAGTGGACGGCGTCCTTCAGATCCGTGGGTGAGAAACAAACTTGAGACCTTTGTGCAGAAGCAAGTCAGGCACTTAATAATGCATGTTGGGATTTGTAGTTTCCGTCAGTTTTAAGAAAAGGAGGAGCACATTTATATACTACGTATGTGTGTGTGCTGCCATCAAGTGGAGCTCAGGTGGTACAGTTAACTCCAAGGAGGTGAAAAATGGAAAAGCGCCCTACAGCTTACTTAGGATATAGAAATCATCACCTTCACTTTAACCTAAGTCTTTGTTATTTGTTCGTGCCTACTATGTGCTGCTCTAGGATATTAAAAATTTAATGAGCCAGAAATTTCATATAAAAGAGTAGGGCAATAAAACAGAAGGACCCTAAGTCATTTATTTAAGATAGCGGAGGCTTCCTTCTAGGCCATTTCCCAAGATTGTTTTGAGGGAGGGAAATAAAAATTCCCTTGTGTTTAAAATCTAGTTATTTATGGTTGTTTTGTCACACTCTAACACTTGTGTTTAGTGGCAGAGTGCAGGCATCCTGAGTACACTGAGGGGCAAGGTCCGGGTAGCACTTTGAACTTGAGTGTGGAGGTCATGTTGGGCAAGAACAAAAACTCAAATTTGGCTGAAGAGAACAGAGATAGTAGAGATTGAAAAGGACTAGGTCATGTGTGCTAGGCTTAGTAAGTCATACTTAATCAGGTGCATAATTGAGCAGAATGATTGTGTAGGTTATTTTGTGCATGTACTATTTGCCTTCATTCACTCAACATCCCCTCACCTCACTTTCCGCTGCCTTTTATTTTATAAAGGTCAGAAAACCAAACTCTCACATTCCTAGCCTCCTTTGTTGCTAGAGCTGGCCAATGGAAGGCAAGTTGAGAGGATTTCCTTCTTGAATAGAAAGGCAAGGCCACTTTGAAAGGCTTTCCCTTCTTTTTTGCCTGGAATGTGGATCTTCTTTGGGACATGGCAGCCATTGTGTGACTTTTGAGGTCAGAGGCAGAGCAGGGTGAGGGAAGGAACCTGATTTCTTGAAGACAGCTTCTATGCCACAGTTCTAGACCAACTCCTCTGGATTCTTATGTGAGAAAAAGTTAATTTCTTTGAATCACATCTTTCTTTAGTTTTTTGTCTTTGGAGCCAAGTATATTCATAACAGTCATGGCAGTTCAGAACAAAGACTGTGTAGTGAGAAAGACGAAGGTTAAGTCTCATATCCTTCACTAGCTGTGTAAATCACTTAACACTCCAAGCCCCAGTTTTCTTATCTGTAAATAAAGGTAACCATAGCACCTGCCTCAGGCATGTGAGAAGGAAGGACAGGCATGCACAACATCTGTTACATTTGTACTTAATAAATGTTAATGATTATTAAAATTCAATGATACCCACCATTTGCTTCGACGTGGATGGAACTGAGGGTATTATGCTGAGTGAAATAGGTTAATTGGAGGACAAACATTATATGGTCTCATTCATTTGGGGGATATAAAAAATAGTGAAAGGGAATAAAGGGGAAAGGAGAGAAAATGAGTGGGAAATATCAGTGAGGGGGACAGAACATGAGAGATTCCTAACTCTGGGAAACGAACAAGGGGTGGTAGAAAGGGAGGTGGGCAGGAGGTTGGGGTGACTGGGTGAGGGGCACTAAGAGGGGCACTTGACGGATGAGCACTGGGTGATATGCTATATGTTGGCAAATTGAACTCCAATTAAAAGAAAAGAAAATTCAATTAGAGTAGATGGCAAAAATGGATTTTAAAAAAATCCCTGACCTAATTTTCACATATATAAACATATGCACACAAAGTCTTTGGTAAAACTGTCCCTTATTGCCCACGATAGCTTGTAGTGGAGTCTAATGATCTCTAGTCACACCCAGCTGTGCTTGTTGCTTTACTAACAATCTCCCTTTAACTTTTGAGAATTTTAGAATAGATTTTATACAGATATGAGAATTCTCTAATCAAGGTCAAATCTAATTCTTTTTTTAATTTTTATTTATTTATGATAGTTACACACACACACACACACACACACACACACACACACAGAGAGAGAGAGAGAGAGAGGCAGAGACATAGGCAGAGGGAGAGGCAGGCTCCATGCACCGGGAACCTGACATGGGATTCGATCCCGGGTCTCCAGGATCGCGCCCCGGGCCAAAGGCAGGCGCCAAACCGCTGCGCCACCCAGGGATCCCTAATTCTTCTTTCTTGATGCAGCTTTCTTCACCTTCCCTTTGTCTGGATTTTCAATAATCATACTCTGTGACAGCCTAATATAGTGTTGCAAAAATTCGCTTACCCATCTATATTTTCCATGAACTAAATTTCTTTAAGGCTAGGGACCATATCTTTTTCACCCTTATATTACAATCAGCCCATCTTATGAGAAATTTAATTCTAAACGTGAATTTCACAAAGGCAGTACCTTTTGGTGCCTAGATCAGTGCTTGGCACAGTAAACAGCCATTAAATATTTCCTGAATATGCATGGTAGGCTCTCACTAGGTTTCTTGGATATAATTTTACCAGGCTCTCAATAAAATATTTCCTACAAAAAAATTTGTCTTTTTTAGTCTTGTCTTTACTTTTCAGACCACTTTCGTGTTGTCTGACCATATTATTTATTTTAAACATTGTTGCATGTTTCATTGTTGACTTTCATCATTGTACCTTCACAGCCGTTTATCATGATATTGAAACCCAGATCCTAAAAGGGAGATGTCAACGACATGGAGGACCAGAAAATTCCACCTCTTTCTCCCAGAGACAGATTTAAAACAATATATAGACCAAAATACCTTTATGAGAACTTAGGCTAGTTAAGAAGTCGCAGTACCCTAGGTAAGGGGAAAGCTGAGAACAGCTGCAATGACATGGGTAAGAAGAGTCATTTCATTTTCCTATGGCTCCACCCACCTCACCCCTTGCCCAAGCTACCACATCTCAGCCTCTGGCTCCTAGCTCCTAGGGGGAGTAGGGGGAAGAGAAGAGTAGAAAACAAATCCAACATTCTGGCTTTTTATATGGGAGGCCAAGGGGCTGGTTTCTGTCTTGCCTGACTTGGGAGTGCGGATGGAACTGGTGATAGTTGACACGAGAGGGCCAGTGCTCCAGGTGGAGGCCAGAGTGGTTCAGCACAATTGGGAGAGAGGGAGAAGAGTACAGCAAGGGCTTGGTATTCCAGCTTTTTGGAGGGCTGTCCAAGACTGCTGTCTTGCCTACCTGAGGTGCTAAGGGGGAGCTGAAATACTTTGGATGCCTGAGGGCCAAGGAGAACAGAGAGTGTGGTGGCCTCTTACCACAAGAACATGCTTACTGCAGACAGACACCAGAGGGAGCCAGAGATCTGGCTCCTAAGAAAATTGGTAAGCCTCTCTAATTGGCAAATTATACACACAGCCCGGAGAGGTCACATCCTCCTAAAAAGGTTTCAGAGATTCTGAGAATCTCCAACCAGGCTGATAGATGAACGTGTTCCCCTGTATGAATCAGTCTGTAGTGGTGGCTGCTTTTTCAAATGCATAAAGCTCAGAAAAGAAATCAGAACGCATGCACATTCACACACAAAACATGACCCAAAGGAGCAAAATGAATCTCCAGAACCCAACACCATGCAAGCAAATTACCAGAGGAAGATTTAAAAATAGTTTTTAAGAAGCTCAATGATCTACAAGAGAATGCAGATAAGCAACTACATGAAATCAGGAAAACAATGTACGAACAAAATGACACTATTAACAAACAGAAACTAGGGACACCTGGGTGGCTCAGCGGTTGAGCGTCTGCCTTTGGCTCAGGGTGTGATCCTGGGGTCCGGGATCGAGTCCCACGTCAGGCTCCCTGCATGGAGCCTGCCTCTCTCTCTCTCATGAATGAATAAATAAAATCTTAAAAAAAAAAAAAAAAAAAAAACTAACAAAGAACCAAACAAATTCCGTACCTGAAGAACACAATGACTGAATTTAAAAAATTTACTAGAGGGGTTCAATAGTAGACTTGATCAAGCAGCAAAAAGAATCAAAGAAAAAGGGAAGAAATAAAAAAGAAAAGTGAAGAAGGCCTAAGGTACTTATGGGACATCAGCAAATGGACCAAGAGTTGCATTATGGTACTTCCAAGTAGAGAGAAAGGGACAAAAAATTTATTTGAAGAAATAATGGGCCCAAATTTCCCAAATCTGAAGAAAATGAACATCCAAATTCTAAGTTAAGCAACATTTTACTAGACAGGATATCTGATGACTGATTATACTTTTAATGGCCTTAGTTTTATTATCTAGGTGGGCTTATTGAGTTACTTTTATTCAGCAGAGGAGCAGACATTGTAAAGAATCAAATCTGCAGCTCTGTTCCAGTGTCTTATTTGGGGAAGCATGGCAAGGAGAAACAAGACCCTGAAGGGGCAGGCTTGGGGGAGAGAATTATAGGGAGGGACACCTTCCCCTTAGCCCCAGTGAATTCCTATGATAGTATATCAAGGGCAAATATCCACTCATAGATTGTAAAATGATGGCTATGATATAAATCATAATCTCTTTCTTTCAATGAATCTTCTTACCAAAGAACCAAGGATGAGTTGAAATCACTAACTCTGTTCTAAACCTTATGCAACTTGGTGATTTATGTGGTTTTTCAAAGTCACACGATAGAGAAGTAGTATCAGATACTCTCTAAAACCACAGTTCTTAACCTCCTATAGGATGACAAATCCTTTAAGAATATGATAAAAGTATGGACCCAAGTATCCTAGAAAAAGGAATCTACACATACAAATTAACATAAAATTTCAGAGGTTTCACAGACTGCATGAAGCCCATCCATAGATGCCTTATGGATCTGTGGGGACTCTGGGTTTAGAAGACTTTCTACTTTGATAGAAACTCTGGTGCTGTTTCCTCATGTCTGAAATAAAAGGGTAGAATGGTCTGTGAAGTTCGTCCAGCTGGGAGTGAAATGTAGTAGAGTACAAAGTCTGATAACAAACCAACCAATTCTGAGTGCTTGTATAGGGGGTTGGTGGGTAACAGAAAAGCACAGGATAATTTTTGTATTTGTTATAGCCAAAGAAAGATTAGCCTAGAAAATGAAGAGGTCATAGCACTTTGCTATCCCGTAGCAATTTAAATCCAGAAAGCATGTATATAATCTCATAGCAAAATTCTGAAAGTCAACAAGCAAATAGAGCCAAATATACCAAATATCCCACCAAGAAATCATTAATATTACAGAGTTGTGATTCAGAACCACTAATTAAAATTTATTAGGTACTTAAAAAAAGCTTATAATTTTACAAATTAAATGATGCTTTAATGGATATATTATGCCTTAGAATTATCTAAATCATATGTGGATAACATTACATTAATAAAAATGAATACATTTTATGTATACATGAAAGACTGGAAGTTTCCTTCAATAATTTTGCGCTTTACAAAATATATAAATAAAACAATTCGACTTCTAAAGTATTACCACATTCAAGAAGAAAATATTGCTATCACCATTCTAAATTACTGGAATGCATTAATCTCCTGTTCCTTCATCTTCTAATTGTAACGGCACAGTAAAAACTGAATTGAATTTAAGTTGGATTGTGACAACAATGCCAGGGATAGGCACATAAAGTAATAATTTCCAAACACAGAATGCTGGGCCCCCAGAAAAGTGACAGTAGAGGAGTCTACTGGGTCTTGCACTCGGGCACATCTTTTCCTGAGGAGGCATGCCATGGACCTGGCTGAGGATCCACATTCTCTGCTCCAGCAATTTGTTCTTCTGAGAAAAAACAAAAGGAAAAAACAAAAACAAAAACAAAACCTAAATCATCTAATTTTATTAAAGAAAACCCATAAAATTTGAATACAAGTAGAAATGAAACCAATGTTAAGACAGTAGAGATATGAAGAATGAAAAATGACAATCTGGTCATTAATGAGCTCAAGTTTGGTCATTAAAAAGGTGCCTTTCACTTCTCCAGAGGTGGAGAAGTTTCTTCCCCATTTTCTCATAAAATCAACTGTTAGGAAAGCCATTTTGTACATAAAACCAAGAAGTAATAAAGTGTCCCTTGAAGTTCATCAGTTTGAGATTCAAAGTGAATCAAACATAGGTTGGGTCTTATTTTCCTTTGCCTTAATTTTGGAAAAATACATGCTGTGCTAAACAAATAGCATATATTTTGAAGAATAGTCATTCTCAGAAAACTCTGAGGCTTTTAAAAGTACTTCATTTATTTGTTTATAAATAATATTCATTTTCAAAGGATCATATTTAATAAAATAAATCTCGTATATCTGGTCTTTGCAATTACCTCAAGTTGTTGAGAAAATTCAAGTTATCTTTTATAATTCAAATTAAAAACTAACATTAAAATTCTTTTAGAGAAGATGTGGTTTATGTATACAATGGAATATTCCTCAGCCATTAGAAACGACAAATACCCACCATTTGCTTCAACGTGGATGGAACTGGAGGGTATTATGCTGAGTGAAGTAAGTCAATCGGAGGACAAACAGTGTATGTTCTCATTCATTTGGGGAATATGAATAATAGTGAAAGGGAATATAAGGGAAGGGAGAAGAAATGTGTGGGAAATATCAGAACGGAAGACAGAACATAGACTCCTAACTCTGGGAAATGAACTAGGGGTGGTGGAAGGGGAGGAGGGCGGGGGGTGGGGGTGAGTGGGTGACGGGCACTGAGGGGGACACGACGGGATGAGCACTGGGTGTTATTCTGTATGTTGGTAAATTGAACACCAATAAAAATTAATTTATTAAAAAAAATAAAATAAAATTCTTTTATAACAGTATTCTACTACTTCAGGCTGGAACCATCTCCTTTAATTCTGAATTGGTCAGTTGAGATTCATATATTCTTCCAGACTATAGTTTTGTTTATTTCACTTAAAAGTAGTACCAAAAAAAAAAAAAAAAAAAAAAGTAGTACCAGAGTGATCCATATATTGATAAAAAGACTTAAACATTTCTATTTACAGCTGAATTAATTCATATCAAGCATGTGCCTCTGGCACGATCAGAAAAAAAAATCAAAAGGTGATTTAAAATTTCTCCATTTTTCAAAAAAATCTTCTAAAATAGCATGTATGTGTATACAGCAAAAGTTCCATTTAAGTGCTAGCTAATGGAAGGTCCTTAAATGTTTGTTAAATATTATTCCATAAAGTGAATAAATGGTTCAGAAATGTTCTCAAACTTGGTGCCTTCCTATACCCCCAGGAGCACTTCCAGACTGCTGACTTGATCTAGCTAAAAATGATCGGACAGCTGCCTCTTTTAGCATATACTTTTGTCGCTTTAGCTTTCCTCCAACTGTGTAACGGCATTTCTGACAGGCAGATGCACTGGCACATGGACACATGATTAATGCTGAGCAGTGAGAAGGACAAGAAATGCAGTATTACAGAGCATCTCTGGCAATGTTCCACACCTCTGTGTCCGGCACCCGGGCAGAGATGGGGATGACCCTTGAGGCTGCCTCCCTCTATCCAGTCAGGCGCCTAGCACTGATTTTTTCCCCAAATCTCACCTGACCATCCACTCTTCATCTCTACTGTACCCGCTCAAGTCCATGCTACCATCACCTCTTGCTTGGACAACTGTCATAAACTCTTGCTCCTATTATTTGTTGGTTACCATTTAAGTAAGGTGGTGTGTTCAAAATTTACAACTCCTTATGATCCCCAACCCTCCCCTCTCCTGTGCCTCATCATGTTCTTTAAAATATTTCAAAGGCTTCCTCTATATGCTTTCAAGATAAAGTAAAAATTCCTTTATATAATCTGTGGTCTGGCCACATCATCTTTCTTTCAACCCCTCTCCCCTGGTTATGGTCCCTTCTACCTTGGGCTTGTCACTGTTCCATCTGCCTGATTGTTTTTTTTTTTTTTTAATTTTTTAAAATTTATTTATTTATGATAGTCACACAGAGAGAGAGAGGCAGAGACATAGGCAGAGGGAGAAGCAGGCTCCATGCACTGGGAGCCCGATATGGGATTCGATCCCGGGTCTCCAGGATCGCGCCTTGAGCCAAAGGCAGGCGCCAAACCGCTGCGCCACCCAGGGATCCCTTCATCTGCCTGATTGTTAAGCTAACTCACGTTAACCTCTCAGATCTCAGTTTTCTTCTTCAAGGAAGACTTCCTTAATATTCCCAAAACAAAAACCTATTATAAGCCTCACAGCCTTTTGCACTCCGTAGTTTTACCTACTTTTATTATTATTATTATTATTATAATTATTTTTGACTACTTGATTACTGTGTGTATCTCCTACTAGACTCTAACCTCCAGTAGGGTAGGGGCCATGTCTGGTTTTGCTTATCAATGTAGCATCAGGGTCTTACTCTGACACATAGTTGGAGATCAAATTTTTTTGCTGACTGAATGAAGTAATAAGTTAATGAGACAAGTCTATGATTTGGCTTGTGTAAAATGAATATAATTGGAAATACTGGCCCATTGCATTGATAAGAAAGGTTTCCTCAGTAAAAATTTTATTTATAGGGTAGTGCTTTCATATTTTTGAGAATTGCTTATTTATCTTAGGGAAAAGTTGAGGGTTTATGAGGCATAATACAGACTTAGGGTGAAAAATGATGCACTTTAGGGCTGTGCTTTGGAGAAACTTTCTCACAACAGAAATGTCAAATGAAGTCTGTACACTCTAGCTTGCTCAACTATATCTTGTCTAACTTTGCCCTTTAGGGCCAAAATTAAAGATAAGTTCTGACAGTTATCCCTTGATTTCCAAAGAACCAGTATATTTACCTACCTGGGCAAAGACCTAAACCCGAGTTATCAAAGTAGCGAACTGGATGAGGTGATGGTAAAGACTTTGATCGGCTGTCAAAAAACCAAGACTTTGGTGATTCCCTTGGCACAGGATCTTGTAAATTCCGTTCCTTGCATTGAGAAGGCGTATGCGGCCTCTTTTTGGAAGTTGTTACAGTCACTTTAGGAGACTGTGGGGAATTCTCACAAGTAACTTCTCTGTGAGCCTCTCTTTTAAGGAGTCTCTCCTTCCATGTTTTGACCTCGTTGGAAAGATGATGGTTATTGCTTGAATGTAGCAGAAAAAGAGAGAGAGAGAGAGAGAGAGACTAAGTCTGCATAATTTCTGAATTTATTAACACATAAAATTTTTTTAACTGTGGTAAAATATATATAATTTACTTTTTTTTTAAATTTTAGTTCCACTATAGTTAGCATATGGTGTTATATTAGTTCCAGGTGTACAATATAGTGATTCAATGGTTTCATACAACACCTGTGATGGTGCTCAACATAGCAAGGGCCCTTCCCCCCACTCCCCATCCTTCCCACCCACCCTCTTTCTCGTAACCATCAGTTTGTTCTCTACAGTTAGGAGCACTGGGCATTATATAAGATAATGAATCACTGACCTCTATATCTGAAACCAATAATATATTTCATTACATGTTAATTAACTGAATTTAAATTTTAAAAAACTCTGCTTCTTGGTCTCTTTTTCTCCCTTTGCTTGTTATAATTGATCAATTTCTCATACTTCTAATTTTAATTTCCACCTAATGCCTCCTATTTGGACTATTTCCACAGTTCAGAAAATGAAATGAGGCCTTGTAAATTGAAAAATTGTAATCATGAAGTCCTAAAAAGAAAGCTTAGAGTATGATACTAGGTTTCCAATGGATCAATGATATCATCCAGAGTGGTTTACTTATTGATACCTTGCAGCAATAATTTGATACATTAGTCTTCTGAACAGATGAACTTTTTTTCAAAGATTTTATTTATTCATGAGAGAGAGAGAGAGGGGGTGGGCAGAGACACAGGCAGAGGGAGAAGCAGGCACCATGCAGAAGCCTGACGTGGGACTTGATCCCAGGACTCCAGGATCACACCCTCGGCCAAAGGCAGGCGCTAAACCGCTGAACCACCCAGGGATCCCCTAATAGATGAATCTTTAATGTACTTCTGTTATTTTAAAAGAAATATATTACACCATACTTCTGAGTTATAGTCTTGCTTGTTGCAGGAAATGCCACCAGCATTTAACCAGTTCCTGCAGAGAGAAACCTAGAGGGAAGTCCCAGAGGCCCTGCTCTCCTTGATCTGGTCTTCCATGTCTGTGGACACAACTCTACACTTAATTCTCAAATCTATCTCCTTATATTTATGCCCACTGACCCCATTCTAGCCCATGCCAAAATTATCTTTTGCCTGCACTGCAGCAAATAGATTCCTAAACTGGGTTTCCTTGATTGCTTCAGCAGACAGAGACACTATCTGATCTCATCAGGCCCTGGCTTAGAATCCTCCACTGGAGGTAATTTTCCCATTACATTTCGGATACCACCCAAACCTCTTCAGAGTGACCTGTGTAATCTACACCAGTTACCTCTGGCATCTCTCCTTGCACCTAACTCTGTTTTGTTCTCTATGCCCTGGCCACACGGTTTGTCTTTGAGCTCCACCAATTGGTTATTCCTTCTGACTGAAAGCCTTTATCTGGTCTCTTGCCCTTTTCCCACAGCTACACTTTTTTTTTTTAAGATTTTATTTATTTATTCATAAGAGAGAGAGAGAGAGAGAGAGAGAGAGAGAGAGAGGGAGGGAGGGAGGGAGGGAGGGAGGGGCAGAGACACAGGCAGAGGGAGAGAGAAGCAGGCTCCATGCAGGGAGCCCGACGTGGGACTCAATCCCCGATCTCCAGAATCACACCCTGGCCGAAGGCAGCGCCAAACCGCTGGGCCACCGGGGCTGCCCTACAGCTACTCTTACATCAGTTTCTTCATCATCACTCTTCCCCATACCCAGATAAGGTCCTATTTGTGGCTTTTTATTGTTACTGTTTAATAGCACTCATTGCAAAAAATTACTTGTTTGTATAGTTATTTTTTTAATGCCTACTTTTCCTCTATTGTATCATCACAGTAAAGTGGTTGGCACAAGATTCTAATCTTTGATAGAAGTCAAATAATTAAATTTGTCAGAACTGTTTAAAAAGTAAAAGCAAATAGGCTACAGTAATGGACTTAAGGAGTTCTCTTTTGACTTGGGTATGCAGACTTGTGGTATAGTTAAGCTGGCCCTCAAAGATCTTTATTTACTTTCTGTTTCTTGGCTTTGTTAAAAATAGATCAATTGATAGCCAACATCTGGAATGGGGGGTACCAGTCTTATTCCTTTTAAAAGACATTTATTACATTTACTCTAAAAATGAGTTTCCCCCGTGTGAAGGGTTGTCAACTGCAAAAAATACGTATGTGTATACACCAAGCTCCCCACATGTAATAATAGCCAGATACCTAATTTTGATATTATATAAGCAGATCTTACCTTTTGTGTGTGTGTGCGTGTGTCCATTTTCTAAAGGCTAGGGCTTTTATCTTCTGACCTGTTGTGTTTGTTTTTTTTAAATCATTAGAGACACAGAAAGATAGAGGCAGAGACACAGGCAGAGGGAGAAGCAGGCTCCTCGCAGGGAGTCTGACGTGGGACTCAATCCCAGGTCTCCAGGATCAGGCCCTGTGCTGTAGGCGGCGCTAAACTGCTGGGCCACCTGGGCTGCCCTAAGCAGATCTTACCTTAATAGTTCATTCTTTTGCTTTATTAGCTGTTCATTTTGCTGTTTTAACTTAGAGATTTCCTTTTCTAGCCGTATATATCCACTTTTTAAAATAAGAGCTTTTGTGCTTTGTACAATGCCACTGCCACCTCCACAAGTTAAGGGTTTGTTTGGAGGCTGAGAGTCCGTATATTCTGATACAACTGTGAGGGAGACAAATTACACAAATAGGTGATCATTTTAATTATCTTCAGAGTTCAAAATAAAAGTAACATTACAAAAAGAGCAGGAAGTCACTGCAAAAACCAGAACATCTTAATCACCATCTCCCTAGAAGCCATCCTTGCTTTCCCTCCTCCTACCTCACCTCCCATACCTTTTTCATCAACACTTCTAATTGTTTCTAGAGTCCTTCTGCTTCTCTTTACCCACCAATTCCACTAGCCCAACACTGCTCGCTGGAATCTTTCACTACCATGGCAGCAGTAGCAATCACCCTAGTTAGTGGTGTCCTTCACTGCTCTCTCCTCTACATCAGTGGAAACGCAGCAGGGCTTCCTGCAACACAGAATGTGTGCAGGGTCCACCACCAGTCATTCAGCACACTGTAAATTCTCAACATATACCTGTTACCTAAATAAAACTCAGAGTGATACCAAAGCTATACTATTACGATATACTGAATTAAAGAGTATATTAAAGTATACTTTTAAGTATATACTATTAAGTATTCTATACTATGTGTGTGAAAATAAGGTAAGGAATTGTTTTGTAAATCTTAGGTAAAACTGCATAAAAATGTGAGGTACTTATAAAGTAAAATAATCCACTGCATAACTGACAATTTACAAGAGGGTTATGTGTGTGCGGGGAAGATACTCAATATCCATTTCCTTTTGAATTATTCTGAATTCAGATACTATATGTACCTGAAAGTCACAAATCAAGAATAATTATCCTGACCCTTCAAAAAGCATACTTGCTGCTTGCTTGTTTTCGATCTTATCCCTTGAAGTTTTCCAGATAGGGGTGCACTTATCCTGCAATAGACTCTAGAGAAGTTCAGGCCAAACATGTACTAGACAACATCTTGAACACTATCTCATTATTTTTAAGTGAATGGATAAAAATACACAGAAGTATTATCTTATGTTTGCTTGACATTCAGAATTTGTAGTGTGCTTTCACACACAACTTTCAGTTTGATCCTTACAATAAGTATATACATAAGCTAGAAGGACGGGTATTATCCCCATGATTTCATCTAGTCATGAAGTGAGGGGAATCTGCCCTTAGTTCAGTGCTTGTTTACTACACAAAGCTGTCCCAAACACTGTTCAGCATCCTCTCTTTTCAAATGAAACACAAGAGGCAGTAATATGGAAAAAGGTACAGGTTGAGGAATGCATACGTAGAAATTTGATCATTAGATTTGAAACTGTGTCATAGCCGAACTGTGGAAGGAGTCTCGGTGTCTATCGAAAGATGAATGGATAAAGATGTGGTTTATGTATACAATGGAATATTACTCAGCCATTAGAAACGACAAATACCCACCATTTGCTTTGACGTGGATGGAACTGGAGGGTATTATGCTGAGTGAAATAAGTCAATCAGAGAAGAACAAACATTATATGGTCTCATTCATTTGGGGAATATAAAAAATAGTGAAAGGGAATAAAGGGGAAAGGAGAAAAAATGAGTGGGAAATATCAGAAAGGGAGACAGAACATGAGAGACTCCTAACTCTGGGAAATGAACTAGGGGTGGTGGAAGGGGAGGTGGGCGGGGGGTGGGGGTGACTGGGTGACGGGCACTGAGGGGGGCACTTGACGGGATGAACACTGGGTGTTATTCTATATGTTGGCAAATTGAACACCAATAAAAAATAAATTTATAAAAATAAAAAAAAAAGATTTGAAACTGTGTCTAAGATAAATTTGAAAGTTTTTCACAAGTAAGCATCAACTCTATTTTCTATGCTAAGAATATGTAGGATATTATTTCCTTATTTCTACTGTGTGCTGATTGTATTTTTACTGTGCATATGGTTAAAATCTATTAGAACATGTTTGTGTTTTTATTGGGAAGGGTACTTCTACCTTGATAGTTACAGGATTCTTTTGTAGTACTGAAGATACTCTACTCATGTAAAGATCTAATAACACAAAGGTAAAAAGGTAAAATTAATATTTTTTAAGAATCTATAATGGATAAGCAGTTGAGATTACAGGAAACTAAGGAGATGTCACACAATAAATATGATCCCAATAAATTCATTTCAAGATAGTTTTTTCTAAATTAGTGATTAACAGGTTTATTCATGACTGTCACATATACAATGTCTTCAAAATGTCTAAGTGTATTGAGAAATAAGACAGAAAGGACCTCGAAACATCAGCATTTTCTACTTACTTGAGGTATCCTGGGCTTGTTGATTTCTTCTAAGATTTTCTCTCAGTACCCTTATAACTTCTTTTTGATGTTCTACAGTGGCCTTTGTAGAAGTAATTCTAATAAGAACAACAATGGAAATATGTAAAAGCCTAGCAACCGATTTTTAATGGAAGGATAAACAGAAATGCTGTCGAGAATTTTCTAATAAGATTTATCACATTGACATAAAACCCATAAGTGGCAGTAGATAACTCCCTGGTATCAAGTATTTTATAGCTATAACACCATCAGATTGGAAGTATTCTATTTTGTTGCAAGAGTAATTTTTAAAATTCTTCTTAAATTTCTGGAAGGCCAATAGCTATTAATTGGATACAATTACCAGACCATAAAGTGAGAATTTCTACACCTATTTCTACATTGTCAGGGAAGCAAACCCTGGCTGCAGCTTTAGTCTAATGTGATACAATCAGAGGTCAAATTCTACTCACTATTCCCTAGTACAAAGTGACATTTTATGTATTGTATAGGCTTAAGTGTTAATCAGCAGTTACGAATCAAGATACTTTCTGCCTTTAGAGACTCTGGCAGTATCTACTGATTCTATTCTATATGTGAAATTGATCTTTTAAAAAAAGATCAATTGATTGATTTATGAGAGAGAGACACACACACACAGAGTGCAGGAGGGGAAGACATAGAGGGAGACAGAAACTCAAGCAGATTCTACAGGGAGCCAGACATGAAGCTGGATCTAAAGATACTGAGATCACAATGTGAGCCAAAACCAAGAGTTGGATGCTTAACTGACTGTATCACCCAGGCTCTTCTAAAATTGCCTTTTTATAATGAAAAACTTGATGGGTATATTAGTTTCACTAAAACCAATAGTCTTAATGGAATGTGGGAAGCTTGAGTGCTTTCCGGGCAAATTTGGTATCATGGTTAAATATTTATAGGAAGAACAAAAAGCATCAGGAGTCAGAAGGAATCTTAAGAAATCCTCTACTACAAACCTATCCTAACTGATTATGAATATAAAGACCAGAGAGATTAAACTGCCTGTATGTAAAGTGATATAAAAATAAGTGGCAATATTATATTTCTAATTCATTGTCCCTGACTCTGTTTAATGTTCTTTCATCAGATTAGATCATAAAGAACTTTAGGCATGCCATTATGTACAGTAGTATATATAAATAAATAAAAAGAGGTTATGCTTTTGGGTACTAGGTACCATAATTTAAAAGGAAATACGATTTTACATAAAAACACAACAGGAAGAACAAATTAAATTAAGAGAGCCAACAGAAATCTTAGTTGAACCGCCAAGCACACACAGATGCATATTATATATAGGTATATATATAACATATAAATGTATATATGATGCATATATGTATATATAACATATAACACATATATAACATATAATAATAACATATATGTATATATAATAATAACATAGTTATTATTATTCATCTTCAAGCATAAAAAGGCCGGTTTTAAGCTGTTTATAGAAGACAGCAAGAATCATCAAAAAACATGGTGTGTTAGTAATTGACCAGAACTATGCTTATTTTTAAAAACTTTGCATATGTAATAAGAATTTAACAAGTTTAAAATCTGTGGATATTTGTATTTAGTTTAAGAAGCAGTAACAATATTTCCATGTATTTTAAAACGTTAACCAAAGCAAAAAATTTTATATAATTTAGAAGGGAAACTTAAGCTATTAAAGTCGTGTTCAGTTAGACATACTCTTTTTCAAACTCTTTGGCATTCTTCTTCTTTTCTAGATCCATTTTCACCAGTTTCATCTTGAGATCTTCAATTTCTTCTTTATACGGCTTAGCTCCTAAAGCAACTTTATCCTAAATTTTTAGGGAAAAGAAAAATAATTCCAGAGCACTTTTAAAGAGCTGTTACCTACCTTATTTGGTAGGAGCATTTTAAAACAGCAAATTCCAAACATATGAAAAGCAAAAAAGGCACAAAATTTAACCCTAAAACGAATAACAAGTAGATATCTGAGGTATACATGAAACTATTGGAAGGTAAAATTAAGAACATAAGACTTTCAGTTTTTTTTTTTTTTTAAAGATTTTATTTGTTTATTCATAGAGAGAGGGAGAAGCAGGCTCCACACAGGGAGCCCGACGTGGGACCTGATCCCAAGTCTGCAGGATCACACCCCGGGCTGCTGGAGGCACTAAACCGCGTGCCACCGGGGTTGCCCTTTCAGTTCTTAAAAGACTTTTTTTTTTTTTTTTTCAATTAAAAATGAGAAACAAGGGGATCCCTGGGTGGCGCAGCGGTTTGGCGCCTGCCTTTGGCCCAGGGCGCGATCCTGGAGACCCGGGATCGAGTCCCACATCGGGCTCCCGGTGGATGGAGCCTGCCTCTCTCTCTCTCTGTGACTATCATAAAAAAGAGAAACAAAATGAAACAGAAAAGTTGAAAATAAGGAGTAGACAAAGCAAATCAGGAAAATGAAACAACAACAAAAAGAATAGCAATATAAATACCAAACTAGAACTGAATTCAAGGTATAGAGTATTATAAAGTGTTGTTGGGATATTTGGACTCAAAGATGGTTAAATCCAGTGCTGTAAATGTATCTACTTTCTCCTTAGAGAATCAAAAATCCTATGCAAATACATATTTACATGTATTTATTAGTTTTTAAAAAAACCTTTGAGTTTTATTTCTTTTAAAGATTTTATCTATTTGAGAGCAGAGCACAAGTGGAGAGGAGGAGGGACAGAGGGAGGGAGGAGCTGACTCCCCACTGAGCAGATATCCGGGCTCCCATCCCAGGACCCCAAGATTATGACCTGAGCCGAAAGCAGACACTTAACTAAGCCACCTAGGTGCCCCCATATTTACATATATTTAGGCTCTTTTTTTATAAATAGATTTTTATTTTTTAGAGCAACTTTAGGTTTATAGAAAAACTGAGCAGAGTACAGAGTTCCATACGCTCCATCTCCCTCCCCCCCACCTATTTCCCTTATTATTAAGTATGATTTGTTACAAATGATGAGGCAATACTGATACATTTCAGGCTGCCTTAGAGTTTACTGTTCCTATTGTACCCTATATGAATTTTGACAAGTATCTAATGACATGTGTTCATCATTACTATATCCTACAGAATAGTTTTACAGTCTTAAAAGTCTCCTGCTCCACCTACTCATCCTTCCCTCTCTTACCCCTTCTGGATCATTGGCGAGCCTTGATCTTTTTATTGTCACAGTTTTGCCTTTTTCAGAATGTCATACAGTTGGAATCACAGATTATGAAATCTTTTCAGATTGGCTTCTTTTAATTAAGTGTGCATTTAAGGTTTGTCCATATCTTTTTATGGCTCGATAGCTCATTTCTTATTATTACTGAATAAATCACTCATTTCTTTTTATTGCTGTACCACAGCCATACAATGGAGAATTAGAATTACAAAAAATAAAACCCATCTAAGTAGGGACCCAGAGAGTTCTCTTTATTCCTCCAGGTAAATTGGGTTTCTATGGGGGTTGGGTTTATTCCCAACCGCTGTACAAACATTTACATGCACACCATGGCTAGCAGACTAAAGAGGTGCAAAACTTCCATAAATGGTAAATGCTCAGCTTAAGGAGGTCGATGACTGGGCAAGAGAAGCCCATTCTTGGAGGAGCCCACTGTCTGCTCAGTCACAGCACCACTTCAACCCCACCTTCTGAATCAGGTGCTCATATCAGGGACTCCCTGAGCATATGACCGGCTGGAGTGTTGTAATTTTGTAAGAAACTGCCAAACTCCCTTTCAAACTGGCTGTCCCATTTGCAGTCCTACTGGCAATGAATGAGAGTTCCTACTGCTCCACCTCCTCACCAGCATTTAGTGTGGTGTTTTGGATTTTAGCCATTATGGCATGTTGAAGTATCGCAGGTTATGTAGTGGTATTTTGTAATTCTCATAACATATGATGCTGAGATTCTTTTCATATACTTGTCACATGTATATCTTCTTAGGGGGGTGTCTGGTCAGATCTGTTGCCTATTTTTTAATTGGCTTGTTTGTGATCACTGTTAAGAGTTCTTTGTGGGACTCTGCCCTAGGACCCCAGGATCATGACCTGAGACAAAGGCAGATGCTCAACCACTGAGCCACTCCGGCGTCCCAGGTATTTTTAATTTAAATGGAGTTTAACTTACCAAGTTTTTTTTCTTTCATGGATAGTGTTTTTGGTGTTGTATCTAAAAAGTCACGACCAAACCCATGGTCACCTAGATTTTCTATCTCATCTTCTGGGGATTTTCCAGTTTTGTGTTTTACACTTAGATTTTTGATTAAGCGAGTTAATTTTTTGTGGAATATAGAAAGTCTGTGTCAAGATTTTTTGTTTGTGGAAGACCAGTTCCAGCATCATTAGTTAAGACAGACTATCCTTCTCCACTGAATTGCCTTTGCTCTTCTGTTAAGGATCAGTTGACTGCATTTGTGTGGACCTATTTATAAACTCTCTATTCTCTTCCATTGAGCTATCAGTCTACATATTATTTTAAAAGTTCAAAGAAGGGGATCCCTAGGTGGCTCAGTGGTTTAGTGCCTGTGTTTGGCCCAGGGCGCGATCCTGGAGTCCTGGGATCGAGTCCCACGTCGGGCTCCCGGCATGGAGCCTGCTTCTCCCTCTGCCTGTGTCTCTGCCTCTCTCTCTCTCTGTGTCTATCATAAATAAATTAAAAAAAAATTCAAAGAACTCTCTAAATAAATAAAAGGTATCCATTTATGACACCAAAAAGAAAATTTCAAAATATTCTAGAAATGCAGAAATTATTTTTTTTTGCCACAGTATAATAAAATAAATCAGTCATATTTAACATTGTTTAAAACATTCTTAGGTAAAGTAAATCAAAATAGAAAATACTGAATTAGAAATGAAAGACAAGAGAATTCTGTATTTCAAACACATGGCCAAAATTACACTCAAGAAACATTGATGATCTTAAACAGTTTTACTGTCTGAAAAGACAGAAAACAAATTTCTTGGTTAACATCACCTATTTATCATCTGCACCTTGGATGGATTCAGTTGTTAAACTTTTGTGGCTCTACTGGAAAAAGAATTTATTTGAAATTCTGATTTGAATGACATGAAATTTATGAATTTGGGAAAAACTTAGGATCATATAGTTTTTAGATTCCAACCTAGGAAATGATGTGTTTTTTATAAAACCACATGTTCTATTTTTTAATTTTTTTTTCTTTTCACATCCTTTGCCCTCACTTTTTTTGTTAAGGTTAGTCATTCAAACATGTTTAGATTTTGTGTCCATTATAAATAATGGCAAAATCTTTTTCTCATCATGCAGGATGTCCATAAAGTTCTAGTGCAATTTATTTATTTTTGAAGATTTTATCTATTTATTTGAGAGTGAGAGAGCAAGCATGAGTGGGGAGGCAGAGGCAGAAGGAGAGGAAGAAATAGACTCCCTGCTGAGCAGGGAAACTGACTCAGGCTGATCCTAGGACCCCCGGCGAGAGATCATAACCTGAGCAGAAGGCAGATGCCTTTCCAGCACAGTTTAAAGTTTTGATCAATTCACTGCTACTTGATATAAACAATTTGTAATGATATAACAGAGGAAATGTATCAATATTTAAACAAAATTGTTAATGATTCATTTGTTCAAATTAGTTTCTTCTCTATTCAATTAACAAACCCTACATTATTTATTATATTGGGACAGTTATAGCCAAGATGTTTTCAAATAATGGTGAATAGGTTAAACAAAAGTTTTTTCTTATGTCAAGTCCTGAGTTAAATACATTGTTGCATTTTTAAAAAATGTTTTATTTATTTATTCATGAGAGACGGAGAGAGAGAGAGACACAGGCAGAGGGAGAAGCAGGCCCCCTGCAGGGAGCCCGATGTGGGACTCGATCCGGGGTCTTCAGGATCAGACCCTGGGCTGAAGACCGCACCAAACCGCTGAGCCACCCCGGCTGCCCACATTGTTGCATTTTATAGAATGTTTATAATAATACCGAAAAGCAAATGAAAGAAAACTCAAACTGTATAAAGATTTTATGAATACCCTGAATTTTGCTTTCTTTCCCCATAGGTGTTATATAATGCCAAAACCCAGAAATAGTTATTCCTGGTATGCAGCAAAAATATATCTCTCTCCATAGATGCCTGTATCAATCTAGACAGAATGTGAAGAAATCTGTTGCTTACTTCCTTTCTTGAAATACTTTTATTTACATGAAGAAACTGTAACCACTGTCTTGCACTCTATGCTGTACTGCCCCTGCCCAACTTACTGGCTACTCCACCTTGGTATCCTTTGGTTACTCCTTATCTCTTCCCCATTATGCTCATGCCTTCATCCAATCTCATGACTTATATACTGACAATTCCCCCAAACTTACACCACAAGTCTAGAGCTCTCTTAGACTTAAGTATACAACTGCTTTGGTCATATCTCAAGTTGGATGTCCCCAGTACCCATTTCAAAATCAATATGTCCAAAACTTAGTTCTGATTCAGCTCCCATGGTTTCAAACTTGCTCTTCTGACAATCTTTCCCATCTCCATAAATGGCAAGTCCATCCTTCCTGGTGTTCAGGCCAAAAACTCTGGAATCATCTCTGACTCCAAGAAATATGGGAGGAAGGGATGTGTCCCATTTCTGGGCCAGAGCCTTTAAGAGTAGAGGTTTTAAGATGACTTTTAACTTTTCTATCTGTCCCTTTCCTATGAACCAGGGCATGGACAGTTAACAATTTGGCTTTAACCATGCAGATGAAAACAGCACCTGAGGGGGTGGCAGAAAAACAGGATGGGAGGGAAATGAGCCTGTGGAGCCATCTGCCAACCTGGAATTCTCACTTTTATAGGAGATAGAGAAATAAAGCTCCCTCTTGTTTGAGTTGTTGCAGTTTGGTTCCCTTTGTTGTAGCAGTTGGTATGTCAGATTAACAAACACATCCTCCTGGATTCTATTTTCAAAGGGCAGCTTTTAAGAAATTCAATCAGACCATCATAACCTTTTGCCAAAATCATCTGATGACTTCCCATCTTACTCAAAATAAAAAACAAAGTTCTTACAACAGCCTGTGAGACCCTTTATGATTGGACTCTCTGCTACTTCTCACCTTATTTCCCACTTCTGTCCCCTTGCTCACTCTGCTCAGGAGACATGGGCTTTGTTTCTTAAACATACCTGCACTATTTGCGATTTCCTTTGCTAAGAAGGCTCTTCTGCTACCACACAGTTCACTAATCCCTTCAAGAAACCTTAGTGGTGTGGCTTTCCTCAGCTCCCCTTTTTAAGATCATGTCTGCTTCCCTCATGCCCTCACATCCACCCAGTACCCATATACCCCTCGTCTCGCTTAATATTTTCCCACTGAATTTTTCACCATCTGACACAAATATGTACTTGCTTATTTTCTGTTTTCCTAAACCAGAACGTAAGCTCCTTGAAGGAAGGAGGGACTTTTATTTCTTTCCATTGCTGTACACATGACATCTAGAGCAATGACCAACATATGCCAGATATTCAACAGATATGTATCTTGACTGAATAAAAATGTGATTTGACATTTTAAATGATTTCTCTCAAAAATTCTAGAGCTTTCCAATTGATTTTCATGGCTTTTAGCTTTACATTTAACAAGATTTTTTTTTTTACAAGATTGTTTTTTATTGCCTGTTTCATGTCTTATTGAATGAATCAGAACTTTCAGAACAATGTTAAAATGATGAAAGGAGCAGACATTCTTGACTTGCTCCTAATTTTAACTGAAATGAAGAGATAGCAAACTTAAGTGCTTGTTAGGGGTCAGACTCAAGCAACGGAAATGTGAGAAGGGCTGGGGCTTTAAAAAAAAAAAAAAGTGGTAAAGATGTGATGAATGAAGGTGACTTGTTTAACGGCAATCAAGTTCAAAGTTCAAAGACAAGCTTTCCTAAACAGGTCAGAGTCAGGCCACAGGCTACCAGGTGGGACTTACTAATGGGATTAAATTAAAAAAAAAAAAAAGGGGGCAGCCTGGGTGGCTCAGGGGTTTAGCATCACCTTCAGCCCAGGGCATGATCCTGGGGACCTGGGATCAAGTCCCACATCGGGCTCCCTGCATGGAGCCTGCTTCTCCCTCTGTCTGTGTCTCTTGTGAATAAATAAACAAAATCTTTAAAAAATAAAAAAATAAAGGATTTTAAAATTTACTTAATAAATATTTAGATAAGTGGGTTTTTCTTTGAAAAAGAAAATTACATTTTAAAGTATAAAGAATAATCTTTATATATCTTTTACAAAATATTTTTTCTAGGAATATAAAAATAATCATTTTATATGGAAATATTTTATATGCATTTCATTTCTCAATTTCCACTTGCTTTTTTAAAGATTGAGTACTGAACTTCAAGTGTACATAGGTAACAGGAAGTTCAAAGATCAGACACCCAAATTATCCTCCATTTCAACAGTAAAAGAAAAAAAAAACCACCTTGTTATTATAGAATGAGTTCATTAAGTTACCTGAAGTATTTGGATCATTTCTTTTGTTTTTTCAAGGCATTTATTTGATTCATTAACTTGCGACTGAAGTTTTGCTATTATGTCATTAGTCATCTCAAGTTCTTTCTGCATCTTTACGATCTTGTTTTCCTTGTGCAAAGCACTTTCTTTAGCTTCATGCAGTGAAGCTTCCAGCTCCTGAATTTTCTGTTAGAGAAAGCACACATATATAAGGTATGCCAGAATCACAGTATATAAGTTTAAGACAAAGATGATCATCTATAGATATTAATGTTTCAGACTGAATTAACAAAGGATAGAAGAGAAACCAAATGTCACTCAATTTACACATGTATTGTTTTATTAGAAGCTGATGATTTTTGGATTAAAAAAGACCCAAATTTTATAATATTAAGGTTTAGTGCTTATTTTATTTATGGTTAGTGCAGTGTTAAGTACTAACATTTTAAATTAACATTTTAAATTAATTTAAATTAAAATTAAAATTTTAAAGCACACTTGTTAACTGACTCTTTAAGAAATGTACATAGTGTATTTTTCCCTTTATTTTTATTACCTGGGTTTTAAATTAAAAAATACAAGTATATAGAAAAATTCAAAGGCATATAATGAAGGGTAAGTTTCCCCATCTCAGAATGTCAGCTGACCCTGCAGCAACCACTACTAAACTCTTTCAACTGTATCCTTCTAGAAACTTTCTAGGCCTATCTGAGCATTTGTGAAATCTATAGTTATAAAAACAGCCATATACACAGTAGGAACATACTGAGTATACAGTTTTTTTTTTTAACTTGACAATGTATTTTCCAGATCTTTCCATGACCAACACATATAAATGTCTCCACATTTTTGTCTTCATGGATACATACTTAGTTTCTTTGTTGTACTATAAATTAGTTAACCCATCAACCACTAATGAACATCTAGGTTATTTCCAGTTTTTTTTTTTTTTGCAAGTATAAAAATATCTGAATTTATTTATAAAGAGATTTACTTGTTTTTTGCATGCGCACACACGAGAGAATGAACAGGAGTGTGTTGGGGGTGGGGAGAGAAGAAGAGGGAGAAGCAGGCAGACAGATGAGGAGCTCCATTCCAGGACCCTGAGATCATGACCTGGGCCGAAGGCAGACACGTAACCAACTGAACCACCCAGGTGTCCCCAAAATACCCGAATTTGTTCATATTTACAAGATTATTGACCTACACACATATACAGGTTTTCCTAGAAAAAGTCTGTTTTTTTTTTTTTTAAAGATTTTATTTATTTACTCATGAGACACACAACAGAGAGAGAGAGAGAGAGAGAGAGGCAGAGACACAGGCAGAGGGAGGAGCAGGCTCCATGCAGGGAGCCCGACGTGGGACTTGATCCCGGGTCTCCAGGATCACGCCCTGGGCCCAAGGCAGCACTAAACCACTGAGCCACCTGGGCTGCCCAAAACGTCTGTTTCTTTTTGGCCAGAGCAGAGTTTATTTTTGTTTAAAAAAGTGAGGAATCCAGATTTATTTTTTTCCAGGTGGCTAACTGGTTGTCTGAAATCAAACATTAAGTAAATCCTCTTTAGGCTATTGACATTATCAGTTCTCATCCTTACTTGAGTATACTGCTGCTGAATCTCTACTCTGGTCCACTGCTCTATTTGACTATTTCCGTATCATTACCAAATTATGCTGTGCTACTCTAATTTGGCATAATTACCAAATTCCTAGCACATGATAATTATCGGATAAGGTATTTCATGGGACCGTTGGAGATGGAATTTCCTTCTGTTTCCTTTTTGCTTTGGTAGATAGGTTTAATATTTCTGCTATTTTTGTCTCCTCCAGCTAGCAAATCTGTAGGGATTAGCAAACCAATAAACTGTACTAGTGATCTTCTAGTTTCCACTGGTAATTGATTACTAAACTAGTGGTTGATGTTTTATTGTATTTACTTTGGTAAAAATGATAAATTGTAATTTACTCTTCGGTTCTTCACTAAGTCATTTTGTGTGCTAACAAAATAAAATAGCATATTTGCTTCACATATTCCCAAGTTAAGGCTAGTTGATGAAATAAGTGAATCATTAGAATAAGGTATTGATTCTTGGATACAGGCTAATCTGCAAGGCATTTGTTATATTTTTAACCTCTTCCATTTAATTTTGATAGAACATTAACCAATATTAAAGACTCTGATGATAGAGAAGAGCTGGACTGTTCTTTCCCTTAAGCTAGTTCTATAAATAGACACAGATTACAGTTCATGATCAAAAGAAATTTATAATGTACTGTAATGGCACCTTAAGAGGTGTATGTATCTCTTAATCAAATTAAGTTATGAGTTACTTATGTTTTATAATTCAAAGGGAAGATGTCATATAGTATACAGTTCTGTAGTTATTTGAGTGATAGCCACAATAGAACTATATTTAAAAAATAAGCCCATCACACACACTAACGTTGTCCATGTTTCCTAATACATTTGGTACTATAATTTTCTTCTGAAATATTATATAAAATACATTTTAACTCTGATCAATCTGCAAACTGAAAAGCATAAGAAATCACATACCTCTGTGGTTAGTTGTGTGGCTCCTGATGTAACATGAAGATTCTTATTGTCTTCTGTGGCAGAATTTACTGGGATACCAGACGTCCGGGTGAGCTTCAAAGTTTGATAGTTTTTAAATAGTTGTTCATTTTTCTCTTTCACTGAATTCAGGTCACGTTCCCATTCTTTGGCTATGATGGCATATCTTTCCTCAAACTCTGTAGATTCATTCATTATAGCCTATTGAATAGTAAAACACCATTATAACACTAAAATCAACTACATGTAAAAATACTAGAATTCTAGGGCAACGCATACGCTGAAATTCATTCTTTAGAACATTCTAGAGCAGTACTTTAAAAGAATGTGAACATTCTTTGTGGTTTGCATCAGTTCCTGAAATTTCAGAAGATGCTGGATGTTGATGATGAGAATAAAAGGAGAATAAGGACTGGAGAGGATTTACATTGATTTGCAAGATGATAAATCTCACTTTATTAGATCAGTGGTAACATGAAGAGGAAATCTGCACAACTGTGCAGGTTAAAGTCCTTATGTGTATTATGACATTTATAATGTCATATACAAATATTAACTGACATGTAATGGCAGAGCATATCCAATAAACTTAACAGCAATCTATTTTCCTGCTTCAGTTCAAAACTCAGTGTTTACAGGGAAAAGAATTCACTGACTTTTATAATGAATCTGAAAATCTTGTATTTCTGTGCAGGGAGTAACAGTCAATTAATACTTTATATTGAAGGCATATTCTGAAATTACTCCTATAACATCTTTTTACTTCTAATTCTTATGGGATATTCTCTTTGCTCTCATCATTAATGCCTTATTGGTCTTACCTACATCTTTAAGGCACTTCTATCAGACTTGGATGCTAAATTAGTTGTGTTCTTGCTGGCATCCTGGACTCTCCTGTGTTCTAGACTACTGCGCTCATACCAGATGAAGTTATCAATTCCTATTTTCAAGGTGCTGGTAGAAGCCACATATCTACACATATCCACTCATCCACACAGTAGGTATCCCTACTTTCTACTTCACAAGTAGGCCTTCGATATTACAAGAAAAACCCTGATTATACATGGCAATTATCTTATCCAAATATTGGTTTTGATGCTTTTCTCTATTGATTATGGACTTTATATATATATATATATTTTTTTTTTTGAGGCATCTAGTTTACTATTTTGCTAGCTTGAGGTAGTCAACAAATGGGAACATCCAGAGGAAAACATATTTTGAAAATATTATCTACATTTCAGTGTGATTTAAGTATAGTTTCCAGATGAAGTTAAAGTCTCAAAAAAGACCTACGCAAACATATGAAACATAAAACCAATCTTTGAAGCTATAATATTGATCTAGCTCCCTTTCCTCCAGCTGCATAATACAACACACAACTTTCTGACCACTGCATATTTTACCAGGATATTAGATAGGGATTACTTCAGAGAGCAGAATGAATATTCTGATCAGTGCAAAGTAAAACAAATTAACAAACTGGTCCTAAGCAGTGTTGGTTGGTTCTTATGAATCTGTACACTTTGCCAGTCACTTTGGGAATGGAGATACAAAGCACATCTCTGAACCTCAGAGTTGAAGGACCAGTGAGTGCATAAGGTCACCAAGATGAAAATAACATCTCAGTAAAGTCACTAGACAAGTTTTCTATGGAAAGACCACACAGCAGCTGTCTGTAGCCCTGAAATAGGCTCATATCTTACCCTATCTGAGGCTACTTGGAGAAAAGGCTTAATCCCTACAGAAGCAGAGAGAATTGAGAAAGATGATTCAAGATTCTGTAAGTGGAAACTGATTATTATATCCCAAGATTTTATCTTCTTTACAAGTCTAAGTTGATATTTTAAATTATAACATGCTAGAGGAAGAACATGTTTTACCCAATTTTTTCTCGTTTCATTTTCAAATAACAAAATAAAGTATATACAAATAAATTAAAGAAGCATACTTAAGATTAGGTTGCTCAGTCTTTTTTAAGAAAAAGGTAGAAAAATTAGAGCAAACAAAAAGAATGAGGTAGCATACAAAAATCACTACTTACAATTATTTTGTTATTATAGAAGTTATTCACTTGACAAATATTATCATTTTCTTTTTGGATGCCATTTTTAAGCTTTTCTATATCAAAATGAGTGTTCAACCATTCTTCCAAAAACTGGGTTATTTCTCTCCTATTACTTAGCACTTGTTGAAATTCAGTCTTTAGTAAGTGGAAATCATTTTCTGAAAGATCTTTGAGAATTTCCTGTTTGAAAAATAAGTCTTGAGTTGCCTGGACATTAAGAAAGTTTTTATCTAAATAGCATACAAATATCATAAAAAGGGGAAAATACCTTACTGAACTCTCATTCTTAATATTTTGAAATAATTCTAATTTATTTTAATTGTATTAGAAATAGAATTCTAATTTACAACCTTGTTCCAATAATAAAAATCTGCCTGTACAGGCTATGTAAGGAATGTCTACAAATTCTGCCTGTTAGAATTGAAAACTCAAAACTATCTGTGACAAATAATCACAGTATGTGAAGTGCTTTCGGCATGTAGCTTTTCTGTGCACCCAGGCCTTGTATGTATGTTGTTAACTGTTTGCCAGCCTCACACTGCTGGGTGAAAGCCAGATAATCCATGTGGAATTATAATAAAAATGTTCCTAATTCCCAACCATAGATCTAGGATGTTTTAGAAAGCATTTGGAAACTTATTCTGGGATTCTATGAATTCCTGCTTGTTGGTACTAAATCTATTTTTCTGTATCTGCGGAGTCCTAAAAGGAGGCACTCTCTACACCTAGCCATTATGTGGCACTCTCTACATCTGGCCAGCAGTCACCATGCAATCTATTTTTAATTTTTGGAATATGAAAATGGCTCCAAGCCCATGAAAACGTACCTTCTCTATATGATAAAAAGGCTTAAAAAAATCTAAGTCATTTGAAATAACTTATACCTCAATACGTAGATCCATCTTCTGACTCAATTTGAGGTCCGTTAATTCTCTGGATGGTACATCAAAATCTTCTTGAAGGTGCTGTATTTTAATTACCAGTTCATTGTGCTTTTCCACTTCATCAATAAAAACCACTTCTAATTTATTTATGGATTCATGTTGTTCTTCCTTTATCTTTGTAATCTGGCTTAACACATACTTGTAAGAAAAACATTAAACAGATTGGGAAATGAACCTTTTAACAACACATTTAAAGGAAGTTTTGAGCTCTCAAGACTAAGAAGTGGGATGGCATCTTTTGTTTATCTATATCCTCTGGTAAGCTGAGGAAGCAGGAAAGAACATTCTCTATTCCTAATTTTCTCCTCAGTATCTTGGGAGAATAACTTCCAGACTTCGAGTTTCTTATTTTGGATTCCCTACTAGATACCCTTCATGGATGTCCCACAATTACCTCAGATTTGCTGTTACAATGTAACATAATCTCTTTCCCTAAAACTTCCTTTTCTCTTCTCATTTTTCAGTTAATTATACTACCAATCACACAGACTTCCCAGCTAGATGCCTGAGATTCATTTTCAATTTCCTCCTACCTTGATTGGGTGGCCAATGTGGGTATGCCAGCCTCAAGATATGTTTCTCACATGTAGTTAGATGTGTGGCATCAAGGTGACAATTTGAATGCCATTAGGTTTCACAGACCTCCTAGATAAATTCTGGGTATCTGATTGCCAGGATTTGTGGAAAAATATCAGGACGTGAGAGGCAATCTACCTAGGAAAGACCGACACCAGCTCCCTACTTCTTCAATCTTCCACTCCTCCTTAACCTCTTATAATTTGGCTTTTCCCTAACCACTCAATTAAAATCACTCTGACAAAGGTCAACAATAAAGTCTATTATCAACAAGTTAAGGGCATCTCTTCAGTTCATATTCTGGCTGTTTGAAGAATCTGCCCGTCTTGACCACCTCATCTTTGACATGCTGTCCGCCACTGACTTGAGCAATGGCACTTTTGCTTGATTTTTCTCTTGCCTCTTTCACATTTCCAACCTCAAAGCCCTGTGTTGCTCTCTTTTCTGCTACTGGCTCTTGAAAATTGATCTTTTCTAGAGTTCTCTTCTTATCCGAAGGCTCTTATTTTTCTATTACGCTTTCTGGGTGGCCCTATCATACATATTGTATTATCTTGCATCTCCATGCTGATAAGTTCATACCTTTATCTTTAGTCCTGACAAACCTCAGACTCACAACTAAGTGCCTACTTGGTTTCTCTTCTTGAATGCTCCATCATGGATATTTCTACCTTACAACATCTGAAACTGAACAGCTGATCTCTTCTCCTGCCCTCATCTGCCTTGTTTCTCTTTCTTTTTTGTCAATTAATGGCACAAACCTGGCTACAGCCAAATTCTGGCACTCAATCTAAATGTCTCCCCCTTTACCTCCACTATCAATCACATGAACCTACTATTTTAAATTGCTGAATATTTAATTTCTTTTATCCTACCTATGCCTATAAATCCTTTTCTAGTAGTATGGTCACCTATCTCATGTGGACCACTATAAATTATACTGCCTCTTGTCTCTTCTCTCTGCCACAAACTCATTGCTTTTCTTTCTTTCTTTTTTTTTTTTTCCATTTGGATACCATTAGTTTATTAGTTCAACCCTGCTCAGGAGCTGCCGCTGCAAGGAAACTCACTGCTTTTCTATAGTTAAGCAGCTAAGATGGTAATCTGATCATCTCTTGCCACCACTGAAAATAACTGCCTAGTGGCTCCCCATCATCTGCAAAATGAACTCCAAGCATTACTGTTCGAGTCCAGCTTCGACTGTGATCTCGTTTTCTGTAACTCTTTATCTGGTATGTCATACAACCTGCACCTGCTTCTATCACAATACTTACTACCTGCTTCTATGTTTGCTTCATGCACTAGATTGGGAGATACCTGAGATGTTAATGCTATCTGTCTCTTGAGCACCATGATGATATCTAGGCTCACAGGTAGAGCTCGTTTTGGTGAATGAACAGATCCTAGATGTACAGTGGATCTTGCACATACTGAGATGCACATAACCTTTAATTCAGTAGCAAATATACTAAGTAGCAAATGTGCCAACTCCCAAAGTAGGACCTAAATACATGATGTTAAAACTAAAATTTGTAGCAATATTTAAAAGCTATTCCTAAAAAAGGTGATACCTGAAATCTCTTGATGATTCTGTGGAATTCCATTGAACATCTTTGGTTTACAGCGAGAAGTTTTTCAATTTGTTTGATTTGTGAATGTGGAAGTGAGAGGTTTGCTTTTATTGTAACTGAAAGCTCTTTTTGGGTTTCAATTTCTTTCTCCAAGTCAAGGGATAGTCTAGTTAAGCACTCATAATGATTATACATTTCTGAGTATCTCTTCAGAAGCTCCTAAGAAAAATTAGAAATCATTCAGTTTAACAATAGACCTTGTCCTAGAATTGTAACAAAATTTATGCTTTAACATTTTCCGTAGTACAGAAACAAATTAAGACCTTTGTGCTAAAAAAAAAAAAAAGAAAAGAAACTTTCATTGTTGATTTTGGATTATAGTAATAATGTATGATTACTGTGAAAATTTTAAAGACTTAAACAAATATAACAAAACCAGAAACCACTACTGTTACCATTTTGATACATTTTTAGTTTTTTGCATTCATGATTTAAATGACCACCTACAAAGAGTGAAGACAAATTTGAATGAATTCAAACTACTACCTATTACAATTCAAGACCGAATCCTGGCTCATGTTTACAGTAGGCAGTGTGAGTTTGTAGGTAAAACAAGTGACAAAGAATCCAATAGCTGTTTGCCTGCTTGGTGCAGCCTCTTTACACATTTCTATTTATCTGCCTAGCATTTCAGTTTTCTAACTTTTTATCAGAGTTAGAGTTCAGGCTCTATCTAGGGAACTCACTGAACCATTTTCCAACTACAAAATGAAGACTATGGTAACTACCATGGAGTTTTTAGGGGAAAATAATTATTATATGATACCTGTATCTATGTAATCTATAAAATACATACATTATGGCTTAAGGGAAATAAAATTTTATTTATAAAAATGTTTCTGTAGTCAAGTTTTAAACTTACACCTGATTTCAAATCCTGACTACCAACCTACTAGCTATGTGACCTTGGGCAACTACTAAACTTCCTCTCCAAGCCTCAGTTTCTCCGTAAGTGGAACAATAAAGAGTATCTCATGAGGTAAGGCACCTGGTATTAATGCAAATGGTAGACACTAAATAAGCTTGGCCTACAAGCTCAAAAGACTAGAGGCCATGCAGGGGACACACTGGTTACGGTATAGGTGGAAGAACACAATAGTTCAAATTGCTAGTCATATAACAAATGACACGTTTAATTCAGGGTGCTAAATAAAAGAACAAAGGGCTACTGACAGTGAGTTTCCTTTTTAATAACTTAAGGCTGTTCATTCATCTGGGATGTTGGAAAGGGGATTCCTGCCTTTGGTCTCAGTATGATCAAATTATGGTATGGAACAGCACTGTATAGTCATTCGTTTATACTTTTAAAACATATTCTGATAGGAATGTGTTCAATGATATAAAAAACACACCAAAAAAGTCTTTAGGGATCTTGCCTTCTAAGAGGAAGGACAGTTAATCATTCCCTCAGTATATATTCACAATCCAAATATTTCCCACTGCTTTCACTGATACCTCTTTAGGTTGAGCCACCATCATCTTTGCCTGGATTATTGGAATTAGTTTCCCAAATGTTCTTCCTGCTTCTACTCTCTATTTTCAACACAACGATCAGAGTCATCCCTTTCAAATGTAAGTTAGACTATGTGTCTCACATGGTCAAAAGCCTCCAACAGATCTCCATCTCACTCAGAGTAAAACCCAAAGATCTTTCAAGGCCCCACAGCTTGTATCTTCCCCATGAGCTCTCTGACATCATTTATTAGCTTTTCCCCTTCTTGATGTTCCTGGAACCCATCAGGCAGGCTTCTGCCTCAGGAGCTTTGTACTCATCATTTTTTCTTCTCATCCTGTTTTTCCCCCAGACAGCTATGTGACTTAATTCTTTACCTCTTTCAGGTATTTGCTCAAATACCACCTTTCCAATGGGGTCTTAAAATCATAACCCCCCCAGTTTTGTGTGTTTATGCATGTACATATGCATACACATGCACACCTATACTAGATTATAAAGTTTAAAAAAAACACTGAACACTATCTATTCATTCCATAGAGGTTCCTTTGATTCCATTTAGGCCTTTGGAAGGGTACCAATATTCATTCATAATTTGAACATGGGACACTTACTTTTATCCTAGAGCACTTTTCCCTTAGGCTTTCTGTGAGGTGGTGTTTTTCATTACTTTGTAACTTTTTTTCATATTTTACTATCTCTTTTTGGTTCTGTTGGTCCTGCATTGATACAAAGAAAAAAATAAGGCTTCAACTATAGCTACATTCATTTATAACATCTATATGCTTTTCCAATTACATTTTTTCGTATCATTTCAATAATAGAATTATAAGCTTGTAACTCAAAAACAAAGTTAAAAATGGCCAGAAAATAAATAACAAGAGTACCACTAAGTATTGTAGGGAGTGGGCTCAACTCATTAAGAAAAATCGTGTAAGAACCACATTATTTTTTGAGACAGGATTTATTCCCATAACCCTCAGTCACAAATTAAATTTTAGATTTATATCTGATTCTTACAATTTCAAGTCTCTGCATTAGAATTAGTCTCTGAATTGTTGCCAATTAATACACGCAAAACCACCTAAATATATCTATCTATTCAGACTTTTCCCAGCACAATGGAACATAAAATACATATCCTGTTCCTTTTTGTACTTCTGATTAGAAATATAAAACAAAACCTTTTCTCTCATTTATTCACTACACTATTTAGAAGAATGACTGTTTAATAAATATTTGTAGAATGAATTAAATTTCTTTATAAATTTAGTTAGGGCCCACATAAGGATGGTTCCCAAGTGTCCATGTTTCTGTTGATATTGCAAATGATAAGGTGTTCTAGTCTTGCTGAATTATGAGAATAAAAGATTTTTATAGATTTTATGCAATTTCTTGTCTGAATTGTATGTTATTTTCTAGAGGGTTCCACTGAGTTTTTTAAGGTGTGATTCTGAATACCTAAAGACAGTCTCACTGGATGAATTTCATTCTGCTGTGTGTCTGGCCGCTTCCCTCTAACTTCACTGAGAAGATCCCATGCCTAAAACTCCATAAGGAGACAGAGAAATGGGCACCTAGCTCTTTTACAAATCTAGTCCTTCAAATATTTTTCTATGGAATATAATGGCATTTCCTGGTTTAAAAAACTTTTAAAAAAATTAAATAGTCTGCCTTATGTAAGAAATCTTCTCTTAAAAATAAATAATTAAAATGATATTTCCTGAAAAATATTTTGGCTTCTTTTAAAACTGCATCTTCTATTTGTGTGAAAAATTATAGTAATAGTTATCCTATGATCTTTTACTATTTGTAAAAATTTCTAAAAAGAAAAAAAAAAACCCACAAACAACCCTTCTCTCCCCCCACAAAACAAAAAAGGCAAACAAACCCCACCACCACAACAAAATCAAATTATTCCCCTTTTTGAAAAAGCTTTTCTTATAAACAGTTACTAGATAAGGGAAGATTCTGGACTCACGCTAGCTATCATCTCTGTTAAGGTTTCTCTGAATTGGTCTCTTTCCATTTTGAGAGACTCTTTTATCCTCCTTAGCTCATCTCTTTCCTTAGCTATAATTCTTTTTTCTTCAAGGCATTTATGAAGTTTCTTTGTCAAGTGTAAGTTATCCATTTCCACACTTTGCATAGATAAGTTCTGGGCCTCAAACTGTTGCTTCAATTGTTCCATTTTGTTTATATTTTTATGAGTTTTATTGACATCTTCTTTCATTTTGAGAAGTTGAAGCTCTTTTTTCTGAAGTTCTTCTATCTTGAGATCATTATAAAACAAGTTAGAATGTGAACAGAATTCCTTCAAGGAAGGAAAATAGTGTCTACTGGTTATATGTATATCTCTATATTTGTATCTATATCCTTTCTTATTCCACAAATGATTGTGGGCAGTTACTCCTCAAAGAACAAAACAACATATACCTTATATATCTTTTTTTTTTTTAAATTTTTTTTAAATTTTTATTTATTTATGACAGTCACACAGAGAGAGAGAGAGAGAGGCAGAGACACAGGCAGAGGGAGAAGCAGGCTCCATGCACCAGGAGCCCGACGTGGGACTCGATCCCGGGTCTCCAGGATCGCGCCCTGGGCCAAAGGCAGGCGCTAAACCGCTGCGCCACCCAGGGATCCCCCATATACCTTTTTCTGTAACTCATCTTTAGATTTATTTAAATCCTTTTGGATATTTGAAATCTGAGTTGTCTTTTCTGAAACTCTCTCTCTGAATTTATCAATAGTTTCTTGGTGTTCTTTCAAATGCAAAAGAGCAATTTTTAGTTCTTGTTGTGTTTCCAAATCCTTTATTAGAAGAAATTGAGAAATACCATGGTATAAAGGCACATTATCTTTTCTTAATGATGAAATAGTTAACCAAAATCTTTAAAAATGCACGCTCATAGTTCAAAAAACAAGCACACCACCTCCAGATTGGAACCATACAGAAGGACATAAATGAAAGTCCCTGTCCCTAGCCTCACCTATCCTCATTGGGCTTCCTGGTGAACTCGGTCAGTGCTTTCGTCCCTTTCATACCACTTGGACATCATTCTAAATCAGTACACTACGTAAAAAGGGCCCCATTCTCATGCTTATGAATAATCCATTATACAGATGTACCCCCATTTAGCCTGGTGGACAGTTGGATTGCTTCTAGATTTTCGTCAGCACTAACAATGTTGCAGTGAACGCTACTGTATTTCTGCCCCGATGTGCGATGTGCGCATATATTGGTAGGATAAATCACTACAAGTGGAATCACTGTAGCAGATATATATGCTGACAAATCTTTAATAAGGCATTGTTAAACTGTCTCCCTAGAAGGTTTTAACATTTACATGTTCAACAGTACTTTAAAAAGAAAGCTTCTTGTACTAAAAACACGTTTACTGGGTAGGTAAAAAGAGCACAACTCACTCTGGCTATGGTTTCCTGTAGGTTTGTCTTGAGCTGGTCTCTCTCCAATTTCAGATTATCTCTTTCTTGCATTACAGATTTCATTTCTTCAAGGTTTTCATGAAGTTTCTGAGCCAAATTTAAGTTCTCCATTTCTACTTTATCCAGAGTTAAACTTTGGCCCTTCAATTGTTTCTTCAATCGCTCTATTTCAGACATCTTTTTCTGTGTCTCACTGACATCTTCCTTTAGCTTAAAAAGTTGATGTTCATTTGCCTTAAGTTGTTGAATCTGAAGATAATCATAAAATAATGTGTTAGGACACAGAGTTTTTAAGAGAAGCATAAAGAATAGTGTCTAAATTGATTAAGACAAGTCTTCCTATGTTGCTCATTAATATCCTGCCTAATTTCATACAAAATTTTTCTTTTGAGGGACATTAATCTTAAGTATATAGCTTAATTACTCTTGACACATGTATACATATCTAGCACCGCTATAAGGTTCCTGTATGCACCCCCCACCTACAACTAAACACTGTTCTGAACTTTTTTCATTCTAGTTGAATCTTGCCTGCTTTTGAACTTATAAATCACAATAGATTTATCCATTTTCCTATAGATAGGCACTTCACTTGTTTTCCATTTTTTGCTGTTATGAGTACAGAACTGTTATGAGCATTCTTGCACATAACTATGTAGAAGTATGCATTTTTTTTCTCTTAAGTATATACTCAAGGAATAGAAATGCTGAGTCATGGGTAGGTATATGTTCAGCAACAGTAAAAAACTGTTAAGATGTTTTCCAATGTGGCTAAACCATTTTACATCCCCCAAAGGAGTTTAGGTACAACTAAATCAAATATCCAAGCAAGCACATTCTCCATACCTTTTCTTGTAATTTAGCATTTGAATTTTCTAAATCCACTTGCATATTTGCTATTTCATCTGTCTTCTCAGAAACAAGGCCTCTGAGTTTATCAATAGTTTCCTGGTGCTCTTTCACATGCATGCAAACAATTCTTAGTTCTTCTTGTTTTTCCAGATCCTTTGTCAGAGAAATTTTAAGAATGGTGACACAGGTTAATGCTATTTTTTTTTTCCTAAAAGTGACCCATTTCCTTAGTAAAAATAAAAATATTACTTCTTACTCTCCAACTTTGTTATTAGAAACTTATAAACTTTCCCTCCCCACGACCTAGTCCTACTTTTGAGAAGCAAACACATGATACATATACTATTCTACAGCTTGCTTTTCCCTCTAAGATTTGAATAACCTGATTTGGAAGCCCAAATCAATTTCTTCTTTTTAACGTGTTGCATAGTATTATGACATATCACTCATATTTACCGAGTTTCCTTCTGATGGACATTTAGCTTGTTTCCCACTTTTTATTACAAATTGCTACAATCAACAACCTTGTGTGCTTGTGTACATACATAAATATATATGTAGGATGAAGTCTACAAAGAAAATACTGGTTACAGGGGCGCCTGGGTGGTGCTGTTGAGAGTCTGGCTCTTAGTTTCAGCTCAGGTCATGATCTCAGGGTTGTTGAGATGGAGCCCCACATGGGGCTCCAAACTCAGTTTGTTAGGACTTTCTCTCTTGCTGTGCCTGCCTTCCCGTGCTCTCTCTCTCTCAATAAATAAGTAAATAAATAAAAAGAAAATAATGGTTACAGAATTTAACACTTTTAGAACAATACCAAATTACCTGCCTGAAAGGTTATCAGTTCACTCATATCTATGGTGCCACTTATGTCAAAGAATGGTTCACTGCTATCAGGAAAACATCATGTTTACTCACTAGTATAGGAAGAGTGACTTACTTGAGCTTCCTTTTCTCTGAGGCTTTCTCTGAGCTGGCATTGCTCCATCCTGAGGGTTCTCTCTGCTCTTTTTAGAGTATCTCTTTCCTCAGTAACACATTTTATTTCTTCGAGGTTTTCATGAAGTTTCTGACTTAACCTCAGCCTCTCAGTTTCTACACTTTCCAGGGTTGAATGTTGGGCCTGTAACTGCTCCTTCAATTGCTCTGTTTGATACATATTTTCTCTGAGATCATTTTTTACTTTAAGAAGTTGATGTTCTTTCTCCTGAAGTTCTTGGATCTTGAGATAATCATACAATAAATTAAGATATAGATAGATATTGAAAAAAATATTAAATAATACTTTCAAAATTAGGTAGGCAAATATTTGTCTTCAATTTTAGGCTAATTCATATCTTGCTTCATTACATAAAAGACCTAATTCAACCTTTCATAAAAAAAAAGAAATACCTGTGTTTTTAAGGCATCATTTGTGTTTTCTAAATCCATCTGCATATTTGATAGTTCATCTGTCTTCTCAGAAACAAGGCCCCTGAGTTTATCAATAGTTTCCTGGTGCTCTTTCACATGCATGCGAGCAATTCTTAGTTCCTCTTGTTTTTCCAGGTCCTTTATTATTAGAGAAAGGAAAATGGTATATTCAGAGTAAGAAAATTCAGTGTATAGAAAGATAGAGACGGCAAGAGGTAAATATGCCCTGCCCCCTTAGGTCTCATTCTCTAAATTCACCTTAATTTCAGTACATGCTAGATATATTACTCCACAGCTTATCTCCTTTTCCCCAATAGGATACTTCCAAATCAGCACCATTGGCACCACCTCATTCTTTACTAGTGGCCTACTAGTCTGTGGTCTGCATGTGTTATACTTAATTAACCAGTCCCCTGCTAATAGACATTTAGCATTTTCCTTATTTTCTTTTTGTTTGCTTTGTTTTGTTATTGCAACTTTTTGCAATGAGTATCCTTCTACAGATATCTTTGCACAACTGTGTTAATGTGATGTGTACAGGATAAATAGCTATGACTGGACTTTTCGGGTCAATGAATAAACTTATTGAAGTATTTGAAATATATTATCAAATATTACCCCTCCAACCTTACCCAGTTGGATGGATTTTACACTCCCACCAACCCTACTGCCCATGGTTCTTTTAGGATACAATGTCATATTTACTGAATGGGGGAAAGGTGGTAACTTACTCTAATTACAGTTTCTCTCAGGTTTTCCTTGAGCTGGTCTCTCTCTACTTTGAGAATCTCCTCTATACTCCTAAGATCATCTCTTTCTTTTGTAACAGATCTCATTTCTTCAAGGTTTTCATGAAGTCTCTGAGTTAACCTTGCATTCTCCATTTCTATATTTTCCAGAGTTGACTTTTGGGCCTCAAACTGGTTCTTCAAGTGTTCCATCTCACATATTTTTTCCTGAGTCTCATTGACAGTTTTCATCTTAAGAAGCTGATGCTCTTTCTCCTGAAGTTCTTGAATCTGAGAAAAAATAAAACAAGTTAGGACACAGGCAGAAATTTGTAGGAAAAAGAGAAATTGTTTCTAAATTAAATCAGTCATCTTTAATGTATATACTATTTTCTTCTACTGGACAATGAGCAACACAATAATCAGATGTCATTTTCCAACTTAATGAAACAAGATCTACCTTTTCTTGTGATTCAGCATCTGAACTTTCTATAACTCTCTCAATATTTGCTTCTTGGTCTGTCTTCTTTGAAATATTCCTAGTACTAATGGTTTGTTGGTACTCCTTCAAAAGAACATAAGTAGTTTTTAGTTCCTGTTTGATTTTCAGTCCCTTTATGGTTGGGTAAAAATGAAACAATAGTGAATCTGTTAACTACCTTAACACTATTTTTGCACCCCAAAAAACATTAGAAGGCAACTCACCTCAGCTACAATTTCTTTAATGTTTGCTTTGAGTTGGTCTCTCTCCATTTGAAGAAGTTCCTGTACCCTTTTCAGTTCATCTCTTTCCTTAATTATAATTTTTATTTTATCTTGACTTTCCTGAAGTTTCTCAGTCAACTTGAGCCTCTCGCTTTCTTTATTTTGTAATGATGAATCTTTGACTCTGAGTTGCTCCTTTAATTGCTCCAGTTCACTCATTTTTTCCTGAGTCTCAGTGATTTCTTTGGTGCTCATAAATTGCTGTTTCTCATGAAGCTCTTGGATCTTAATACATATACACATAAAATGTGTGTTTATATGTGTGTGTGTATACATAAATGTTTTTGTTTTTAAAGGAAAAACACCCAGAGTGTTCTGTATAACAATTTAGTACCTAAAATTAGTTTCTACAATTCAGTTAAGCTAGCTCCCTCAAGTTTTCTCCTACATGAACTTCACCCCCAATTTACCTTTTTTTGTAATTCATCATTGGTTATTTCTAATTCCTTTTGAAGGCTGGATAGTTCAGTTTCCCTCTCTGAAAGATTCACTCTCAGCTTATCAATAGTTTCCTCTTGTTCTTTCAGGTGACAACGAGCAACTTTCAGTTCCTCTTCGGTTTCCAGGTGCTTTATTATCAGAGAAAATTGTCGAGAAATTTATAGAAACATTTTAACTATTACACTCTAACTTATTTTTTGAAAGGCTTAATTTTTGCAAAAATATCTGCTTATAAAGTGCTAAAAAAAAAAGCACATGGGGAAAGGTGAAACCTACTTTAGCTATGATTTCTCTCATGTTTTCTTTGAGTTGGTTAGTTTCAGACTGAAGAACTTCTTGTAGCTTCTCAGACATCTCAAGCCTTTCCATGCCCACTCTTGGCTGTGGTGCCTCTTTGGCTTCAAGCTGCTCCTGCAGTTGCTCCAACTCTCTCACGATTTCCTCAGCTTCATCTTCTCTTTCTTTCATGTCAAAGGACTGTTCTTGTTTATTTTGAGGTTCTGAGATATTAAGAGAATCCTAAAACAATAGAGTTGACAACCAAAGATCTTTTATTTTACTCTAGGATAAAATAAATCATGATACTTCCTAAAACAATGAAGTCAGGATTCAGTGGCTCATTACAGAGCATTCTTTTCACTCCCACTCAACAATACTCAGGTGCTGAACACTAACTTCCTGAGGGCTCATTGTATTGTCACCATCCTACTAGAAGCTAGAGATAAAATGGTAAATGAGACTTACATGATATTTGCCATTTTGAGACTTGCACTTTAGAGGGAAAGATAGACGTTATGCCAAATCTTACCCAACAGAGGTTCTGGGTTCTTGCAGGGTATGTGGCAGACCTAACTTACCCTTAGTGGTTAGGAAGGTTTCCTGGGGGATGGAAAGCTTCAACTGAGATCTGAAGGATGAGAGAACTAGTTAGGCAAGGGGGAATGGAAATGCTGTAGGCAGGGAGACCAGAACATCTGGAAGCCATGAAATGACCAAGCACAGTGCTGGAGCATCATGAGCAAGGGTAAGAGTGAGCAGAAATATGGCTAGAGACCAGTAAGGAATGGGACTTAGGGCCTCATAAGTAAGCAATGTGAGGGATTCTGGTCTTCAGTTCAAGAGCAGAAATAAATTATTTTAAAGGACTTCAAGAAGAAAAGATTACTTGGGTTCAGAATGGGAAATGAACTATAGGAATGAATATGGGGAGGCTAGTAAGGAGGCTACTGCAGAAAGTCAGGGACAGATGTAACAGTGGCTTGGATCAGGGTGTTGGCAATGTGGAGAGAAAAGGGGGAAGATTTCTTTCTCTCTCTCTCTCTCTCTCTCTCTCTCTCACACACACACACACACACACACACACACACACCTACCTACACACACATCTACCTAGTTTTCTAGTATTTATAATTTTAATTTTTTAAGATTTTCTTCTTCTTCTTCTTTTTTTTTTTTTTTTTTTTTAAAGATAGAGCACGAGCAGGGGGTGAGGCAGAAGGAAAGGGAGAAGTGGACTCTGCTGAGCAGGGAGTCTGACATGGGGCTCAATTCCAGGACCCTGGAATCATGACCTGAGCTGAAGACAGACACTCAACCTCTGAGCCACCCAGGCACCCTGCTAGTATTTATATTTTTAGTTCTGTTTCCAATCACTTCATAATTAAGAGACATTTAAAGAAAACATGGTAGTAATATTGTAACTGTAGCACAAGTGCTTCCTTCCCCAAAGATTTTTTTTTTTAGATCTTTTTTTTTTTTATTCATTCATGAGAAACAGAGAGGGAAAGACATAGGCAGAGGGAGAAGCAGGCTCCCTGTAACAAGCCCAATGTGGGACTCGATCCCAGACCCTGGGATCACGCCCCAAGCCAAAGGCAGATGCTCAACCACTAAACCACCCAGGCATCCCTCAAAGACTTGATTCTTATAAAACACCTCTTAAATCAAAGGAAAGCATGAAACTTACTTCAGCCAACATTTCTCTACTATCTTCTTTCAGTTGGGTCTTGTCCCACCTGAACTGCTTCTTTTATTGTTTTAAGATCATCTCTTTCCTCAGTTAGAGATTTTATTTCTTCATGACTTTCTGGAAGTTTTGCAGTCAACCCAAGCCTTTCTATTTCTATGCCTGCTGGTGTCATTGAATCCTTGGTTTTGGACTGCTTTTTCAATAGCTCCCCTTCATTCATTGTTCCCTGAGTAGCACTGACTTCTTTCACATTAGGCAGTAGCTCCTGTTCCTCATGAAGCACTGGGATCTTGTGATATACGTAAAATACCAAGGTTACTATCTGGAGGTTATTATCATAATTTTGTGCGTGTGCGCACAAAAAGGTGACTTTATTAAAGCACGGGGAAAGGACCCATGAGCAGAAAGAGCTGCTGTATTATAATTCTTTAAAGAGAAAAGATGAGGATACTGTCCACAGAAATAAAAGTGATCTAGAACCCACTGTCTACTGTGGATCATGAACTCCCCAATTTATTCACATTCTCTTGATTCCTACTGAAGTTCTTCATGACCTTTCTGCTGGTCACTTTCTGCCATAATTTTCTTTTGCTCCAGCTTACATCCAGAGTGAACCAATTCTTATACTTGACTAACACACTGTTGATTCAGTCAGTTGTACACTTAATTTCTTTACTAGTTCCCAAATGCTACCAGAGAAAAATCATCATTGAGCAGATTATATGTCAATTAATGAATGGTCCCTCATTTTCAGATGAGCTCCAATGCTATGTCTCAATTTTTTTATGTTTACAGATTGATTCCCCTTTCCTATGGTCATTAATGGTTCCATGTAAATTTGCATGTCCTATTTCTGCATTTGTCCTACTAGAATTGAGGGATTATTTTATGTCCCTACTGGGGGCACGGGGAGGACAATGACTCATTCACTCATAGTTTCAATATCTTGCACATGGTGGCCTTTAACATAGGTTGTTTCAGTTATCTCAATGTTTCATTTTCTCTATAGCAGCTGCCATTATCTCAAATTATCTTTGTTCATTCGTTTGCTTATTTACCCGTTATCATCTCTTTCCATTAGAGTATGCTCTATGATCGCAGAAATTTTGTTCCTCTTGTTCCCATTTTATTTCTATAACCTGTAACTCTGCCTACCACATTAGACTTTCAACAAATAATATCCAATAAATGAACAAACACATTCACCACTTACTAATCATCTTTCCTTCAAAGAGAAAAGGAAAGAAGGGACAAAGGAGAGAAGGAAGACCAAAATCTTTTCTTGTAATTCAGTATTGGATTTTTCTAAGTCCTTCTAAGTATTTATTAATTGAACGGTCTTCTCAGAAACGTTTTTTCTTAGTTCATCAATAGCTTCTGTTGTTCTTTAAGATGCATGTGAGCAATTTTTAGTTGTTCTTTTGTTTCTAGTCCCTTTATTAGTAAGTGGAGTTTAAAGAATATTATAACCACATCATCCTAACATTGCCTCCCCCTTTTCCAATCAGTTCCATTTTAAAGAAACATTTAATAGATGAAAGAAAAGGGTAATAACTTACTGTAACTTCGATTTCTCTTATGAATCCTTCAAGTTGCTCTCTCTCTAATTCAAATGATTCCTGTAATTCCTTTAGATCATTTCTTTCTTTGGTTAATGATTTCATTTCCTCATCATTTTCATGGAGCTTCTGAGCCACCTCTAGCCTCTCCATTTCTATACGTTCCAATGTCAATTCTCGGTTCCTAAATTCATTGTTTACATTCTCCATTTCATTCATCTTTTTCTGCATCTCACTCATTTCTTCTTGTACACTAAGAAGTTGTAGCTGTTTTTCTTGTAGTTGTTGGTTCTTAAGAAATAAAATTTTTAATTACCATTTTGCCTATATACTCTTAAGATTCTTGCGTAAAATGTATTTTCTGAACTGAAATAATCATTATCACAGCCCTGCATACACTCCCAATGTAAATGGTCAAACTGCTTTGAAGTAAAGTAACCTTCTAAGCATAGTGACTGTAGTTGGTTGAACAGTGTTCTACCCAAAATTCAAATCAATTCAGAACTTCAGAATATGACCTTACTTGGAAATACAGTTTTTACAGATGAATTTCTACTGGAGTAGGGTGGGCCATAAATGCAATGAGAGTCCTTATAAGAGGCAAAAAAGGGCACACAGAGAAAGTTCTATGAAGATGGAGGTAGAGATAAGAGGGATATAGTTATAAGCCCAGGACACCAAGGACAGTTGGCAGCCAGGAATAGTTGGTATTATAACCACATCATCCTAACTGCCTTCCTCTTTTCCAGCTGGCTCGGTTTTAAAGAAACATTTAAACTCAAGAAAAGATTCTTCCTTAGAGCCTTCAGAGGGAGCATGGTATTGCCAGCAACTTGACTTTGGACCTCTAAGATTCAGAAGTTTGACAATAAATTTCTCTTATTCTTTAGCCATCAAGTTTATGGTAACTTGATAGAGGGTCTAGGAAATTAATACAGTATCAGTAGCTTAATTAAGGAGACAAAGTAAAAATGAGAAAAACTTGAAAAGAAACTAATTAAATATAAATGTATAGCTGCCAAATAACTAATTCTTCATCTCTTAAAAACTTTTTGGATAATCTATTTTTACTTCTAATGAGGTCCTTACGGGTTGGCCCAAACAATAAGGCATCAACTTTTTAAATTAAAGTTACTTAAATTCAATTTAATTAACACATAGTGTATTATTAGTTTCAGAGGTAGAATTTAGTGATTTATCAGTTGCATATAATACCCAATGCTCATTACTTCCAGTGCCCTCCTTAAATGCCCATCATCCAGTTACCCCATTCCCCCACCCACTTCCCCTCCAGCAACCCTGTTTGTTTCCTATAATTAAGAATTTCTTATGATTTTTCTTATTTTATTTTTCCTTCCCTTCCCTTATGTTCATCTGTTTTGTTTCTTAAATTCCACATGAGTGAAAACATATGGTATTTGTCTTTCTGTGACTTATTTAGCTTACCCTAATACCCTCTAGCTCTATCCACGTTGTTGCAAATGGCAAGATTTCATTCTTTTTCACGGCTGAGTAATATTCCATTGTGTGTATATACCACATCTTTATCATTCATCTGTCAATGGACTTCTGGGCTCTTTCCATATTCTGGCTATTGTGGACACTGCTGCTATAAACATTGGGGTGCACATGTCCCTTTGAATCACTCTTTGTATCCTTTGGGTAAATCCCCAATAGTGCACTGCTAGGTCACAGGGTAGCTCTATTTTCAACTTTTTGAGGAACTTCCATACTGTTTTCCTGAGTAGCTGCACCAGTTTGCATTCCCACCCACAGTGTAAGAGGGTTCCCTTTTCTGCATCCTTGTCAATATGTGTTGTTTCCTGAGTTGAGTTGTCCATTTTAGTGAGGCATTATGTTTTATACAAGCCTGTTAATTCCCTTCTTTAGGATGAGTATGAAACTGACATCAGATTTTAGTAAATTTGATTACGTTATAGTGAAAAGGAGGAGAATTAAGAGAGTACATACTAGGAAAAAGCACTCCACAGAAGCACAGTGGGAAATCACAATTATTTATAATGCATCTGACACTATCCTTAAACAGAAAAAAAATCTTTGTAGGTACACTCTAGAATTACTTGGGCAGCACCACTATTACAAGAGTCCTAGCTCTTACGAATTATAACAGCACCTTACTTCCATAAAAGAAATGACACAGGAAACTGTAAATGTCTAAGAGATGGTAATAATCATAAATCTTTAAAGAATCTTAAAGAATTCTTTAAAGAATTTTAAGAATCATTAATATATCTTTATAAAGGCAGGATCTTTGTGTTATTAACTGATGGATCTCAAGTCCCCAGAACAGCTCCTGGGCTAAGGTGGTTCCCAGTAAGTCTCTGATGAATGAATATTGTATGATTAACTTAGATGAATCAAGGTAGTATCTCATCTAAAGATTAGGGTAAGATAAATCTCACAAAAAAGGATGTTGATTAAGAGCTAGGTAGGTGTTGAAACTGTCCACTAATATTAGCATTAAGATCTGTTCATTTGGGAAATATATGCTATTTCTAGAATTTAGTTCTACTGCAATCAAAATGTATTAAAAAAAAAGTTTAGTCAGGATGATAGCTTTAAAAATTCACCTTTTCCTTTAACGTTTCTTCAACTTCTGCTAATTTCTTATAGGTCCTAGAGAGTTCTTCTTCTTTCTTTATAGTGTGGTTCTTTTCTTGTACAAGTATATCTTGTTGCTTTTTAAGTTCATCTCCAAGAATTCTTAATTCTTCTTGGTTTTCAATAGTCTAGAATTTTTTGAAAGTTGAGATTAAATATTACATTTATGAAATCTGATAAAAACCAGCATTTATCTCAGCCTGAAAATGAAGAAATCATGGCAAATTCTATGGGAAAAGACTGCCTTAAAAAGAAAGTCCTTTTTTTTTTTTTTTAAAGATTTTATTTACTTATTCATGAGACACAGAGAGATAAGCAGAGATACAGGCAGAAGGAGAAGCAGGTTCCATGCAGGGAGCCTGATGTGGGACTCGATCCTGGGACTCCAGGATCACACTCTGAGCCGAAGGCAGATACTAAACGCTGAGCCACTCACACGTCCCAAAAAACAAAGTCTTTAATTTAATCATATAGATGCCAAACATCTGCTTTTTATGCTGTTTCTTTATTGCTTCACTTATATTCCTACCATGAGAATTAGAACTGGATTTAGTATTCTATCTTGAGAGGTTTGATATTTTCCCACCCTCAAGCCAAGGGAGACTGTCTCTAAGCTCTCATGAACTGATGGCGAGACTACAGTTACGGGCTTTTCATATGCTAGAATGGTTATGGTTTGGGGCACCAGTTAACAGCAAGCTCAAAATGGCAGCCAATCTTTGCTAGCATGACTTGGGCTAACCCTAGTTATAAACCTAAACAGTGACATTCTCAAGGGTCATGACCACAGAAACACTGCAAAGTAAGACCAAGAAGAGTTACAACTTCTGTCTGTAATCTTATTTATACTTAGCTCTTTTGACCAAACAGACAATCCCAAGAATATGGAAAATTACACAAAAGATCAGGTTTCTTGTAATCCACAGTAAACTTCTAAAAATGCTAATTTCGATCTACCCATATTATACTGTTCCTAAATACAAAAACTAAAGTAGATTTGACAATATGGCAAACATTAACAAATAATTAGAAATGAAGTTTAGAAACTACAACAGAATAAATAAAAGAGAATACAGTTAGGAACAAATTTAACCAAATATGGACAAGATAGGAACACTAAAATCTACAACACAACACTGAGAGAACAGATAACTTATAGAAAGATATGCAATGGTCAAAAAGCATATAAGAAAATTATCAATATCCTTAATCATTAGGGAAAGGCAAACGAAAACAATGAGGTACATATCCAATAGAATGGCTAAAATTGAAATCACCAGCAATATGAAGTACTGAGGATGTGGAGTCCTCAGAATTCTCTTAATTTGCTGATAGGAATGTAAAATGGTCCAACTGCTTTGGAAATCAGTTTAATAATTTGCTATGACCCTGCTATTCCATTTAGATAGTTAGCCTAGAGAAATTTTTTTTAAAGATTTCATAGATTTATGTAAGAATGTTTACTACAGCAGCTTCATTCAAAATAGCCAAACAGTGGAGAGAACTCAAATTTCCATCAACAGGAGAAAGGTTAAACAACTTGTGGTCTATCCATACATGGAACACTACCCAGAAATAAAAAGGAGTGTAAAAAAAAAAAAAAAAAAAAAGTAAGGTACAAAAGAGTACATGCTGTATGATTCTATTTGTATGGAGTTCTAGAAGAGATAAAGTGATCTATATTTAAAAAACATCAGGACAGTGAGTCAGGATAGGGCAGAGAGTGAGGTTAGAATTGACTGGGTCAAGGTGCAAGAGAACTCTGTAGGGTAAGGCAAATATTCTACATCTTGACTAGGGTGGAGGGTACACAAGGAGTGATATTTGTCAAAAGCCATCAGACTGTACACTTGCATGAGATGCATTTCTCATATGTAAATTATGCCTCAGTGAAGTTGTAAAAACCCAGAACATACAAGACAAAAACATATTGCTAAGTAAGGATACAGTGCCAGATCCTACCATTTCAATATTTTCCCTTAAATCAGTCTTTAACTGTTCCTTTTCTGCTGTAACACTCTCTAACATTCGTTGCAGTTCATTCTTCTCTTGTATTAAAGAAAATATCTTTCTCTGTTGCTCAGTTAGCTCATTATCTTCAACATTCACAACCAGTGCTTGAGTATTTTTGGCTTTCAAATTCTGTTTTTTATCTGTGTCAACCATCTAAAATATAAATAGATTAAAGAAGAATTTCTCAATTAATAACAATTTAAATAATAAAAATTGCCAAAACTTACATTTTAAAATTATTTATCAGGCACTACTTGCATATACATTTAATCTTCACTCTAACCTTATGAGGCAGGTACTAGTAATATTTACATTTGACAGATGAGGAAATTGAATCCCAGAGAGGATGACAGGTCCTTTGCCCAAAGTCACTCAGGTTTTGAACTCAAGAGGTCTGGCTCCAGAGTTTATGCCCTTAAGCATACTCTTGTTCATGGATAAGAACTACCTACACAGCTGTAGATAATTAAAATTATCATCATGTATGATAATAGATCAACCTAATTTTATGAAAGAGTAAGCTACCTCACATTTCCCCCATATTCTTTCCATCAAAAGTTGGAAATAATTCTCTATCCCTCACACTCAAGAAATCATTATTTTCAGAAGCAGTCATACTCATACAAGGCTGGATGGAGTTTTATCATATGAGAGGGCAAAATAATTTTGATGGAAACAGATTTCATATTATAGTAGTATAATCCATCTTTCTAAAAAATATACTTTTTATATTCTGCTTAAGAAAAGCATGTTGTATAAATTCATTTATCTGTTAATAAGTCTTAGGCAAAGATAACCTAATATGTTTACTCCTTGATAAAAGGAGACAAAGACTGACATTATAATCAATGGTATGAAATTAGGTTATCACTATATAACCTTACACATCCAGGAAATAAATTCAGCTCCATATCGGCCACATATGTTTTAAAAAGTTTTAATAATAGGGGTGCCCGGGTGGCTCAGTTGGTTAAGCATCCAACTCTTAATTTTGGCTCAGGTTATGATCTCAAGGTTATGTGATCTAGCTCTGTGTCAGGCACCACGCTCAATGGGGAGTTGGCTTGAGATTCTCTTTTCCTCTCTCTCTGCCCCCTTTCCCCTGCTGTCTCAAATAAATAAAAGCTTAAAAAAAATTCTATGATAATCTACAAATGCATTAGAAACTGAAAAACAGAAAGAAAAATTCCATCCAATGTCACTAGTTTACACAACCCAGTACTAGAATTCTAGAATATTTTCTTTCAGTTTGTCCTTGAAAAAATGTTGAACACAGTAATTATGACTAATGATTAATATATGTAAAATTCGTTTTTGCTTTTTTTTTTCCACTTAGATCACATGCATTTTCCCATGCTGTTACATAATCTTCAAATTGTAATTTTTAGTAGTTGCTCAATTCTCTTAAATGAGTTTGGACAAATCTATTCTCTTACTGTTGGCCGTATGCATGAGTTTCTGACAATAGCAAACACAGAGCTAATTACATGAGAACTTAAGGTAAGGAAAAGTCATTGGGACTAGTTTGTCAGATACTGTAATCCAGAAACTTGCATCTATACTTCTAAATGTAGGAATGTACACAAAAACAAAGCAGGCTGAGACAAAGTATGTGAGAATACCCAAGGTACATTTCAGAACTGAACTCAGCCCAGAAAGTATTTCAGCTATCATGAGCAAAATCTAACAGATCTTATTATAAAATAAAGAAAAAGAATTGTGTCCTTTACATTAGATAAGCTTACTAATCATTGTTTAAAATTTCTGTTGAGACAGACTAGAGGAACTGCATTTCTAGAGAGAAACATCAGGCAGGATTCAAAGTGGGCACTCCAAGGGAATTCATGAGAGACCTACTAATACAGCCCTTTGGGGCCCAGATGAATAGAGGGATCCACATGAGATTCCATCATGAACATGTTAACAGAAGACCAAGCTGATCCTACTCTTCTATCCCAGATTTGAGAAACTCCAAGAAACAGAAAAGCGCCAGTAGGACATTTTTTATGAACACAGATGATTCTAACATAAACAATACCACAGACCAGCTGGTTCCAGTGAATAGAACTCTCCCTCTCCCTCACTCTTCTGCCATTGCCCCTTCTCAGGGGGCCCTATGATTGCATTTTACATTTGTTTAAAGCAGCTATTAATTGTAGCTTATTTTCAAAAATCTTTTCAAAAAACCTTCCTCTAATGAAAGTGAAAGTCATAAATTTCAAATCAAGGTCAAACGCCTTTGGCTCATTTGGTGGATCCAAACTATAGATAAGCTGAGAACACAAGATATTTAAAACAAGTGAAAAAGCTTTTCTAGGAGAGAAGAAATGAAGCATAGGGAGAGGGAGGAAAAGCTTTTCCAAGGCAAAAATACTGTACCCCACGGGAAAAATAAAAGCCTGCTTATATAGTAGATAAATCTATATAAAGATTTATTTACATAAGCTGGAGCTTACTGAATTATTCTGAAGTAGTTATTTGCTTTTATTTAGTAATATGTCCATCTGGTGACTTTTCTGTTTGCATATAATATGTAGTTTTAAAAAATTATATGACCATATAAAACCCAGTTGCCTTATCTATACACATACATATCTACATAGACTATTCCAAGCTATGTATGTACAAAAGATTATTTCATCAGTCTCCCACTGATGAATGTTTTAAATTCCTGGTAGCAAATATTCTAGATTAAATAGTATTAAGTACATAAAATTGAAAGACAGTAAACGAATCCATCGTACAAAATTATATGCAATCACCTGTTAGAGACTGAATTGTGTCCTCCTAATATTCATGTTGAAGCCCTAACCCCATGTGGCTATATGTGAAAATAAAGTCTTTAAGGAGAGTAATTAAGGTTAAATGAGGTCATAAAACTGGGGCCCTAATCTAATAGGACTGGTGACCATTCATTCATTCATTCGTTCATTCAGAGCCAGACGTGGGGTTCAAACTCACAACCCTGAGATCAAGATCTGATCTGAAATCAAGAATCAGTTGCCTAACCAACTGAGCCACCCAGGCGCCTCAGGATCAGTGTCCTTTTAAGTAGAGGAAAAAACATTAGTGCTCTTTCTTAGCTCAAGCATAAGAAAAAGGTCATGTGAGGACACAGAGGGAAGGTGCCATCTGCATGCAGGGAAGCAAAGACTTAACAGAAACCAAATTTTCTAGCACCTTAATCTTGGACTTTAGCCTCCACAACTGAGAGAAAGAAAATTTCTGTTATTTTAGCTACCCAGTCTGTGATAGTTTGTGATGGCAACCCTAGTGGACTAACACAGCTCTTAAAACAAAAAACAATGTTGGCAAAATGAACACCAATAAAAATAAATGTATAAAAAAAACAAAAACAAAAACAAACACAACATTAGCCTTTCTTGTATATAATTAATCAGTTAAGACCTTATTCTCCAAAAAAAAAAAAAAAAAAAAAAAAAAAAAAAGACCTTATTCTCCTAAGGTCACAGGACAAAATGAGCCATACCATCTAGAATAAATTAAGGTTGAGATTTAAGCCCCTAACATTAAAATTATAGCACAAGCCCTAGAAATAGTCATAAATGCAATATACACATTGATTTTATAGTGAACTCTAAGCAAGTTTCATATTTAAAATCTGACATAAAACCAAGTATTTTAGACAGAATTCAGAGGCGTTTTCAAGGACATTAAAAATACATCAGGAAAAAAAAATACATCAGGCCTCTGAAAATATCAGCTCAAAGTTCAAATGAATTTCTCTCTTTTTGTTTCAAATTGATTGTAAGCAGTTATATCTGAAGTTATTTCAAAGACATTAGGGTTATGCTTGTAAATTATTTTTAGTTACTAGCACAGTGGATGATAAATGGGATTGAGACTATCATTATGTTCTTAAGTGTTTCAAGTAAAAGAGAAAACTCATCTACACATATATAAAAACTTTGGATGGAAGCACTATTTTTACCTCTTCCTGGAATTCATCCTTAGCTTCTCCTAGGTTTTCCTTTGTTTCCAAATGCCTGGAAGTTTTCTCAGCAATTTTCAGTCTTAGTGTATTAATTATTTCTTGGTGTTGTTTCAAAGCCTCAAGAGCATTTCGTAATTGTTCTTGGGTGTCTATATTCTTTGTCAGAAAAACAAAAAACAATTTCCGTTAGAATAATGTGAACCAGTAGAAATACCTTTTAGTGACTACTTGAACGTGAATCTTAAGTGATGGCTCCTGTAATATTTGTATGAAGAGGCTCTGAGTTTTCAGAGTTTACTCAAAGCCTTACCATGTTTACAGTATCCTGAATGTCACTTTTGAGTTGGTTCCTCTCAATCTGCAGGCTCTCCTGGAGTTGTTTTAGGTCATCTTTTTCTTGGGTTAAGGTTCTTACTTCTACCAAGGTTTGCTGAAGTTGCTCAGCAATCAGTATTTTTTCCTTTTCTATAGTTTGCAGCCTTGAACCTGTACTTTCTAATTGTTCCTTCAGCTCTTCCACTTCATTTAACCTTTTTTGACTCTCAGTTGCTTTTTGTAGAAGTTCTTCAGATTTGGGAGAAAGCTTTAAAATAAGAAGAAGTAAATGTGAAAAAGCAGAGCACTCCATGGTGTATATATATGGTAACTAAACCCCAGAAGACTACAGATCACTTCCCTAGAGGGTGTCTTATACCAACCTCTGTGTTGCTCAAAGCATCCAAACTTAAACCAAGTTTTTGAGCTTGTTCAGAGAGATTTCCTAATTCCTGATTCATTCTTGCATTCTCTTCAAGGACCATCTTATACTTTTGCTCAAATTCAATATGATGATTTTTAAAATCTTGGAATTCTTGATCAGTGCTTTCATAATTCAATCGGATAGTTGCTAGGTCATTTTTAGTTTTCCCAATTTCTTCAAGTAAATCTTGAATTCTACTTTCCTTTTGAACTACTTCAGAATTCAACTTCTCTCTTTCCGATGTTATTATACAGAGCTCTTCAGATTTATCATGTATCTATGGAAAAGAAATAAAATTTAGCTCTGTGAGCAATGTGTGAGCTACTGAAGCAGTTGTCAGGGACAAAAAAAAAGAAAGAGTTTCCTCTGGGGCAGGGTGGAAAGACTGTAACTAAGCAAAGCTTTGACCGAGGAAAGGCAACATTTTTATCATCACCAACTCCTTAACAATGTATTATCCTTTTTAATACATTAAAAGTTTTGTTTTCTGATCTCTTTGGGTTCTAGTAAGAAATGCATGCAGAAGGGACACTCAGAAACATTTCATTTCAAGATGTGCCTTTATTTCCTTATCTATCATTCTATTTTCTAACCTCTTGGTGTGTCAGACATTTTATGATTTTTCTTAGAATTTGACACATTTTTTTCCTAAAGCCTTTGAATGCAGCTCCAATTTCTAAAAATGTAATCCCTGAATAGTTTAAATAATTAAGCTTTATTTGAATTATTATTTAAATAAGCCATAGCCAGCTTATAAAAAGTAAAATCATTGTGAAAGGTAAGGTAGAAATGGTGGGAAGAAGAGAAGTGAACTAAAGCAGAGACCAAGGACAGGGATAATATAGCAGGACTGTTTCAATCACAGACTGAGGATAGGAGGTGCATCTATGAAGCTCACCTAAGCACAGCTAAAAAATAGCAACTACACTAAAGAGTTTTTAGGATGACTGAATAAAATAATGTTTCTAGAGTTCTTTAGCATGATGTCTGTCATTTGGTCTTCAAACACTTGTCATTTTTTATTTCTTTTAGAAAGGCAGAGAGAAAGGAAAGGCTGGTAGATGGTTTATGGGATTATTCACTAGCCTACAAGATTTACACTGACTTCTAAACTATCACTGCCCTCCCTGATATCTCATTACTCTTTTTTATTCAACATAGTGATAAGAATAGTACAAAAAAAAAAAAGATTAGAAAAAGGATGGGCCATAGAACTCTGTTTAAAGAATTTATTTTTAAGTTATCTCCCTACCCAATGTAAGGCTTGAACTTACAACCTTGAGATCAAGAGTCTGCACCCTCATAAAATCTTAAAAAAAAAATTGGCTCAGCGGTTTAGCGCCTGCCTTTGGCCCAGGGCGTGATCCTGGAGTCCCAGGATGGAGTCCCACATCAGCCTCCCTACATGGAGCCTGCTTCTCCCTCTGCCTGTGTCTCTGTCTCTCTCTCTCTGTGTCTCTCATGAACAAATAAATAAAATCTTAAAAAAAAAAAAAAGAGTCTGCACCCTCTACTGACTGAGCCAGCCAGACACCCCCTATAGAACTCTGTTTATTTATTTATTTTTTAAAATTTATTTTAGAGTGCGGGGGGAGGAGCAAAGGGAAAGGAACAAACAGATTGGACTAAGTGCAGAGCTGCTGCGGGGCTAGATCTCACCACTTCCGAGATCATGACCAAGCTGAAAACAAGACTTGATGCTCAACTGACTGAGCCACCCAGACACCCCTAGAACTCTGTTTAAATGCAACATTTGAGGACTGTAGAAATGGTTGCAACACGGATAATGTTACTAAGTATACTGTTAAGTATGCTTTGAAAATGTGTTTTTACGTCTAGTTGTAAAAATCAGGAGGAACTACAATCATTTCTATTCCCAACAAGCTGAATGAAATGTTTATAGTCTCTTGCTTGCTACTTTAAAATAAACTATGGCAAAATATTTAAAGTGCTATCACAAAGGTTTTTATTTCAAAAGAAGAGTTATTTGCTTGAAAATGTGTTTACCTCTTTCCTCAGCATTTCTATTTCTGAGGGTAAAGATTTCAACGCTGAGAGCAACTTAACTTCTTTATGCAAAGCTTCATTTTCTTCAACTTTTTCATTTAGTTCTCTCTGGAAATCAGTAATCTTTCTTTCCAGTTCCAAATTACAGAGCAAACCTAGGACATTTTGGGTAAACAGCTTGCAGTTATTGTAACAATCTAAATTACAGGCAAAGTTAGATCATTTAATCAGACCATATAAAATTTATTAAGGAAAGAGTATTGGTTAACAGGTAATCTAATTGTTAATAGTTCTTCAAATTTTAGCAATTAGATTGTTACTTTTTGAAAATTAGGTCCAATTTATTTGAAAAATAATTCTTAAACCCTTATGAATCTAATTCCATGGAAACAGTTATAAATAATAATACCAAATGATACTGAAACTTATATTAGGCTATTAAAAAAATCAGATCAGAGAATAATAGATTTCTTTTTTTTTTTTTTTTGAATAATAGATTTCTAATAATTGAAATGTAGTCAGTCACAAAATCCTTCAGGTAGGTTTCCAGATAAAGTCAAATCTGCAAAGAGGGAAGTCTGAAATTATGAAATACCTTTTGGAACTTTGCCATCAATAAGGGAGGTGAGTTTCGTTATCTCATTAAATGAAGATTGTAATTCTTTTTCCAGATCAGCTTGCATTTTCTTTTTTGCCTCCAACTGTCTTTGATATAACTGAATATCATTCTCCATTTGCTTGTATCTACTTCTAAGTTCTTTCTATTAAGAAAAATATTACAAATTCACAGAAATGTACTGATTGTAAAAACTGCTTTATTATAAATATTATAGGAATCACTTACCATTTTCTCTTTCAGCTCCAGATTTTCACTTCTAAGAAAAGCTGATTCTCTCTTAGCATCAAGGACTACAGTTTCAGCATCAAGTAAAGTCTGTTTCATTTGTTTTAGGTCTTCAGTGCTTTCCTATACACATGATAAAAATAATTTAGTGAAATCTAACTTTCTGAGAATTGGAAAAGACTTTAGAGAACACGTACACAGATGTTATTCCAAATAAATAAAAAAATAGTGAAAATATACTAATTATCAAATGTGTATTTAGGAAAGATGAAAAGAAAGATTTTCCATAATAAAAATACTTTAAAACCTATGATTATATTTTTCCAAATTATAGTATTACATAGACTGAAGAAATTTGCTATTGTTTATAAAAGGTTAACCCACAGGGATGTCTGGGTGGCTCAGTGGTTGAGCCTTCGGCTCAGGACGGGATCCCGGGCCCGGGGATTGAGTCCCACATGTCTCTCCCTCCATGTCTCTGCCTTTCTCTTTGTCTCTCTCATGAACAAATAAAATATTTAAAAAACAAAAAGTTAACACACAATTGTTTCCTATGTATTTTTAAGTTATTCTAAAACATGGTAGGTGAGTAGTTCATAGTTAAAATTAAGTACATGAAATCACAAATTAAGACAAAAAATCCAATAGACAAACAGGATGAACGGGCAACTCACAGAAAATGCAAATGATCGATAAATACATGAGAAGATCCAGTCTCTGAGTGTCATTTTAAGATAATATAATTTTTTATCATAAATTCAGCTTACATAAATTCAGCCATCTGTCCTTGGCAGAATATTAATGCACAATGAACAAATGAATAAGTTGGATGAATAAAGAGAAAGAAATAACAATTTTTAAAAAGTGGGCAATTCTGCTTGCCACTCTATCAATAGATACTCCAGGATCAGATGAAAGTGCCTTTCTTTCCATGGCCTTACCATAGTAAGATCACTTTCACAATGGATTATTTGTCATTAGTAACAGGTAACAGAAGAGTACCAAGAGAAGGTAATAAAAAGTATTCTGAAAAACTCAAATGAAAACAAAAGAACAGAAACTGAAATTCCAGCTAGAATCTGCTGACTTCTTAAAGAGAATGTTAAAAATGGGAATCAAACTGATACTTTCTTGAAGTAATGAGGAGAACCAAGAGCAAATAGAATAGAAAGCAAATAGCAAAAATTAACAATTTCACCATGAGATTCAATTTAGTGCCATATCTTATACCAACTAAAGTCATCTAGAGCTACAGTTTCTGAAAAATACCAAACTGTTAAAATACTTATTTAAATTATAGTGAGAATGCATTAATATTAATGAAATTTATAAAACCATGCTCACTCATATGTATAGTTCTAGTTATCAATATCAACATAAGTGCTTACCTGGAGATACGGACTACATACTTCTGCATGCATTTGCATAAAACAATTAGAAATAAAAATGTTGGAATAACTTTTTTTTTTAAAGATTTTATTTATTCATGACAGACACAGAGAGAGAGGCAGAGACACAGGCAGAGGGAGAAGCAGGCTCCATGCAGGGAGCCTGATGTGGGACTCGATCCCTGGTCTGCAGGATCACACCCTGGGCTGAAGGTGGCGCTAAACCGCTGGGCCACGGGGGCTGCCCAGAATAACTGATTTTTAATGGATGCTCATCTTTAACTGACTTATACTCATTCAGAGTGATATCCTCAATTCTCTACAAATGATTCGTTAACCATACAATGGCAATGATACTAATAGTCCCTCTTTCATGGACTTATTGACAAAATTAAATAAAATACAATATGTAAAACAATTACAAGAGTGCCTGACATAGAGCAGGCTCAATATAAGCTATAATAATGATGATGGTATACTAGAAATGCTTAACATGACTAAACAACAAAATAAACCTGGTTTTTACCGATGAGTAGGACAAGTCCGTTTTAATATCTTCTGACTTCTGAGAGTCTATGTATTTCTGTAGCTTCTTAATCTGGTCTTCCTTTTCTCTAAGCAGCTCTACTTTTGAACTTAGTTCATTCTATAAGAAGTGTGAAACATTTTATTGGATTTAAATTTTAGGGGATTAAAAAGTTTAAATAGTTGATAGTTTTAAATAAAGTTTAATAGTTTAAAGAGTGAAATTTTAAAAAGTTGATATTTAAAAGACAAAATGTTCTATTTTCTGAAATCATGTTCAATTACATATAGTGTACATTTTATAGTTCTAGTTCCTTATAATAGAAATACCAACACAAATGCTCACCTCAAGGTCTTGATTATACACTTCTGCATGCTTAACTAAATTCTTTAAGTTGGAAATTTCATGAATTAGTTGCATCTGGAAGAGCATGTGAATAGACAACAGAGCAAACCAACAGTTAATAAAGCAAAAAAAAAAAAAAAAAAAAAAGAGAGAGAGAAAGAAAAAGAAAAAAAACAAAAACAAAAAAACTCCCAAAAGACAGCTTTACTCACTGATTCAGAAACACCAAAACAGTAAGAGCACCTCATTATTTGAAGATACAAAACAAACAGAAACACGATAAGCCAAACAAAAAAAAATCCCCAAACCTCACAAAACAAGCAAACAAGAAAAAAACCTCAGCATGGCCCAAGTAACAGTTATGTCATCTGTTAATAATGCTATAATGTTAAAAGTAAATTAGTACGCATCCCTTGGAGGGGATAAACTGGTAAGCAAACTTAAAAAAAAAACACACTTTTAATAGATTTTGTTTTGGCTAAGTTAAATGCAGTTGTGTATTTATTAATCTTAAAAAATTAAGATTTTTTTTTTCTTCCCATCAATTATCCATTTAGCTTTAAACGGCATACTTTCTAAGGATTTGTGGTTTAGAATTTAGGTTTGGTTTAGGGTAGTTTCATGTGGTGCCTTTACAATAATATCACCGTTCACTAAAGCTACAGAGATATGTATAGGACTACCAATTATTACCTTGTTGTTGACTCATTCTACAGAAAATATTGGAATGATGATTTATTGCTCCTATTTTTTTAACTGTGTAAAAGTATAAAGAATACTTAAAGATTTAAGTATTTCTCTTAAAGTTTCCTTCCCATCAAATATCTGGTGCATTAAATATTTGACACTTTTGTGTCAAAACATGTAAATGACAATTTGCCACAGATAAACATTTTCTGTTAGAATTATGAAATTTTCATAATTCGATGAGTCTTTAAAAAGTAAAGGCAAGGTAGGTGGGAGGTTGGGGTAACTGGGTGATGGGCATTGATATGATGAGCATTGGGTGTTAATGCAATTGATGATTAACTGAACTCTATACCTGAAACTAATGATACACTAAATGTTAATTAATTGAATTTAAATAAGACTAAGAAAAGAAGAAAATAAGTAATAGCAAATTCTAGTAGAATATAAGGGATTTATGAAAATAGCATCTGGTTTAAGTAATATTTTCTGAATGTTAATAATTCAGTCCTAACTAGTTTTAGATTCAGAGTAGTGCTACTGTTAGCATTACCATTTTAGGTCAGCATCATCCAGAAATATGTGAGCCAAATTAGTAAGTGAAGTTTCACTTAATAGGATGAGCCCTGGGTGTTATTATGCTGGCAAATTGAATTTAAATAAAATATCAAAAATAAAATTTTCCTACTGGCCACATTAAAAAAAAACAGAATTCATTTTAAAAATCTATTTTAACCTAAAATATCCAAGTGATACACACTGATATAAATATCCAAATGACAATATAACAAAATGTTATCATTTGTTCATGTAATCAATATAAAAAACTAAAGAAATAGCTTACATTCTTTTTTCTATACTTATGTCAATTCAGACTAGCTACACTTCAACCATCACATATGGTTAATGGTTATCAACTGGCAAAATTTCAGACATTTGCATTGGGTATAAATTGGCTTTGTCTTTTTTCTTTCCTGTTTGTAAATTTTGTGCAACAAAATCATATTTACCAATAAAGAACTAAATAATTAGTCTTCATTTTAGAAAATACACATTTAGAAAGAAACCTTATCTTCTCATCTGAAATAGTACTTTTAAGTATTAGTTCTCATTAATGGAGAAAGATTAGCTTTTGTACAGCTTGGACTGTAACTTCCTAATGAGGTATTATTTAAGATGTTGAGCATAGGAGAAAGTATATGACATGACTGACAGTTAATCGGTTGCTACATTAAGAAAATATTGCAGATTTCAGCTATAATTTTCAGCAGCTGAAAGAAAATATTTAACTTAAGACGAAAACCTCCAAGTTGTTAAAATTCTAACATAAATCAAGTTAAATCAGTTAGAGGGTTGGAATTTCTTTTGTTCCCTGAGCTTGATACTTGACCTTGTCTACCCCTCCTTCTAAAAATTACTGTCTAAACATCCCGTATTTCTATATTCCCATTTGAAAATGATACACAGCTCTGGTGATTTATAAGACCATTAGGCAAACCAGGGAAAGACCACATGTCCTAAGGCTATAATTTGACATTTTATTCCTTTTTGGTTAAGCTTTTCCCCAAAATGGAGGTTTAGGGAACATATTTTACTGCATACACAGACTTACATTTTTAGTTTAAAATGGAATGGAACTGCCTTTGAACGGAGTAAGCTTTTATTACTTAAACATTTTAGGTTACCTTATAAAATCTAGAATTTTAATTGTGTCCAAATAATGATGAAAAGCACTGTTACCCCCTTGAGTGTGGTTAAAAGGAAAAAAAAATCAGGATGTGAGAGTCAAGTCCTATACTCTGTGAGCTTTAGTTTTTATTATTAATTGAATATATAAATCATGTAAAAAACTTAGAAACAGGAAGTAAGCCCTGGGAGATTCAGGGACTCGCTCTCGCTCAAGGCCTTGTATCCCACTCAGATGCAAGGTTGTCTCCAGAGCCATGCTCTTAACCATGACACTAGACCACATCCCTTCTTATGAAACTCAATTTTATTGATTGAAGTCCACAGGTTAATATACAACAGTTTGTATTTTGTTAACATGCCAATTTTAAAACAAATTAAATGAAACCCTGTGGAGAACACATAGACTGCCTCTTAGACTGGAAATAATACTTTTTGCACTGAACTCTTTTTCCTTTAAAAAAAAAAAAAAGGAGGATGAGAAATGAAGCAATAGAGGAAAAAGCATTGTGTCCCTTTGGGCTAACCTTACAGTAATCTCAGAAGTAGCTGCAAATAAACTCATATTTTAACTACACTAGAACCCTGGCTACTACTTGGGGTGGGAGAGGAGAGTAATACATTGCTTTATAGTTTGATAACAGCTATGGACACTTGTTCCAGAGAAATGAATATGCATTTGAAAATTCTGTAAAATAATTCGTAATATCTGTAACTTCTAGGTTAAGGACTCTAAGAAGTCTCTTGAATTTCTTGGATAATTTCTAAGTGTCTGAAGTCTGAGGATTTTTGGATTAGGTTTTCTTCACATGAAGCCTAATATTAAATATTTAGAAAATTTAAGTGATCGGTTTCATTTTTTTAAATTTTCATTACTAGTATTAGTTACACTAATTTTCACAGTAATTCTGATATGTTAAAAGACATGAGCAAAATCAGCTTCCCCAGTTATTCCAATAATGTTCTAAATATTTAGGAATATATTTTTTTAAAGAAAATGAAATCCATTAATACATGGTATCCATGCATAGAAAATTCAGCCAGATAGTAAAATTTCATATTGGTCTCAGTAGGAAATGGTTATACTCTAGACAGTATTTCCAGTGTACTCAACAAATTAACTAATATACAAATTACAAGGAAATCGTTTCTTCAAGACAAATCCACCTGTAGGCAGATGAACCAAACCTTCCCAAAGACATTTTAAATTGGTACTTCTTGTGTGAAGTACAAGTGAAACAAATACGATTTAAATACTTTAAAAATAATATAAACAAATTATTTCTTAAATTCTCTAAATTGTGTATACATAGAGAAAATGGTTGGATTCTCCACATATCAACCTTAGAAATAAGTATCTTTAAGAGAATGATCCTTATTTTAAAAGTGTAGTTTTAGTTTCATGTTTCCATATCTCTTACCTCCTGATCTTTTTCTGCTTTTCTTTCTAGAGCCTCAAATTCATCCAAATCATTCTTTTCTTTTAATTTCAATTCCATTTCTTCATGTTCTTGTCTTAGTTGTTCATAGTCCAATACCAGATTATCATAGTTGGCACGAAGTGAATTCAGCTCACTTTCTAAGTTCTCCTATTAGAAACAAAACCAGATTTTCAAGTCAGAGAGAATTCAAATAATATATTCTTTGTTTCCTTAACTAGAATTTGGATTTGTCAAATATCTTAACCTTAAATCGTGTAGTTAACTTAGGCCATTCTCTTCTTTAATATCTTTCTAATGGTCTAGCTTGAGCCAGTGTAAAATAAAGGCTGTGCACTTTGTAAACTAGCTTAGAAGACTATTTTGAAAGGGGTATGGAAAAAAAGAAAAGATCATGTAAACAAGTGCTCTGCCTGTATCTGACTGGAAAAGTTTTCAGATGTAAGAGGCTGGGGAGCATCCTGGGAAGTCCACTTGACCACAGATCATTAAGCTCCATAGTCATAAAGCTGATAATTTAATTCTCCACCTGTTTGATGCCTGTTTTATTTCTCAGATAGGTCTGAATTTAGAAAGGGAACAGAGGTATTATTTATTGACCTCTAACACTCTAATGGCTGCTACGTTTTACCCTACTCAAAAGAGGCCTGTTTTTGTTTTGTATTCTATTATCAGAAAGTGATAAGCTGTAAGTTAAAAAAAATAATTAACATCAGGGATTTTCCAAAAATAACACACTTCTAGTGAATGTTTTAGAGATGTAAAAGCACTTTATAATACTCACTTAATTTAAACTAACACAATCGTTAAGTAATGATAATAATTCCTAAGAATCACTGTAATTTTATTCTAAAACGAACATGAAATTTTCTTAAATACATTTATGAAACTATACTGTATTTCTTTGGACATTAGTAGCCTAGAAAGTAAACATGGACTCTATACCTACCAAAGAATTCACTACAGTATTCCTTAAAGTTTTGATAAAACCACACGTACTAATATATTGACTTTTATTTTTCAGTATGATTTGGCAGTATTACCGCTTCCCTGATGTGTCATTCTTCTACTATATGCCTGAGAATTTTGACACTTTAAAAGAATCAGCTCTTTTTGTCCTTAGGATTGTCTAAGGAAAAATAAAAACTTAAAAAATTAAAAATCATAGATACCAAGATCTGCTGGTAAAGAACTAGACACAAAAGTTTACCTACTGCCATACATCTGCATTATGAAGTTTTTAGCTTCCTTCTACATGTCAGATACCAACTAGGAATATAGTGAATAATTAGAACAAAAACTGTTAAATTAAGTCAAAGCCAGTAATGTACTGCAACAACATAAACACCAATAAGAAATGAATTTTAAAAAGAGTAAGGGTAATATACTATAACACGCATTTAAGTTACCTGACTTAGTAGCTTTGTTGCTGGATTCCACTCTGTTTCATTTAATGTATCAAAAGTATTACTGAAAACATCAGAGTCTGAGCAGAGAGCTATAATTAGGAGAAAGAAATTTATCCATAAACATGTTAATAAAATTTCTGAAAAGTTGAAGACAAAAAAAAAATCTGATCAGAGGTAATAAGCTCCAATTAGCTAACATGTGCTCACAGCATGAATGCCAAAAATGCATTAATAACAAATATGATCATTTATATTACTGTATGAATTAAGATTCTTAGTAAGAATTAGTAATAAAATACTGAATCCTTAATACAATATAGGTTAAGTGGACAAATTCTGAATTTGGGAAGTGATCATTTTAAGTAGGTTTTAAAATGCCCCTTAAAAATACTGCTAATGTTGGAGACACATTATTTTGAAACATGCCTTGTAATGCCCACCTTTCAAGATTAAACAAAATTTAAGGCAGATGTTATATGGATACTAATTTAACTGGATAATGATTAGTACAAAACCACTGATAAAAATGTCTCATGTGGGGACGTCTGGGTGGCTCAGTGGTTGAGCGCCTGCCTTTGCTCAGGGCATGATCCTGGAGTCCCAGGGTCCAGTCCCACATCAGGCTCCCCATGGGAAGCCTGCTTCTCCCTCTGCCTTATCTCTGTCTCTCTCTCTGTGCCTCTCATGAATAAATAAAACCTTAAAAAAAAAAAGTCTCATGTGTTTTAACTACAGTGTATCATTCTTAAGAGATGTGAAAATGGAGAATGTTCACTTTTTTTAATTTTTTTTTTTTTTATTTATTTATGATAGTCACAGAGAGAGAGAGAGAGAGAGGCAGAGACACAGGCAGAGGGAGAAGCAGACTCCATGCACCGGGAGCCCGACATGGGATTCGATCCCGGGTCTCCAGGATCGCGCCCTGGGGCCAAAGGCAGGGGCTAAACCGCGGCGCCACCCAGGGATCCCGAATGTTCACTTTCTTAAAGTCACTAATTTTTAGCATTATTTCCAATGAAATCACATTTAAAATACATACATTTTATTAAATATGCTTATCACATTAATGGAGTTATAAATAAAGTAATTCTTTACAGGGATGCTTCTGTAATTTAAAAGTAGCTGAAAAAGTACTTACATTCATCAATTTCGCTCATTACAGTTATAGCTGCCTTACGTGTTGTTATATTTGTTGACATATTAAATTCATTTATATAATTTGAGTCCTTCATTTTGTTAATTTTGCCAAGACACCAAGTGACTCTTCGTTTTCTTTTAGCCTAAAAGGGTAGAAATCAAAATTACCTCACGCAGATCTGGGCTCAACTGTTATAAAACATGGGGATTAGTTTACATTTTTGGAAACCATGGACTTGGTAGAATTCTTTTTAAGCCTGGTTTAATATCTTATTAGTCTAAGGACATCCTAAGAAAACACTCAAACTTTTAAAATCAGTGTTTAACCCCATTAAAAAAAATGTGATGAAATTATGATTTAAAAATCATGTTTTATTTGAAAGTTTCCCTACAAACTTTTCTGGGACTTCATTGAAAGGAATGGGCTGATTCAACCCTTTTAAGTAATCTAGGGAACCTGCCACCGCCACACCATAGCTACCCAAAGCACTCTGGAGTGTCCAGCTCTCACTGGGAAGGGACAGAGAGTCTATCTGAACTTCCTTCAATGAGTAAATCTTAAGCACAGCCTTCAAGATGCCAGTTCTTTTTCAATTCAATAAAGCTAATGCCTGCTCCAGAGCTCCTAACCTCATTGTTCCTTTCTCCCTTGGGACCTCTTGCTCCCTGGTTATCTATTCATCTGTTATCTTCACCAGCTCTCTCCTAACAGCTTGATGAATGAATGCTCCAGGCCTGTCTGCTTTTGAGTTTTTTTAAACTCTTCACTCCTTACTTCTCTCTAGCTACAATTTTCTTTTCATTTTTCTTTTGTGCCCTTTCTCGTCATTCGTCTACTTCCTCATCCTTTTAGGAACACCTTTGTCTTCTGGTCTTTATCCCACTCAGCTAGCTACCCTCACTACTCACTCTCCTTTGCTGATTTTTCCTCCTCTTCTTGTGTTTTTCCAGATTCCACAGCTACCATTCTTCTCTTGTCCTTCTATACGGTACAAGTACTATTTCATCTTATTTGATCCTCTCCACATTCCTTTTACTACATCCTTTTCATAGGTGAGCTAATTTATAAATGATCCTTTTCTCTAAGGCCAGTCCCCTCTACTGTGTTTGTGATCCCATCCCTTGGAATCATTCCAACCCTCTGTAAGGTGGCTTTCATACCTAGTACATAACTCAAACTGCTATAAGCTTCTTGTTTCCAAACCCAAAAAAATTTTGACTATATTTATCTTAATTAACTTCTCATCAGAATGTGACACTGATGACCACAACCTCTCTGAAATATGCTCTTCCTTTAGTGACCACAATTCACCTGATTTCCTTCTTAACTCTAGAGCTAATCTTGGCTTGTTTTTATCTAAAAAATTGTCTGCCTTTATCTAAAAAACTGTTCTGGGGATCTGGTCTTTGGTCTTCTTTTCACTTTCAGCATGCTCTCAGAACAAGCCCATCCATTACTATGACTTGACTTTGGATCTGCAGTAGCTAATGTCCAAGTGGAAAGCTCTACGTCACATTGTTCACCTGATTTTCATATATTTGCATTTTCAATGGCCTCAAGTCTTAAACTGAAGATGTCCCAAATAAAACAGCAGCTCCACTGCTCTTCATTTGGTGTTCCTTAACAATGAATACTGTTACCAGCTACCCAGCAATGTTTACAAGTCATCCTGTATACCTCTTTTGCCCTTTTCCTGCCCCTCACATCTAAACAATCACAAAGTCCTGTTGGGTCAACCTCCTACATAGCTCTCCAATTTATCCATTTTTTTCCATCTCTAGAGTCACAGTCCTTGTAGAGTCCCAGCCAATCAGATGCATATTAGCAATCACATCTTTCTGAAATACAACTGATTATATGGTGATCATGTTACCATATAAGATTTTTCCTTGCTTTTAGCATAATGTAATATTCAAATCCTTCATTGTGATTTAAAGTCAGACCCTGCCACCAAAATATTTTAAGTCCAAGGAATACATTATGTTGTTTTCACTACTCCAAGCATTTGTACTTGGGGATCTCTTCCTGAAATATTCTTCCCTACACCTTCCATTGGGCTGTTTCCTATTCATCCGTCAGTCAACAAACAGCTCTTAAAATGCCTTCTTTATGTCTAGTATGGTGACTTGAACATAATGTCTGCTAATAATTATCTTAAGAGCATCCATGTTTTGAGGATCTGCCCTCTGGAAAGTATGCTGAGCACATTCTATGTATTATTTCATCTAATTCTCACAACAATCCTATGAGGTGGGAATCAAATTATCTTAGATAAGGAAACTGCAACCAAATGGATCTAAGACATTGCCTAAGGTAGAGTTAGGAATTGACAGCATCAGGATTTAAATCCATGCAGTCAAACTCTAAGCTATCCTTTTAATCATGATACCATCATAGCCAAAAAATATCTACTGGACTAAAAAAACCCTAACTAGTCAAAACAAAAAGTACACATACTGGAAGTCAGAATTTTGATCACTGTGATCCATATTCTAGATCAATTTTCCTGAGATTAATATTTCTATAAACAGAAAATATTACCATATATCCTAGACATCTACGCTTCCAATCATTTGGCCAACTTCGTTAGAATTTCTTAAGCATATTGTACAGATTGCTTGTCAATATTTCAGACTTCTTGAATTAAAATCTCTAAATGTAAGCTCAGAGATCAATATTTTTAGTGAACCTCTAGGTTTTGCTGATGCATAGCAAACACACAAAATGTTCCAGGTTTTCTGAATATATTGTATCAAGGGGTTAAGAGATATGTAACTATATAATAAACATATAGGAATACCTATCCTAGTCTCTGTATACCAAGCCTGAGTTGTCATCTTTTAAATTTTACCTTTAATTCCTGATGTGATGTGAGGGAAGAAGAGGTCACCAGCATCCGTGTTAAGTTCTGAATTTTCTCAGTCTGTACTTTTTGAAGTAAATCTTTTTCTTCTAAAAGTTGGGCCAACTGGTCTTTTTCCATTGCCTGGGCCCGAGTCTCTAAGGAAACCTTTGGTATGTAATATTAAGTTATGTTAATAATAATTGTAGCTAGATTTTAAATCCTTGAAAGTAGTTTAAAAGAACAGAATATTAAATTCACATGTGGCAGCTCTTGGGTGGCTCAGTCAGTTAAGTGTCCGACTCTTGACTTCAGATCAGGTCACGATCTCAGGGTTGTTAGATTGAGCCCCACATCAGGTTTAGTGAAATGAAATATACCCTACCTACAAGATTAATACCATGGCAGTTACCATGGTAATTTCTCAAACATATAATGAAGTATAAAATGTATTTTTCCCATGTGAGTTTTCTAGATGCCATATATAAGATTGTAACAAAGCTGTTAAAGTAATTCCATTAATTGCCTAAAAATATATAAATAATAGGTACAGAAGTCATAAAGGCAGACTTGCAATACCTACAGCAAAAGAACAGATGTTCTCATAAGACTTCTTTGGCATTTTAGTTCATTTTATATTTTATTTTTTAAAATTTCAGCTCATTTTAAAAAAGATAACTAAAATATAAGATTTTTACAAAATATGAAACCATGATGGTTAAAACAAAGAAATTATGACAAGTGATTATACTACCATATTAGACGGTTATCTCAGGGTCAGAAGAATTCAAGATAATGTGAAAATACAAAAGATAGTTTTAAGTAACTATATGTGGTCTCTCTTTTTAACCTAATTCCCTATGTATCTGTGATAATTTAGAAAGAATATCTCTACTTGGTTCATTTGAAAATCTCAAATTTTGCCCTTTGGAAATGAAAAACAATCTAAAATAATTTTAAGAAACCTAAAGTTTTCAGTTTATAGTAAATTAAACTAAAATTTTTATGAGTTGATTTCTCCTTACTTGAAAGCTGTTTTAAATATAGGTTACAACTGAGGGTTGCTAGAGGGGGTGGGGTAGGTGGAAGCATGGGGTAACTGGGTGATATAAGGAGCACTGGGTGTTATATATAAGGCTGATGAATCACTGAATTCTACCTCTTAAAACCAATAATACATTATATGTTAACTGAATTTATTTATTTATTTTTTAAGATTTATTTATTTATTTATGAGAGAGAGAGAGAGAGAGAGAGAGAGAGAGAGAGAGAGAGGCAGAGACACAGGAGGAGGGAGAAGCAGGCTCCATGCCTGGAGCCCGACGTGGGACTCAATCCTGGGACTCCAGGATCGCGCTCTAGGCCAAAGGCAGGCGCCAAACCGCTGAGCCACCCAGGGATCCCCATGTTTTGAATTTAAATAAAATAAAAATAAACATATAACCCCCCACCCCAATAAATTTAGGTTATAGATCTCAACTATTAATGAATAATGGATCTCTGGGCATTTGGGCAGATATTAGTTCTCATTACGTCCCTATTCTTTACTAAAATACTTCATTCATACATACCTCCTCCAACTGTTTCTTAAGATCCATTATTTCTTTTCTGTATCTTTTCAAGAGAGCTTCATCACTTGATACCTCATTAACATAAGGAGTATTCTTCATATACTTGGCAGTGCTTGCAAACTGGGGGAAAAATACAAGACTGTTAAGTGTTCAATATAAAAAATTAATAAATAATATTTAGGGTTTTTTAATAATTTTTATAAAGAAAGATCAATACTCTTCCTAGGTAGATTAAGATACTTTTGAACATGCAGAGTATTCCATGTCCTTATAATTTACACTGGCTACTAGCCTTCAGAAGAGTGAAGGAAATTATCTTAAAGACAGATGGATGCCAACAGCGAACCTACAAACATTGGCTTACTGGAATCCCAGTAACTCCAGTGTAAATGCTCCCTCTACTCTGAAGTTTGCTTCTACTTGAAAGTACCTCTCCTTCCTCCAAACTCTATTTATTAATAGTTAATTAATCCAAGGCAATCACATTGGAAGACAGGTCTTATCTTCTAAGACTGTTAAATTGTGAAATTTAGTAGGCAACACATCAGTTTTATTGTAGCTGGTACATTATATCATTAAAAAAAAAGATACCTAATTTTAGTAGGTTATTTTTTCTGCTTAAAGATGATTTCCCCCCACATTGAAATAAAAATTAAACTTACCTGTAGAGTTGTAAGGGTTTCATCAAAAGACACTGGAGTAACCGTGCAGATGATACGAGTTTTTGCATTTCCACCCAAGGAATTCTGGAGAATTCGTGTTAATTTACTATCTCGATAATTTATGAAACCACTTAGTGAGAAAGGAGTTTGGGGAAAAAAATAGTAAGAATTTTTATACAACAAAGTGGTTGGTTTTTAATGCAGAATCTTAAATTAGCTACAGTTTAAAAAAATTTCTTTACAGGTTATGTGAGGCAGATCAAAACTAACTAAAAAAATATTTAAAATAAAAAATTTAGATCACAGTCCTATGTATAACTACGCATGCTCAGATTCACAAAAGCTTTTTTAATACATGGAAGAAATCAGTACATTATTTGATTGCAACTGAAACATTACAATTTTCAACCTCATGAAAGTAAGCATTAATAGGTAAATGTACAATGGAATAAACTTACCCAACTTGTCCATCACTAAGTTTCTTGATTACTTGTCCCAAAATAAATAAACTTCGATTTATATTACAGCCTTCCTTGAGTCGCACACCTGCATTTATTAGGCAAATATGAAAACAAAAATTGACCTCTGTACTAGATGATGAACTTATAAATTATGAGAAGTTAGAAATTAAAGCATCAGATGGTAAAGTATATGCTTTTGATTAGACTGAAACCCCCTTTAATACCACTGCTATAAGGAGCGCTCTCCTTATTCCTCCCACCTATTAAGTGGATCAGAAAGGTTATCACCTGAGAAAAAAAACGAAAAGAAATAGATAGCTAAGGCAAAAAAAAAAAAAAAAAAAAAAATCAGAGGGAAGAAAAGTTCACTTCCAAAAAAAGCCTAGCTCCTCAGTTTAAATCTGTTTGTTCCAAACCTCCACATATATGCAACTATATGTTTAGCAACCAAATTAATTCCTACAGGCTAAGTTCTTATTTTTAAACTAAGATGCTCACATGGCTTACGTGTAAACAAACAAAACAAGAAAAACAACACTGAAAAAAACTCTCTTCCACTCTAATGTTCCATTTAACCAGTCCCAGTCCTCCTACTGGGAAATCACTTTTGTTAGTGGACTCTTGTAAAGATTCTTAGAAATACAAACTCATATACGTTTGTTTCTTCCTATCCTTTTTTACACAAACAGCACAGTATATATGCTAATCTGTACTTTGGGTTTTTTGTTTTAATTTATATATCATATCAGTAAACACTGGTGTTTTTCCTTCCTCTTACCAGCATTAAATTCCACTGTATGGATATATCAGAATTCATTCACTCAGCACTCTATTGAGGGACATGTAGGTTTTCAATCTACCACATACACAAAAAGTACTACAATAAATAGTTTTGGACAGCTATTACTTCATAGGTGAATTATTCACCTACTGCTGTAATATGCCAGATATAATATGCTATTTAACATGCCAGATTAAAACACAAATACTCATTTCTTATTCACAAGTTGCACAGGATTCACTAGTTTGGTAGACATAGGACATGCTCAATGAGTATCTCTGTTAGGCTGTAGGAAATTAACATAGAAAGGTCTGACATCTTCATAATTTTGAAACTTCCCATCTAAGTACGCTTTTCCATTTATTTTAATATTTGATTATGTCCCTTAGGTCTGCTTTAGAGTTTTCTTTATTTTGGTCTTGGGTAATTTTTGTTGAGTTTCTACCTAGGTATTAGATCTTCAAGTCATTATTATAAATGGTGTCTTTCTGTATACTAAATATACTAACTGGTTGTTGTTTGTATTATGAATTATTAATGTATGTATATTAATTTTGCATTACACTAACTTTCTGAATTTCCTTACTAATTATGAAAATTTAGATGGTTTTCATGGCACTCTCACAAACTCTGTGGCTACCCAATCCTACCAACTGCATAGTTAAGCTTTTTAATTGATACTATAGTAGCCTAAAATAGGTAATTTGCTAGATACAGATGCTTTTTTTTTTAAATAATAAATATATTTTTTATTGGTGTTCAATTTGCCAACACACAGAATAACACCCAGTGCTCATCCTGTCAAGTGCCAACCTCAGTGCCCGTCAACCATTCACCCCACCCAACCCTCCTCCCCTTCCACCACCCCTAGTTCGTTTCCCAGAGTTAGGAGTCTTTATGTTCTGTCTCCCTTTCTGATATTTCCTACCCATTTCTTCTCCCTTCCCTTCTATTCCCTTTCACTATTATTTATATTCCCCAAATGAATGAGAACATATAATGTTTGTCCTTCTCCGATTGACTTATTTCACTCAGCATAATACCCTCCAGTTCCATCCACGTCGAAGCAAATGGTGGGTATTTGTCATTTCTAATGGCTGAGTAATATTCCATTGTATAAATAAACCACATCTTCTTTATCCATTCATCTTTCGATGGACACCGAGGCTCCTTCCACAGTTTGGCTATTGTGGACATTGCTGCTAGAAACATCGGGGTGCAGGTGTCCCGGCGTTTCATTGCATCTGTATCTTTGGGGTAAATCCCCAACAGTGATACAGATGCTTTTAAATGAACTTTAAAAACGTTTTTAACTTTGAGGCACCTGGGTGGCTCAGTTGGTTAAGTATCCACCTTCAGCTCAGGTCATGATCCCAGGATCCTTAGATTGAGCCCCATGTTGGGCTCCCTGCTCAATGGGGAGTCTAATTCTCCCTCTGGCCCTCCCTGCCCTCCGCTTGTGTGCGCGCACTCTCTCTCTCTCTCTCTCTCTCATAAATAAATAAAATCTTTAAAAGACATTAAAAAAAATATTTTGAGAAAGAGAACATGAGAGTGGAGTGGGGGAGAGAAAAATCTCAAGTAGGCTCCACACCCAGCACGAGCCTAACACAGGGCAATGACCTAAACCGATATCAAGAGTTGGGACATTTAACTGACTAAACCACCCAGGTGCCCTCAGAAGCTACAGTTTATGTTAAAGACTTTCATGACAAAATTACCATTTTTAATAGTTTCTAAAATGCAAGGTAGCACTTTTTTTTATTCTGTAAAAGAACAAGATGACATTGAGATCAAATCCATTTATGAGTTTTCATTACCTTCAGCGCCTGTTTGAGCAGCTCTTTCACTGCCTGCAAGATCAACCAAATTCTGTAAGATAGATAAAAATAAAACTTTAGGAAGGGTAACTTGAAATAAAAAAATCCCAATTACTGAAAGAACAATTTTAACACATGGTCTATTTGCATATCCCATCTGGAATGCTTGTCTTTCATCCCACTGTTTAGGCCTTCCCCTTTCTGAGTCAAACTGATCTGTAAACCTTGTTCCTTCTTTATAACATATCCTCCAAAATGCTGTCAGAATAGGTTCTCCATTTTCTACACAAAGTTCAAAACCTTAGCAGTGAATACGATTCTTTACCAACTGGCACTTTGTTGCTCCAGCCTTAAATCTAGCCAGTACTCACTGTGAATTCTTGCTGACCTACTGCCTATCCCTTAATGTCTTACGTATTTTTTCTATGCTTCCAAGAGCTACCTTTTGCCACCGCCACCCCCCTTTTTAAAAAGAGTTTATTCATGAGAGACACAGAGAGAAAGAGAGAGGCAGAGACATAGGCAGAGGGAGAAGCAGGCTCTATGCAGGGAGAGCCTGATGTGGGACTTGATCCCAGGGACTCCAGGATCACACCCTGGGCGGAAGGCAGACACTTAACTGCTGAGCCACCAGGTGTCCCTTGCCACTCCCTTTGTTCAGTTAGTTCTAATATTCTAGTCTGCCCCTATTCTTTATTCAGGACCAAGACAACTGTTACCTCCTTAGTAAAACTTTTCCACCTTTATCCTTCCTCTCCCACACCTTAAATAAACTTCTCTTTAAATCCTGTACTCCCCAGAGGTCTTTGAAAATACAACTTATTCTTTAGCACTTACTATGTTGAGCTAGTCATTTGTGACTCCAAATACACCGTAGAGTCTTTAAATGCACTGGCCTCTCCTTCAGTTCACAAATATTGTTGACAAAGGTTACTGCCTGTCATGCTCCAGGCAGTGTGTTAGGTGCTAGGGATATGGCAGTGAACCAGACAAGTAAGTTCTCAGTATTCACAGAGTTTTTATTCTACATGGGGCTGGATGGGAAGAGGAGGAAGTTGGTGAGAAGTGAGAAAAAGAGATAAGAAACACATCATGGTAAGTGTTTAAGAAAATTTAAATAAAATGCTGAAAGAGGAAAGAGGAAGGTACAGAGCAGGTTATTTAGACATGGCAGTAGGGAAGATCTCCCATTAAGCTACCATCTGGAATGACAGAGAAGAGGAGGCTAGCCATGCAAAGACCAAGTGAACCATACTCTGGATAGAAAGAATAGCCAGGACACCCAGTCACTAAGCAGAAATGAGCTTGGTGTATTCAAAAAATAGGGCAGTGTGGCAGAGTTGGTGAAGTAAAAATGGGACAATATAGGGTAAGAGAAGTAGGTGGGGGTTGGACTGTGCAGGGCATTGTAAGGAAGAGTAAGAACTCTGGAATTTCTAAATGCGATGGGAAAGGGTTTAAGCAAGAGAGTGACAAACACATCTTGATTTAACTTTCTGAAGGATAGCCTGAGGCCCCTGGATGGAGAAGAACTGGAGAGGGGCAAGAGTGGCAGCAGGGAGTCTGGTTAGGAGGCTCCTGCAGGAGTCTGAATGACAGGTGATGCAGCCTGGGCCAAGGAAGTAGCAGTGCAGACAGTGAGTGGTGGAGAGATATCTTCTTTATTCTTTCAATCTCAGAGCCGTACTACACTCAGAATGTGATGAAAGCTCAGCAAGTATTTTTAATGAATTAAAACAAAGAGATTTAAATTCTCTCTGTGTGGAGACTTTCAGGATGGGCATTAATTATGTACTTCTGTTTTAGTTATGTACGGTCTCAGACACTACTTTCTCTAAAATACTCAACGTCTAATCTTTCTTGTATAGTATCTATATTACAGAAGACCTAGATACGTAATAAAGGAGTAAAATGGTGAGGAAGGCAGCATGAATTAAGAAATAAAGGTGGTAACAAGTATCAGTGTTCAAGGCACCAAGAGACCCAATCTACCTCTCAGAGAGCAGCTCACATGGAGTAGAAGGAAGTAAAATTAGGTTGGTTAAGAGTGGTACAGTAAAATAATTCTAGGCAAACTAGAATTTGATATTTAATTAAGATTCTGATTTCTCAAATCTGAAAGTGAAAAAAAATTATTCTATTTGATTTGAAAACTTTAGGGAAAAAATAATCTGACGTCATCCTATACAAAGCTAAAAAATTTAGATCATGAAGACAGAGAATATTGGAAGAAACAGGAAGGAAACACCAAAAAAAGAGGGAAATGATAGAGTACAACAAGAAGGAAGGGGAGGTTTACTGATGTGGAAAAAAGGAACATCTGAATAATGTTTATATTCACTATTCAACAAACAAGTATTGAATATAAACTATGTAAAATGCACTGAGGCTATAAATATGCATAAGATATCACTCTTCCCTTCAAGGGATTTATAATCTAAGACACTAGGTTTATAATATAAAACATTTTCTTATTATATTTACAAATATACTTGAGTAATGTGATTTACTGTTTACCAGTCCCAGCTAGGTTTCTGTTGATATCATAAGTTTCAATTCTATAGGCTAAGACAAAAACAACAACAAAATCAAATGGCCTCCAGCCCCATTCCAAGAATACTCTAACTCCTAAATGCAAATGGAAACTCTCCCCAAGAACTCTGGTTAGGAAAAGTCTTTCCATATAAATCATAGGAGATGGCACCCATAACAACAGAAAGGAAGACCCTCTGAATTCTTCCTATGTTTTAGCTAGTAATTTCCTGTTTATAGATGAGATTAATTAAACTACCAATTTATACATGTTTCTGCCTTCTTAATTCAGTTAACAGTTCTTAGGAAACCAAACATCCAGCAACCAAATTAAATTATGCTTTGACCCATATGGTACAGCATCATGGTCCATCAGTACTTACCAAATGGGACACTTTGACAGATCCGTCACAATTGGAAGGTTCCCCTTTCTCTCTACTTTCCAAAATCTAGACAGAAAAGAAAACTTGTAAAAAACTTAGTGCATTTTTAATTGGAGAGGCCAAACAGAGAGTTACCTACCATCCTAAAAATGGTATGAGAACGACTGCTTCTTTGATTCATTTTTGTAATTCCATAATGTCTGTTCTCTGTAAAAAGCAAATCATGTTTCAGCTGTGTACATAAAATTCCAAAGAACATCAACTTTTTTTTTTAGAGTGAAAGATGTGATTTGAAACCTAAATACATTTAACTGAATAGTTTTTACAAGTATTTTGGAGAAATATAGTATAAAGTCTTACTTTCTCCCTTTGTGATCCACTTCAAAGCCATATCTGATGTATAAACAACTTCTTCTGTGAGATCAGCCACATACACATTCCTCTGAAACAAGTTTAATTATGAGAAGAGTAGAGAAGAAATTACTAAAAAAGTGTGCCTCTCAAAAAAGGTGTAAACTAATATAGAATTCATTTGTGGAAGTTACAAGTGGAAAATATATGAAAGTAACAAGTAAACCTATGATATGTACAATTTATTTCCTATCCCAAAGTACACCATATTCTAACCTGAAATTTCCATCTTGCTCTTTAAGGCACTTATGTCAAAATACCACAGCTGTCAATGTTTAAAAACTATATATATTGCTCATATGCGATCTCTGTAAACACTTAAGAAACAAAAAATAAACCATACAAACAGGAGACAGTTTAAAAACTACAGAACTTAAAGGTAAATGTTCAAGAACAATAATCTCAATAAGCAAGTTTGTTTTTAGAGCCATCTTAACTCTGTTACTCACATTGAAGTCTTCCCGAATTATTAAAGGTTTCATTTTTTGAGTGTCACAGAGTAAGTCTGTAATGGTTTCATTGTATATCTCCATGTAAGACACACGTAAGAGAAATTCCCTATCAGGAAACTAGAAGGAAAAGAAATATGTAAAAACATCAGAGATCATCCATTTATGAAAACCTAATATTGAGTATTTATGTGCTAATATTAAATATCGAAATGTTCTGAGAAATTATCTTCGTAAAGAAAACGAACAAAACCTCATTTGATTTTATATAGACAATACAAGAACTTAAAAATATGTTTCAGGAATAATGAATAGTATCAAATTATTAGAAAAGGAGAGTGCTCAGTCCATCTCTCTAAACTCTAAAAATAAAACCCTACCAATGAATGTTTAAATAAGGACATTAAAAATCATTAAAAAAAGTAATGAAAAAATAAACCTAAAACCAACTCTAAAAGTAGGTTGCTTATTCTGGTCTTTTCTCTACTTCTACTTTTCTCTGCCCCTTAATAATCACTGGTAGCTAAGCAAAGGCAATGTGGAGCTAACCATTCTGGTAAGATATTCCTGTTCCTCGACACCCACTTCTTGGTGTCATGAGTACTGTTTCAGGATTCAAGGGAAAGAATGAAAGAACTGTAAGCTCTACAAAGTAAGTTTGTGTGGAAAAAAGGAATTCATGTTATACCTTCTTTACCCATAGCTAATGAAGAGATAACCCTAAACCTACTTCCTTTCATCATTACAAGATAATACTAAGGTTATGTGATCCTACTATTATTACTTTTATCTGTACATACTAGAAGTTTAGCTGGGTATTTACCTTTTTAATTTTTTGAAAAATGTCATGAATTGCCCTGGGTATTACTCCCAAATAATCCTGTGAACCCATCATCGTGTATGTTTTTCCTGAAGCAGTCTGCCCATAGGCAAATATGGTACCTGTAAAAACAAATCACACACATGTAAAACTAAAAATGAATTTACAGGGTGTAAAACGATCAATACTTGAACACAGAACTGATACGCAAATATTTCTACAGTGAATACAAACCATTGTAGCCTTGTATGGCAGAATCTATGATTGGGACCGCTATTTCTTCATACACATGTTTAGTAGTTTCATTACTGTGAAAAACACGATCTAAAAAAAAGAAAAAGACAAACCACACACATATACACAAAAGTTAAATCAAACAAATCAACTTTGTTGTCTTGCTTAGTAGTTGTCCAAAGAAATAAGATTGTCAGGATATGGTAAGATATTTAGGACACAATATTCTCTTCACCTTATTTGTTGTTCATACTTCATTAAAAGTTATGTTAATGCTCTAAAAACAGTCCTTTACCAGAAATTATTTTTCTCTTCCATATATCTTTGATCTAAAACCTTTTATGATGGCTTTCTAGTTTAAAGCTAGTCGAACAGCCTAACCATTCTTACTCCTGCAGTTGAGAGGACCTCACTGATGCCCTGAGGTGCCTAAGTGGTAGCATGCTAGTGTGGCTGGATTTGGAGTCTGACTCTTCCATTTGCTGGCTGTGTGACTGCAGGCCTGTTTCCGTTCCTCACTGAAATGGAAAGGTACTGGTCATATAAGCTTGTTTGGAGGATTCATGAGTTAATATGCATGCATGTTTAGAACGGTGTCTTGCACACTCTCAGCACATATCCATATTAAATCAACACACAAATCAGCTTAGTCAACCTTCAGTGTCTCCATGTTTATCCTAGCTAGCTCTCATGCATACTGCAGGTCCCAGGTCGGTGGTACCCTTTTAGACACCTAGACTAGTTAGATTTACCATAAACTCTCACAGAGCTTATGTCAACACAAGGCTAATTGCTTGTTTAATGCCTTTCTCTCACCATATGGTAAGTTCCACATAAGACAGGGTAGGTCTCTGCTGTATTCCAGCAAAGCAGGAATATCTTTACTATTTATTCTTTATGGGGTCTTCTTAAAAATAATTCCTTAAAAATAATTATGGAAAGTATATACTACGCTGAAAGAAGAATGCCTGGGTGGCTCAGCAGTTGAGCGTCTGCCTTTGGCTCAGGGTGAGATCCTGGAGTCCTGGGATCAAGTCCCACATTGGGCTTCCTGAATGGAGCCTGCTTCTCCTTCTGCCTATGTCTCTGCATCTCTCATGAATAAATAAAATCTTAAAAAATAAATAAATAAACTGAAAGATCTTAAAGATGACTTGACATTAAGCAACATTGTTTATGCTTATGGGGTTTTATGACACTAACGAATAAGAGAAAAAATGTTAGTTTGAACCATAAGGCACTCTGATATAATTGCATTTTAAGTATCAATTTATTATCTTACATATCACACAAGATGGATGAACAATTTTTTAAAGTTTTCACTGAAGCAGTTTATAGAAGGTTTAGTCTGATCTTTAATGCCAAGTCCAGGAATATAAAAGGCTTTTATATTCCTAATAGGAAAAGGATGACAGATTAACTTTTGATGCTATTAAAAGCCTACCAAAATTGAAGGATTTACTGCCATCAACTTGATAAATGGCATTATTGTCAGTTTTCCAGTAAACTTGGGTATCTCCTCCAAGAGCTTCTTCTCTGAAAGAATAAAAACATTGCACTTTAGTAAAACTGGTCATAGAAGTCATATTATAGGGGACAGATAAAAGATTCCCAACTTCTGAAGATTATTTTAAAAGACAGTATTGGCTTATGCTATGTATAAGAGAAATATGGAAAATGTGACTTTGAGGGGTCAATACTTGTAAGTGGGAATTAGTAACCTCCTGCCTTCTCATGGGAATTTCTTTGTGAAGTTCTTGATTTCCACCTTCCTACCCAGTACTGGTTGGTGAAAAGATACATTCAAATGCAACTCTGATTATATCCCTCTTGCTCAAAACTTTAAGAAAACATCTGAAGTTCTTACCATGGCACACTAGATTTGGATCATGTTTATTTCTCTCTTCAATGTTATCTTGTTCTAAATTCTGATATATAGCTACCTCCATACAGCCACCTGAAGATCCCCTTCAAAATAAGAAATGCAGCCCCTCTGTGTCTGGAATACCCTGACTTACCTTTCCATTAAGTAACTGTTCTTTCATTCATGGAAAGTGTCAGGACTTCCTGACACCAGCTCTGTCCCTGGTGTCATCTCAGAGGCATTAATGACTCCTCTAGCCACCATAACGCTTGTTATCATGTAATGGTTTTTTACGTAACTGTCCTCTAATGCGTTACATGATAAGCCCTTTAAAAATAGGAAATTCCCGAAAATTGGACATCCATATGCAGAAGAATGAAACTAGACCACTCTCTTTCACCATACACAAAGATAAACTCAAAATGGATGAAAGATCTAAATGTGAGACAAGATTCCATCAAAATCCTAGAGGAAAACACAGGCAACACCCTTTTTGAACTTGGCCACAGTAACTTCTTGCAAGATACATCTATGAAGGCAAGGGAAACAAAAGCAAAAATGAACAATTGGGACTTAATCAAGATAAAAAGCTTCTGCACAGCAAAAGAAACAGTCAACAAAGCTAAAAGACAACCTACAGAATGGGAGAAGATATTTGCAAATGACATATCAGATAAAGGGCTAGTTTCCAAGATCTATAAAGAACTTATTAAACTCAACAGCAGGGATCCCTGGGTGGCGCAGCGGTTTGGCGCCTGCCTTTGGCCCAGGGCGCGATCCTGGAGACCCAGGATCGAATCCCACATCGGGCTCCCGGTGCATGGAGCCTGCTTCTCCCTCTGCCTGTGTCTCTGCCTCTCTCTCTCTCTCTCTCTCACTGTGTGCCTATCATAAGTAAATAAAAAAAATTAAAAAAAAAAATAAACTCAACAGCAAAGAAACAAACAATCCAATCATGAAATGGGCAAAAGGCATGAACAGAAATCTCACAGAGGAAGACATAGACATGGCCAACAAGCACATGAGAAAATGCTCTGCATCACTTGCCATCAGGGAAATACAAATCAAAACCACAATGAGATACCACCTCACACCAGTGAGAATGGGGAAAATTAACAAGACAGGAAACCACAAATGTTGGAGAGGATGTGGAGAAAGGGGAACCCTCTTGCACTGTTGATGGGAATGTGAACTGGTACAGCCACTCTGGAAAACTATGTGGAGGTTCCTCAAAGAATTAAAAATAGATCTGCCCTATGACCCAGCAATTGCACTGCTGGGGTTTTACCCCAAAGATTCAGATGCAATGAAACGCCAGGACACCTGAACCCCGATGTTTATAGCAGCAATGTCCACAATAGCCAAACTGTGGAAGGAGCCTCAGTGTCCATCGAAAGATGAATGGATAAAGATGTGGTCTATGTATACAATGGAATATTACTCAGCCATTAGAAATGACAAATATGTGGATGGAACTGGAGGGTATTATGCTGAGTGAAATAAGTCAGTCGGAGAAGGACAAACATTATATGTTCTCATTCATTTGGGGAATATAAAAAGTAATGAAAGGGAATAAAGGGGAAAGGAGAAAAAAATGTGTGGGAAATATCAGAAAGGGAGACAGAATGTGAGAGACTCCTAACTCTGGGAAACGAACTAGGGGTGGTGGAAGTGGAGGTGGACGGGGGGTGGGGGTGACTGGGTGACAGGCACTGAGGGGGGCACTTGATGGGATGAGCACTGGGTGTTATTCTATATATTGGCAAATTGAACACCAATAAAAAATAAATTTATAAAAAAAATAGGAAATTCTTGATTTTGATACTGTCATTTATTAAATACCTGGTAATATTTAGCAATTATTTCTTAAATGCAAAATACGCTAGTATTCTGGAGTGAAGGCAAAGACTTCATTTCTTCCCCTTCTGGCTTCTTCTCTACAGCATTTATTACTCCTATAATGTTATGTCAACTTAACAGTTTGTATTTTTTTTATTACCTATCTTCTCGCCCAGAATGTGGATCCACATCCACAGAGACAATGATGGTAGTGATGTAGGAACAAGAGGGGCAGACAGGGCTAGACAGGGAAAGATAAAGGAAAGGCCCTAGAGTCAGGATCCTACCCATCCCAAGAAAACAGAGATAGGACAGTAGAAACAAAAAGTAAACCTGGCTCCCTAGCTCCAAAATGTTAGGGAGTATCCCCCTTTAATGGCTACCAAGCAATCACAGAAATCCCAGACCTAGAGAAGTGTTATGGAGCAGACATTAACCAGAGAAGGGAACACCTTGTTTGTGCTCACAATATTTACAGAGAAACATCTTGTTCCTGATAAGTCCAGGGGTGTTTGTTCTAAATATAGACAGGATATTTACAAATCCACCCTGATATTGATAAGAAACTTACCAAGTTCCCTGGTCAGTTTCCTGTAAAAGACAAACCATAAAAACCCTCAGTGGTAACCCTGTCCACCTCTCTCACTTTTGAGAGCTTTTTCTGTATCTCTGCTTAATAAAGCTCTAGTGATTTGCTCACTCTGTTGTCTTCAAGATTCATTCTTCCACTCAGTGAGACTAGAACCAAGCTCTCCCGTATCATTTTGGTCCCGAAACCCGGAACTCCCACCGAGGGGCCTAACCCTTTCTGGCCTAAACCACTTTGTTTTCTAGCTTTCTGAATTGGCTTTTCCCCAGCTCAGGGGTTTTGCTTATTGCAGGGCCATGCTCCTAAAGGGGGCCACAGGTAAGGGAACAGAAAGGCAGCAAGGGTAAGGGGGGGAAAACCTAAATGAAATTGGCCAATAATTGGCCAGACAGATCAGGCACCATGGGGCTAGGCATGCAAGTGAATTTACATGACCAAAGGATGAGGGCTCAAACAAGAAAACTCTGAGGAATAAAGTCATTTATAGGATTCCTTGCTAGCTTAAGGTTCATCTGGATGGTGCACTTTAGGACTAGCAATCCAGGGCTCTGAACCTTCCCACTGAAGGCCTTGGAGTCTCTGAGACACATAAAAGGATGGAGACCAGCCCTGGGGGGCGGGGGTTACACTTGGGAAAGCCTCATCCATAAGCAGCACACGCCTCCTGCTGAGAGGTCCTAGGTGTTTCACTTACTTCCTTACCCTTCTAAAAGGAGTATCACCATTTAAATTATTAAACTCACTAAGTTCTGTGATTAGATCAGACTTTTTTTCAGGGAAATCTAGAGGAGGCAGGCGGATTAGGTGGCAAATGGGTGGGTAAGAGTGGCTCCTGCTGCTGGCCTGATCCCTCCTTATTCCAAGATGTTAGGCCACTCTATCACCTTGGGTAGGCAGTGAACCAAGGGACGCATTGGTTTAGGTGAGAGCTGACTTGTAGGGATGCCTTCATAGTCAACCTCTCCATTACAGGTAGGGGTAAGAGACTCCTGCCAGGATCACGAGATAGGAAACAAACCATCCTCCGTGGCTATTTCTCTAGATTGGGTACTGCAAAGTTGAGTATTTTCCCCTTGAAAAACTTTCCTAGTGTTTTCCATGGGTTAAAAAACAGTTCTTCAGGGATCCCTGGGTGGCGCAGCGGTTTGGCGCCTGCCTTTGGCCCAGGGCGCGATCCTGGAGACCCGGGATCGAATCCCACATCGGGCTCCCGGTGCATGGAGCCTGCTTCTTCCTCTGCCTGTGTCTCTGCCTCTCTATCATAAAAAAATAATAATAAAAAAAATTAAAACAAAACAAAACAAACAGTTCTTCAGGGCAAGGTTAAAATAAGGTGTGACCTTGGTGGTAAGGCATGGTCTGGTCAGTTCCCAAGGACTTCCCCTTGGGGTGCCTTTTTAACCCACTGGAAACAATTTGGATTACAAAATTTAAGGAAGGACTGATCTTCTGGAGCACTGCATGGCCTCATTGGGATTTATCAGCTCTTCTGCAGAGAACAGGGCTCTACATCAGGACCCCCACCTAAGGGTCTATAGCAGAATGTGTGTTTGCCTGAACCTGTTGGCTGGTAAACTCCCTCCTGACATTGGATAGTTATCTAAGTAGGCCTCAGAATAAACCCAGGTTGCTGGAGGAAACGCAAGCCCTCCCTAGTAAAGGGGATGCAGACACTCTCTGTTTCTCCCAAAAGATACAGGCTACTCTAGCTATACAAGACGAGCTTCTCCCTCATTCATTTCCCAGGTTAATGGTTATAATTGGAGCCATCTGTGGTTAGTCTCCCTCAGGACAGGGACTTTAAGGAATATACCCAAGCAGTTGCCGAAACTGTTTCAGGGGAAATTCCCTGTCTTCTCCAGACTGACATCCACTGCCTCATTCCACGCATTGGGGAAGAACATAAAAATTGGCTCATCTGTCCAAGTGGATGAGCTTTAGAACAGTGAATCCTTTTTCTCAGTCTTCTGGCTGCACTTTGCCTATCCCCCCCGCCCGTGTCTGCACCATCTTGGGTGCTGCCTGCATACTCCGCTCACTTCAGATTTCCCCACCAGTGTCTCAGGTAAAAATTGACAAATGGGGGGGATCCCTGGGTGGCGCAGCAGTTTAGCGCCTGCCTTTGGCCCAGGGTGCGATCCTGGAGACCCGGGATCGAATCCCACGTCGGGCTCCCGGTGCATGGAGCCTGCTTCTCCATCTGCCTGTGTCTCTGCCTCTCTTTCTCTCTCTGTCTCTCTGTGA